AACAAGGCTGTAGTATTCATGGGATGTAGTGCGCGTACTTAGAAAGTTAAATTTATGTGCAGTTGTTGTAATTATGATTCATGCGCTAAACCACTATTTTTTAAAGAGGAGAAAGACAAAGAGCCGGAAACCGTCTACTTTGATGTACTAATGCTTCCATATATGGATAGGCAGACACACTTGTTGCCATCATTACGTAACCTATAATTCAGCGATTTTATGGCTGAAGGGGATACAAGTTATCTGCTGCACAGAAATTTTTACGAGGAAATCAAATTGCCATTATTTGAGCCGTTTTCAGAGCGCGAAGATAGGACAAGTTTCTAATATTTGATTTTTTCTTGCTGTCGCGAACGAGAAAATCTGGCCAATGGTCCCCGCTTGAACTTGCTTTACTCTATCATATGCATTATTGAGTGCACCACCGGTCGCTATACTTAAATTATTGTTGTGGAATTACTGACTCAGACAGTCGAAGGGATACCTCCGGCGGGCATATGGTGCAAGTCTGCCACTTCGCGCTCCGGAGCCCAAGTGTGCGTATGTTAGCCCATTACATCCTGACTATTATAAAATATTACATGATTGATTTTACGAGTGCTGCGGAGATTCTCTTCATAGAAACATTTTCTTGAGCTTGACTGCATTTTGACAAAATGGTTGCGGGGCTTCGACTTTCATCACTGAGAGTTCTTTCGTCAAGAATTAGAGAGCATTAGAAAGAGCAAGAAAAACGCTTTCAGATGATATTCATATTTTTGCAACAAGTACAAAACTCTAAGAAAATAGATGCTTCAACAAGGCGACTAAACATCGGAAAGAACTTTCGAAACAACCTAGTATGAAGCTGAATGTCTATTTGCTCAAATATATGTACGTATGTGCAAAGGAACTCCCATTTCTGAACCGATACGAACCAATCTTTGCACACAGACACTTCAAAGTGGGAAGTGTCATAGACTAATATTGGATTGAAATCGATTTCATCGTTGTTTTTTGCAAATGAACTAGGGAGGTAGTTGGAGGAGCGGGATGAGTGAGTAGTTGATTACAGTTCCAATATCAATTCTTAGAATTACCTACGTTTACGAACTTTTTTACAAATCTTGTATTGGGGCGCTGGGAGTAGGCACAGGAGGTACAGTACCCACACTAATTATTCGACAGAAAACGCAAAAAACGACGATTCGCGTTTTTTTTTCGTTTTTTCTTCATAACTTCCTTCAAATTGCATAAAATACAAATCCGAAGAAAGCATGATGCTCAGCTCGTCAAGATGAATCTTCTGATGTACTGAACTCTCGTACCATTCTGTTTTCAATCTGCTTGATTTTTGTGTGAGGACGGGTATTCGTAGTGGTGTAATTCAGCGAACAACACATATGGACGATTCATGTAAACATGGTTCAGTAGTGCTGTCCACGTAGATTATCATGTACTAGTGAGTAGCGAAACATTCTATTTCCATAGGGAAAGATTGGCCGTTTAATTTTGAAAAAAAAGATGTCTCTCAAATTTTTGTTACCATAATCCTCAGCAATCTTAAGCATGCTCTAAGAGCACCACCTCTAGTGATTTCAAATTACAAAAAGGAGCTGGTAAGTTGTCCAACAGACACGCGCAAAGGGCAGACAAACTTAGGAACTTGCGTAGTATCGCAGCATTCCTCTCAGCATAACTCTGCCAAAAGAACTTATGCTTCACAGAGGGCACTATTTCTGTAATCAGCAAGACCGAAAACCTCTATGAGCGAAGTTTCCGGTCAATCCAAGATCGTCAATTTTCTAGCCAAAACCCGTCGGCGAGCTTCACAGCCTAGAACGAGAAAAAATGAAAGGATCCGAATTCCTCGGAAAACTTGCGCGTAGAGGTAATCTAACCTACTGATCACGAAAAACACACCTGCTTTGCAAATTAGCGTCTTACTGTAGGATTACGGTAACGAAAATTTGAGAGACATCGATTTTTTCAAAATTAAACGGCCAATCTTTCCCATGGAAAGAGAATCTTTCGCCACTCACTAGTCTTATATGTAAAACTGAATTTCTGTTTGTCTGTCTGTCTGTCTGACATGAATTGTCCATATGTGTTCTTCGCTGAGTTACACCACTACGAATACCCGTCCTCACACAAAAATCGAGCAGATTGAAAACAGAATGGTACGAGAGTGCAGTACATCAGAAGATTCATCTTGACGAGCTGAGCATCATGCTTTCTTCGGATTTGTATTTTATGCAGTTTGGAGGAAGTTATGAAGAAAAAACGAAAAAAACGCGCATCGTCAGTTTTTGCGTTTTCTGTCGAATAATTAGTGTGGGTACTGTAAGTGAGCTTACTACGAATTCATCAATTGTTATTAGAATTATTGATCTTCAATTTGTTTTCTGCAAACTTTGAGCCGTGGAGCTGGGACTTGATATAGTGGGGTGAGTGAGCATGCCCATTGTGATAGCGTTGGCTAAGTTGGAATTTTTTGAATCAAAAATTTGAACGCACGAACAATAAAATCATCCCGAATTATAGTTTTGAGCTCAGTTGGGGCCATGATTACTGCCACGGCGCTCAATGCACTCAATGCTTTTCGTTCAATAAACTTATGTTAGTCATTACATCTTTCAAGCGCTGCGAAGAATTTCTTCATATGTTTTTGCCTTAGTCAAACCCATGAATTTTAGACTCAAAAAATTCTCAAAAGCCCTTCCCAGGAGTGCTTTGCAAATAACGAAAACAGATTTGTAATGAGCATTCCATGATCTATTAGGTCGTGAAGAAAGTTCCTGGGCACTTTCGAAAAAATTCTTCAAATCGCTATAACTTCAAGCAGATTGATTTTTCTCGAAAGGTACAAACTTCATCGCAAAGACAGTTTTATCTACAACATGTATTTGTCTTGCTGCTTTTCAGCACTTCACTGCGGTTCACCAGCATGCGAGGAAGGGGAAAATGTCGTCGGGAAAGTGGCCTATTCGTGCAGGATTATCTCAGGCTTGATGAGAGCTGCAGAGCTCAGATGCTGCCATTATATAGAAGTCTGCTAGGGTCATTATGGAGACTATTTACGCTTTCGAGCGGCTACATGCAAAAAAAATTTTTTTCCAGAAAATTTTAGAAATCGACCATTTTTTGCTTCAAAAATGCACCATTTTTAAAGTAAGTGATTTTGAGGTCTTCTCATTCTGCACAGGGCGAACCAAGTTCAACCTGCGAACATAGTTCGGGTAATGCCTTACACATCTTTTGGACCCATCGTCCAGGCGTGGCGATCCCCGCAGAAGCGATGTCACCTGCGAAAAGAGATGCAGTCAGACGCAGGTTCGACAGCTTGTAATTCCTGAGCTCACATCGCAAAACTCTAGTACAACCGCGAGTCAGAAGTTAACAGTCTCCTCAACCAGACACCTATGATTTGGACGAAACTCTTCAAACTGCACAAGAAAATGGCCGCGGAAGAAAAATTGTGAAATTTTCATGATTGAAAAGAATTCCTTTTTTGATGTTCAGATCAAATACGTTTTGGCAACGATAGACATCAGAAGCGGTTTTGAAAGGTTTAGGTCCTCTACTGAACAGTTCAAAAACTTCGTGTCAAAGTCCGACCAAGAGCCAAAAAAATGCGTCAAAAAATGATATTTCCAAATGTGTCCGGGAACTTTCTTTGCAATCTAATATAAGATGGCGTGCATTTTATATGGAGAATCCACTTCGACCATGTATCTTTCCCTTGTAAGTATAAGAACAGGGAAACGTTTTGTGGAAGAAGGGAATGATGTCTTTATCATAGCATATTGACAGGGCCTGGGCGAAGCGCATATGCCAGAATAATGAAAATGGTCTACTCTTGAAGTCTGCAAAACTCACTCTGATTTTATAAAATAAATTGCTTTATAGTCATGAGCCCAGTTCGGAAATATTTGCAGCGCCTAAAAATGAGTTCTTCTGACGCCTCCTTCCTCCTTTTGAGCTATTGTCTTCAAAACATCATCTTTTTGTGTAAATGAAAATCAACAATCTAGAAGTTTGAAGATCAATCGTGGAAACCCTGCGCACGATGATTTGAAAAGTGGTGGATACTAGCATATTTAGAGTTTCGCCTCAGGGCAAAAATTTTCGTTTTGAATCGGAACAACTGGAACATGAATTGTTCCTAGTAGACTGATTTGAGATAATGTTTTTTTGTGTATTCCATGCATTTGTAAATTCCATTCATTCCACATGCGTGCTCCCAATTTTTATTGTTTTCATCGAGGACGCTTATCCGCCTTGATCGTGATTTTTTGCAAAATCTTTATCCGTTATCCTAATTCGATTTCGACGATTTCTCACTTTATCACTGACCTTTCCGATTCGCATTCAATCCGCACTGGAAAGTTATGAGGTTTTCGCTGTGATAATCGCCGTCCTCATTCGAGATGAATCGTCGATCATATAAAAGCCGCATCCTAGCGGAACGTTCTCGATGTCTTCTTTCACGATCTCTTTTATTTGTCCCGGTTTCACTCTTTGGAAGTTTTCTCCCGTAGATCTTTCTTTGCTGAGGAATTGTGGGTCTCCAGCAACGTGGGGCTAAAACTATAGCGGTTGGTCTTGGAAACTAGCGAAAACTTGGTCTCCATTAGAATAGCTTCTAAATTCACTCCTTATCTAGACATAAGGGGACCTTACAATACTTATCGACTGTAAATTGTCTGTCCCCTTTTGAAATTCTCGCCTTTTGACGTTGGGGATACAAGCTTTGTGTATGATTACTACTCACCAGGACCAGCTCCACCAAAATTCATGAAGTCAAATATGAATTTTCACAACTGCTTGACATACCGAGTACTTTCGATACTACTGCTGCACTTACACCTAATTTCTCCCCTGAAATGTAAAATTCTCGTTTAATTCCCCCTTTTCAGGAGATGATTGAAACGGCAACATATTGCAGTGTGGTGCTTTCCACTATTGTAGTGGCAAGCTGTTTGGGATGCAGTTGGTTGATATTGAATGAAATACACAGCATGCACGATGAAGTGATGGAAAACATTGAAGAGTTCAGGGTGAGAGCTACTACTGCTAATCGATACGTATTCCTTTCATATGGACTGAAGTGTTCTTTCAAAGATCGTAATGTTGAAGTTTATGGGGTAAATTTGCTCAGAGAGCGAAATTGTGTTGGCATAGTTACCCATGCATTCGCGACGCGTTGGAGTGATTTGTAGCCTTAACTCCGTTACCGCAGAAGTCCGATTCAATGGGAGTAGATAACAAGAACCATGAAATAAATTCGCTCTCATTTAAATAAACAGATCTTCTTTTCTGATTTCTTTTCTGACCTTTGGGAGCACAATGAATTTTAAAACCATTAAGCAGGATTGTTATCATCTTATCTGCTTCAATGGCTTTAGGCATCATTCTGAAGAACTGACTTCAGCTTGAAATTACATATGTAACGAACACCGAGCGCTCTCGGCTACTACAGGGTAAATAGTGAGTTTAGCCAAATCTGAGGTAGATGAGATTTTTGCACTACAAGAACGAATTGGCTAACTAATTGTAAGTAATTGGCTAAGTTACGCCTAGAGGATATTTTCCAAAGCGACCAAATCCTCAGATAGTCGAAGGGATACCTCCGGAGCGAAAATGGGAGGGTCCCGGGCTCTGCCCAGCGGGGGTTTGCCACTCGTGCTCCGGGACCCTCCCATTTCAACCATTTTAGTGCTCCGGGGCTTCTCCAAATCTGGCGTACTCCCGGAGCAAAGATTTGCGAGCCCCGGGGAGGGGCCCATTCGCCTTCTCCTGACGCATCCGCGGAGCACCAAAATGGGTGAAATGGGAGCCATTTGCCCTCCGGAGGTAGATATTCCTTCGACTGTCTGGTCGCTCCAAAAGATGGATGCTGCTAGGGCCGCTACGCCCACCAGTGTGGGAAAATCAGAAATTTGAGCTCCAAACTGGCAACAGAATACCAAAAAATGATAAATGTAAGTTTTTCACTATATCACGGCATATCGAGGTACTACGGAGCTTATTTTGGGCTCATTACCTTGGGCCAATGAAGGGCGTGTGACGATTCCAGCAGCATTCATATTCTAAAGCGATTTTTTCGCTTTGGAATACAGCTTTTGCAGCGGGCTTGGCAGTCCTTAGCTATGGCCCCGTTGTGCATCAAAATCTTGACAATATCAATTTGCTTGGAGCCTTTTGTACAGGAATTTTGAATAAAAAGTTCCTTACAAAGCGGAGTAATCATACTTCGCTTTAAATAAGACTCCGAAAGCTGAAAATGATTTTACTAGGCAAAATATTAGGTTGTCAAGAAAATAATGTCCGTTTTTATTTGCTTGCTTTAACAAAGCAACCAGACTCGACCCATCAAAGGGTAAGGGGTACTGTTCGATAGAGCAAAGCAAGCTCTACAAGATGGCTTTCATGATTTTGCGCCAAGCTCGACCCATGAAAGTTCGAACTCAAAATCTGAAAATATCCAAATGTCCAAAAAATTGAAAAAAATTAGATCTTTGTCCGTATGATTTCTACAGGCCTCCCGCTCGCTCACATCAATACTATCGATATTTGATATCCATATGTGCGATTGCCGTATTTTTTCCTTGACTATAAACTGAGAAAACGAAAATTTCCCTGATTTTCTCAAAGCAATGCTGAGCCGTTTTTGCATATGTAGTTCTATACTACAATCCTAGGTAAGTATAACTGTAGATTTTCAGCCCATTCCAAGCGGTAGTTTTCGAAAAATAAAGAATTCGGATTTTTTCGTTTCAGTTTCAGTGCTAAAATCAACATTTCTCGAAAACTACCGCTTGGAATGGGCTGAAAATCTACAGTTATACTTACCTAGGCTTGTAGTATAGAACTACATATGCAAAAACAGCTCAGCATTGCTTTGAGAAAATCAGGGAAATTTTCGTTTTCTCAGTTTCTAGTCAAGGAAAAAATACGGCAATCGCACATATGGATATCAGATATCGATAGTATTGATGTGAGCGAGTGGGAGGTCCGTAGAAATTATTTGGACGAAGATCTGATTTTTTTTTCATTTTTTTGGCATTTGGAAATCTTTAGATTTTGAGTTCGAACTCTCCGTGGATCGAGCGTAGCGCAAAGACATTAGTGCCATCTTGTAGAGCTTGCTTTGCTCTACCGAATAGTATGCTTTAGCCTTTGTTGGGTCGAGTCTGGTTGCTTTGTTAAAGCAAGCAAATAAAAACGGACATTATTTTCTTGACAACCTAATAGGTTGGCTCATACCAAACATGAGCACTGCACATTACCCGAACCTTTCTAGCTACGTTAGTTATGCCCAAAATAATCAAGAAATTCGTCAGATACCCAATTACGCCGTCAAACTGCTATAAAAATCTTTATGAAGTTATTTGCTGGATTCAACGCTTCCAAAAAACCTCACCAAGTTTTCAGAGGGGGTATGGGCATCCATATGAAAACAAATCTCATTTAGTCAAATCTCAAATCACACTCCTTTTTCCACTATAACAGTCGGAAGCACGAAACCATATAAAACGTTTCAGCTGTAGAAGTCAGAAAAACTTCTTTCACTCACTTTTCGTCTTCCGACCCTCATCAGAACTGACTATGGCTAGGGCATGCTTATTTCAATGCTATCAGAAAAGCATTCAGAGTTACGAAATTCTCTCTGATAAGCTAGACTATAAAGATTTCGTTCTCTCAAAATAGAACCTACCGTCACTGATACAAAACCAGTATTTCGATGATTACAATGAAGAAAAACATTTGAATTGAAAAAAATACAACTACTAACAAATCTGGTTATGTTACAATTTTGCGTCACTAATGCACAATTTGCTAAACTTGTGTTGTAGCGTTCGTATAATTCAAAGAACAAATGACTTCAAACAAGTTCTTTCGCAACCTCTGAGTACGTGCGTTCTTCAAAAATTGTAATGTGATGTGAAAACTTGTATTTGTTGCGTTGCTTTTAAAAATTCGTATTCGATGGTCTTTTAGATTGTCTCAGAAGATGCATGGTCTGAGATTATCAACTTTGGAAGTACTGATGTTCCCAGTCCTTTTGCAAGATACATTGGCCGAAGTAGAAGAGATGCCAGCACATGTAGTAAGTAGAATAAAGTCAATTTTTGCCATGTAAGCTGCAACCGATGGATTTGTCCTTCAGCATGTGGATTACCCCGCCGCGATTGTCCCGCAGGTATGAAGGGACCACCTGGCGCACCAGGGGAACCTGGCGCCATCGGACCAGACGGAAAAGATGGCCCACCCGGACTGCAGGGAAGATATGTCCAACAACCTATGGAGTTTCCCAAAGGTTTGCTTCAGCTTTATTTTTAGCTGTACGTTATTCTGAGCTATTTAGGATGCATCCGCTGTCCTGCTGGAGCTCCTGGTGAGCCTGGGGAAGACGGTCAACCAGGTCCTCCCGGAAAAGAGGGAGCAATTGGAAAACGTGGGGAACCTGGACTGGAAGGAGATGGTGGCCCACGTGGAGAAACTGGTGATCAAGGTGAACCTGGCATGGATGGACAGGTGGGAAATTCTTAAATCTGATTTGTATAAACCAAAGCATATCCAGTCTTCTATGACTAGGAGACTCAAGACCGCATTGCACACATTGTCGGCTGAACAAGGTTGAACTTGTTCTTTCGTGTCTTCATGTGCAAAGCATCCTAGAAGAAAAAATCACAAGTATGAACCTGCCAAATACACGATAAACTCGCTGAATACGAAATCAAGCATGTTTAGACAAAGCGTACACGGTCTCGAGCCTCCTAGGCCCGTATGCATGTGCAACCCCGCTGGAGAGGGAAGGGGATCTGAGAGGGGATGCGTCATATCTTGTTACTCTAGATATCTTTTTTCTTCCTTCTCTATCTTGCTTATGAAGGTTCTTTTTCTCCTTATACCTGCGCATAACGGATGCCAGGTTACTGTCATACAAAGTTGGTTTTTTGCCATTTTGTGTGATCCCTTGGGGATTCCCCAGGGGATCACCTTTCATTTTCAAAGTGATTTATCTTCCTGAGAAGGCAAGGAAACGCCGCAAAATTGTACTCAGGATATACTAGGCACTGCTAAGCTTTTTTTTGGGCAGGAGAAATGGCATCTAAAGATTGTGATTCTTCGATGATCCCTAGCTTTCGAGCCAGGGATTACCGAAGGTTTAAATATCCTGAGATTTCATTTATTTCTGCTATAAACATCTTAAGCAATGCCGTAATATATCCGCAGTACAATTTTACAGCGTTTTCACTGAGTTTTTTTCTAAAATAAATGGCAGTGAAAGTGAGAAGTGATCCCCTAGAGATCCCCAGGGGATCCCCAGGCGATCACACAATATAGCAAAAATCTAATCAATTATGCCATTACCCTTTCATCAATTATGCGCAGGTATTAGGGTATGAGAACCTTCATAAGCAAGATAGAAAAGGAAGATACCTAGAGTAGCGAAATATGACGCATCCCCTCTCAGATCCCCTCCCTTCACCAGCGGGGATGTACGTGCATACGGGCCCTAGTCGTGGAATAGAGATTACATATTTGAATAACAGGAAGCCGACCCATACAATGTTCATTTTCCCCATCCTTTTTACCAACATCTTAGGATTGAGCGTAAAAAATAAGATTGATCATGTCTCCAACATTTGTTATCTGAGGTATCTAGATGCCATACTTACTTGCTAAACGGTTCATCCCGTTCACTCTCCCTATTGGTCAATTCAGTGATTTCACCAATAGTCCCTCAATCGGCAACGGCGGTGTTGCTCAATACGAAGGCTAGTCCCAAACGAAGGCTATTGCCAATGCAGGCAAAGCGAGCGCGAGCGTACGAGAATTCATGATGAAAGCTTGAACGCGGCGCTCGCAACCGCTTCGCATGATAAACGACGGTCTGCGTAGGGATCAGCCTCTACACCAGTAGTGCATAATGAGACTTTTTTGTATGCACGAAGGGTAGCAAGATTACGAGTCGCTTAAAGGCAGCGTCCAGGCAGATCTGGACCTATGGGAATTTTACGTGGAAAGTACTTTTGGGGCCCTAGCTAAGGCACTGCCCAAGCGGCAGCGCATGTAGTGCTCTAACGGCTGAGATATTCCCCTCGAAACTGGACCCCGCGATCGTATTCGCATGGATTCATGGCAGTTTCGCTCCAGGATCCACGCTTTGCGCCATGAATGCATGCGGAATACGGGCGCGGGGTCCAGTTTCGAAGGGAATATCTCAGCCGTTACACGACCTGAGCTGCAGGTTGGGCAGTGGCTTAGTTAGGGCCCCAAAATTACTATCCACGTGAGATCCCCATGTGTCCAGACTTGCCTGGATGCTGCCTTTAAATTTTGAATACTTACAAGTCCTTGATATATTTCCTCCTACCTACAAAAAACAAGCCTTTTGACATGTGATAGCATTGATAATTATGCAGATCCACCACTACAGCACTTAATTTCAGCCTGGCCAACCGGGTTCACCTGGTGCTGATTGTTTCACTGGCGTTGGTATGACAGGCACTCCGGGCCAAATCGGCATGCGTGGACCCCGCGGTCCACCCGGTAAAAACGGTGAACATGGGCCTTGCGGCCCACCCGGAGAACCAGGACCGGAGGGACTACCTGGCATGGATGGAATACCCGGAGCGAATGGAACCGATGGACCAGTAAGAATCCTATTTCGAGGGTAATTAGCCAAAAAGTGATTTTTCAGCAAGGAGAAGCTGGACAGCCTGGTGACGACCGCGGTTATTGTCAGTGCCCGGATCGTGAAGAAATAGATACCGTGCTCAAGTCTGCTCTTTGGTAGTTATGTATGTGTTGGTTTTTTTTATAGAAAATAAAAATACCTAATAAAATCTTTATTGTATTATGGTGCAAATTAACTACATCCGCTTCATACCCGTTCAAACGTCTTTCTACCTAAATGCAATGGAATCAACTTAGTCTTCTTGTCTTTGGATCTGATGATGTTGATGGCATATCTTCACTGGCTCTTTTCTTCACATCTAACTTCTTTTTCTTTTTCTTCGATTTAGGCGATTCCACGCGATTTTCACGTCCTTCCTCTACCTAAAACGCTTGCCTTCCATTATTTTATAAAAGTGTAAATCTGCTCACCCTAACAGCCCATTGCCTTTCCAGAAAACGTAGTATGTAGGGCTTTTTATCGTTGGTAATCTGCTTCTCATCATCACGGCGTGGCACATGGTAAGCAATTTTTGTATTTTTCACACCATCATGCACCTTAATGCAATTATTAATACATTCAATGTTAGAATTGTGGATAAAAAAAGGAACTGCACTTTTTAGAGTGCAAGTACATTTATTATTATGCACTCTGCAGATGCTACGTCCTTTACAAGGCATAATAGTTGGTGATTACTCTTCATTGCATCACAAGGGATGTAAATAAATTCCCATTCAAAAATTTTCAAAAAAAAACCGAGACGGACAGATTCATGCAAAGCTTCCCCAGAAAGATCAATCTTTATCTCATTACAAGGAGGCGCATTACAATTTCTACGAGTATTGTATTCCCCAAAAATTTGGCATTCGCATTTGCATCGCTAGCTCAGTAGGTTCCCCCATAAAAAATGAATTCAAGATTAAGGAAGTTATCCTAGTCCGGGGAGGCGAGCATAGCATCACCGCTTATGTCGAGGTACGGTAGGTATACGGTAGAAAATCAACTTGCTTAACAATAATCAAAATATTTGCCTCGCCAAGGTACATTTATTGCAGATTCTTTTACTACGAAGAAACTTGGAGCGATCGCTTTGAGAATAGCGCAAGGTGGGGTAACCTTCTTTTTTTGTCTACTGCGAGTGGGCGGTTAAAAAAAGTCGATAAGTCTAGAATGCGGACGCAATTGGCTTATAAAGTTATTTTATCAAATAAATATATGCAGTGGTAAAATCTAATCATCTACTCCATAGCAAAAAATATTGATATCAAGAATGCCCTGAAGTAAAGCTGTACATGGAGAAACAGCAATTAACGTGGCAAGTCATGAACCAAGAAAAAGGTGATTTTATCTGAATAGAACAACTACGGACTATGCAACTGCCCAATGACGCCACATGTCATCGTATTTTACAATCGCAGTAGAATGCCCATTATAACCCCTTAATGTCACGAATAATTCGCTGTCGTTTACTGCGGTCACGTGCCTCAATTTTGAAAGCCGTCTGTCACAGAGACCGATCTCGAGAATGAAAAGGAATAATTGAGGATATAATACTGATTTGGTGTGCGAGTAAATTTATGACCTCTAGTGAGTTAAAAACTGAAGCAGAAAATGATTCTGCATGCATGAAATGCGCTCAGAATCAATAAAGTAATGGAGTAGCCATTTAGATTTGAAAGTTAACGTGGCGCGAAATTAACGTATCATCTTTTCTGAGACTAAGACGAGACCGCTTTGCACACATTTTAATAAGCTCAAACTAATTCTTCCCTGATTCCAAGTGAAAACTCAACCTAGATAGGGTAGAGCACGAACATGTTAAAAACACGATTAAGCTTGTTTGAGCAATGTGTGAGTGCAAAGCGTACTCCAAATGATGACCAGTTTGAAAAAAAAAAGAGTGCACAAAAAGCATGGTTTTATGAACTAATTTTTGTAATTTTTACATGATTACTCTTCTTTGCTAGACTGTTTTTAAAGCAATAGACATTTGAACAAAACTTGGTCCACTTCGGCTTGAAAGTGCATGTACCGCTGCGGATAGAAATTTTTTTAATTTTGGTTAAATGTACAGACCTCTTCTCCTCAAAACTTATGGAACGGAATGTCTGAATTACAACAAGTCTGCCAATGGAATTTTTAGGGGTATTAAGAGCAAACAGGACTTACACAACGAACTTGTACGGTTGTCCCATAAATTCAAAGAATTTCAGCCTAAAGCTTTATATCTTTGGTAGACCGAATCTCTCTACTGAGACTTTTGAAGTTTCCAGATTATGATTATTCGATGTGTTAGATCCGTAGAAGAGAGTATGGGCACTTGTACAACTCCCCAAAAATCAATATCCCCCATTCCTCACACGTACTACAACTTTTTGGAATTTTTTTTGGAAATATTGGTGTACCTGCTGCTGAGCGAGTCTACACTACTCTAAAGGCTCACCTTCATGTCCTTGTCAGGTAATTGTGAGAAGTTCGACGGATCTGAGCACGGCAAGTTGGCGAGAAATGACGCCATTTATACTCGAGACGTAATGTAAGTGTTGTGTGCCCGATTCGCAGCTGATGTGCTCTGAAACCGCGAAAATTTTTCGAAAAATACCAACGACGCATCGTGTTCGTATTTATTGCTCGCCAGCGCGATGGCCGCGGCGAAGGTTTTGACGAGGGCAGCGAGAGAGCGTGAAGCGCAGGCAGCAAAACGATCGTGACTTGAAATAAATTGCCACACTTTCGCCGGCTAGAGAGCGGTGAGAGAGAGCGCGGGCGACGAGTGCGCAGGCGCAATTTGCGAGGGAGCTGCGGGTGGCACGCTGAGCGAGAGAGGCGCAGACGCCGACCGGCGGCGATAAGGCCTCGCAGCGTCTTTGTTTGTGTGGCGCGCGGAAGGCCGCGGCAGGAGTCTGCGCCGAGAGTGAGCGCACCACCGGCCGCTCAACACTAAGCCGAGCGTCGCGTTCGCGAGACGCGCGACGGCGGCAATAATGAGATGCGAGCAAACTACAAATCTGTTATTGAAGATAGTGACCAGCCGGAAACGCAGGAAAACACGAAACCGCTCCGGCCCCGTCCGGATGCCGGCCCGGCCGAACACGGGGCTTTCCGTTGGGGTTCGCTGACCCCGTGGGGGCCCCGATTGGGCTTAGGCCCCAGCAGCGATCGATATGTGGGTGGGGCCAAGCGACAGCGCGCCCCCACTGTGGCCGGGGCTAGCAGCGAACCACCGCTCTCTCTCCCCTCTGCCCCCCGTGCCCGAAGTGAGAGAGAGTTTCACATCTCTCCCAGTTATGTTTTACTCATCCTACCGCATCATCATCAGGCATATGGACACACACCACACGTAGACGCACGCACAACACGCAGCAGCACATCTCGGCCGCCGTTTCTTTGAGACTGATGTGGTGTTTCTCTCTTTCTCTCTCATCACCACACAGTTTGTGCCTATGTGAATGTGTGTGTGTTCCGTTCCGTTCGCATGTTATCCGTACACTTATAAACGCGCTGCTGGCCATCATCAGACACGCCGCAAGCGCCGATTATTCGAATAGAAAAACGACTCCCGCGCTTTCTTTCGTTTTCTCACGCTTCATCTCCATTGCAATATTCGACTCGCTTCCTTGACTCACTAATTAGCCGCCACTTAACTCAACTGAGAAAAAAGAAGAAGCGATGTTGCACATCGGCTCGAAAGTCGGCGATCTTTGACATGTCTGGAACACATCGCATGTGCTGTGGATGATAGAAGGTCTCTTTATAAGTCTCTTTCGCAACACTTCTGAAGTAGCATGAATTTTGCAGATTAAACAGTATAAATGAAGTCCAGTTCATGTTTGGTCATCTCTTTCATTTGTACTGTTTTTGCTACCTACATTACCAGTATCACAATTGCTCGTAGTTTTCATCACCACATCGCATTTTCTGCTAAAAAAATCCGCTACGCAGTCTCGAAAATCAGAAATTAAAGGGGATAGATATAACATTTCTTTCGTATACTCTTTTACCTATTATTTCTACAACAAGCTAATGTAAGTACAATCCACTTTTGCATCCTGTTGTTATCCTAGACCATTTTCACATTCATCTTCGCTCATTGGTCCACGATATAGTGTTATCTAATACAACTCACGAAATTTACAGCAAACATGTTCATGTTCAGCCTAGTAAGCAGGGATTACCTCAAAAGTGTAACTTTCTACATTACAGTGCCCATTTATCATTCACATAATATCTGAATCAAGATGAAGGGGGCTACTCTGGACGCTGTAAAACTTTCAAGAACTGTCAATGGACTTTCTTCTACGACAAAACATTTTCAGTAATATAGTCCCTTCTCGAAGTATCTGTAGTTTTGTGCAATTTTTCTTCCCAATTCCCAAAATTCAAATTTTCAGATATGCAAGAGTTGCAACTAAAAGATTGAGACAAAACTCTGAAACAATTAGTGACTTGCTTCTTGTGCTTTATGCAAGTTCTATCAGCGAAATGCATCAGGCGAAAACCTTCAAACTATCTGCAAATATTTTGGAGCTGAGTTACAAGCTTTGTTAGTGCTAAAGATACTGCAGAAATCACTTCCCTCGTTCGGTAATCAAGCAGCGAAAATCAAGTTGAAGGTCAAGCTTTTCAGGCCAAAACCTAAGAACATGAAAGTTTCATACTTCGACGTTAGGAGTATGGAACTTCTGCCTCCAAATTTTTAGCGTACATTCGGAAATGCAGCGGATAACGTGTGTAATCACACCAACTCCGATAACCGGGATCAAAATTGTGTAAAATCTGGTCGCGCTAATACAACTTCCTGTTCGCATTTTTTGGATAGCAGCAGTTTTGCTAAATATTCAGCTGAATTAGGGAAACTGTAATAGTCAAGTCCGGAGCCGAAAAACATTTGCAGAGTTGAAAAATCGGATGCTATTTGAATGAAAAATGTTTCCAGTTTGATATAAATATGAGTGGATACTATAAGACTTGACTGTCTATGCATTCATGGAAGTCTGAAGTACGGGAGTACTGCAAAAATTGTATCAAATGAGGCGGCTGCGCCATAGAGTTTCCATAGAGTTGCGACGACATTAGAAAATTTACTTATGATATCTATTTTATTCATGCTTTCGATCAGTCTCCTCTGTTTAAGCCTACATTTCCAATCTCGGCCATTCTACTTTTTCTCTTTGAAATGAAAGTCAAGTATACCACTATACAAATGTTCTCTTTTTAAGAGCAGCGACCTTGTATGCTCTCCTATTGCAACCGTTTTTCATTATTCGATTATTAAAGAGGATATGTCCACTGGAGATGGACCACCAGCGCCCCCAGACGGATCTGGACAGGTGATTTATAATTCCTTGTTACTTCCGCTGCAGTCGCTTGCACAAGATCTCATACGAGCTCTTTTTCAGAACTTTCCTACACCAACACTGAACAATTTGCTCAGTAATAAGTCTTCTGTGGGAGGAGATGCGGGTTTACAACAACAGGTATTTGGTGTACGTTCTTTGGTTTTTACATCTCAATTGTTTTGGTTGAGATTTTTGACTTCTTATTCTTATCTGTTTCGTTCTTGAATTGTTTACTAGCATGGAAGGGTATAAGCAATCAACCTGAGTTTACGAAACAATTATATAAACTAAGCAGTTATTTGTGTTAGTGAAAGGTGGTTACAGTACTCAACAAAGAAATGTTATAAGGTTAGATATAACTTCGTGAACAGTTTTCGTTCAGAATTTGATTTTCTGCGCGTTGCTAGAGGGTAAAGTTCTGTAAGCAGCATTACAACAAATGCAGGAACAATTTAAACGGGCATTACATGAATAGTAAGGCGGCACGTGCAGCGAAATGGTATGATATATGGGAAAGAGAAAGAAACAAGGTCTAATGTCCCGAAAACATGAGTTTTCCAAAAAGAAAAACGAATGACTTAGTCTTTCACAAGAAGGTGATAATGACTGGGAGGCAGCATGTTTCGATCGGTTATAAAACATCTGGGTAATAGTCGTCATGCTGTCTGCAGTGAGGAGGAAAAAAGCAAGGACTGAACGTGTACCAGTTGAATTGACATCATCTGGGTCTCGCTAGAATATCACGTGGACAGCGAAACCGAATTCCTGTCATTCGAGAATGAACGGAATTCGCTATTAGCGTAGAAATTACACCGCGAGATTTCGGAACGATGCAAGCTGCAAAAGTGATTAACAAAAGTGTGAATGAGTCCTTGGCACATGGGAAGAACACGCCTCGAGTCAAACATCACTGAGCATGTGTCCACAAGCATTGTTGTGACCAGCGGTGATGATTGTGCATCGAAGTGTTTGTTTGTACTCTTCTCGGTCCGACGAAGTCTCGTCGTCTGTCGTTTGCGTACATGTGTATTGTTACCCTGACCGCGTTTATTGTCTACTCGCAAATTTCCCACGTGCAGATTATTTGCAGTGTGTCATCTGGTCGATGCTTTGCAAACTTGTAGTTCTTTAGTTTTTTTCCCGTTGTGCACCGTTGCATCGAGATCGATATGCTCAACGACAACAAGTGCACAGAAACACTCTCTCTCACATACACACACATTTGCGCTCGTAAACATCAAAAATGTCGCCTGTGTCGTCATTGCGACCGAGAATGTCTCACCCACTTTATGCTCTTTGATCTATCTCCGTAGGGTTTCCCCTTCCTGTTTCTTACTGCATACATCCAGAATTCTTCCCTGGCACAGAAATCACCACTCTAGCGATAGACCAAAGGACATTAACGAGGGTGTTATACCAAAAATCGAAGACATTAGAAATTTTTGAGAAAGCGCTAGGTTGCCACATAATCCCATAGTCATAATTCTCTGTCGCGGAGCATTCTCGCCGGAAGTTGTTAGGGCTGGACATTCAGTAGTACGAATGAATAGTGACCAAATTTACGGCAGAAATCGCCGCAGTCGGTAACTTTTGGACAAAATATTTGGCACAATATGACCACTTTGGCTGCATGATGCCTACTTAATTTGGCGCTCATAGTTCATTTTCGAGGCAGTGTGAATAAGAATTTGTTTTTCTTTTAATTATCAGTTTGTTAAGAGAGAATAAGAGAAGAAATATGAGTGACAAAGCTATTCTCTTTGGCGTAGGTGACAAGTTTGTGCTTTGCGCAATTCTTCCATCACAGCTACTGTCTGTGCTCTTAGTTCATACGTCGAGACCTTCATGCTGTAGGAAGCTGAGAAACCCTTCTTTGACTGACTTGACATGTTCTTTGACCTTATTGCCGCTCATTCTTCTTTGTTTGTGTAGGAAACCAGTTGCGCTTCTTCCCGCATTCATCTATGTCTTGTAACATGCCAGCTTTCTAGCGCGCTTTCTTTGAATGCGAGTGCGTGATGCGTATGGAGAATGACGAGCAATGTTTGGAAATGTCGTAAGTTCGAGTACGAAATGTGCCTTGAGAGAGTAGACTACAGGCAACGAAAAGGAGAGAGCATCTACTTATGTTTTATATCCCAGCTATGTTGTTTCTAACAAGTAGACGGGCTCTGATTGTCGGCCTTTGATTATCTCCGACTTGTCTGCTAACACATATGCCGAGATGACATCATTCCCGCAGTGATTGTCCGCAATAAGCGGCAAAGTGTTCACGCTACTTGTCGCATATATCACTTGCTGTCATCTACGATTATACCCTACGATATATACACCCCCACGAGCACCTACGTAATGGAATCGGATGAGTAATGGCGTGGGAAAATGCGGGAACTAACGACTGAGCGAGCGAGGCGTCCAAGGTTCGTTTATCGATGTCCGACGATTAAGGACAACAACGCACACTTAGTCGCAATAATAAAAAGCGTCATCTAGACTTTTTGAAGGTTGCAAATTCTTTGCATTCTGTCGAGACCTGCGTTTTTGGAATAGTGGTTCCTGTGCTCGCTACTCTATTATAGTTCATCTTTTTCTTCCCAGCGGTTATCTTAAAGCAACGAAGCAACTGGATAGCTAGCCATGTTCTTGAATGATGTTGGGCGAAAAAATGCCCAGGTCTCAAACATATCAGGTTTTGGCGGTAACTGAGGAAGTGTAGGTGAAATACGACCTTTAAGCAGCAGTCGTAACCTGAATCCGCAACGTTTCAGCTGCTAGATGATATTTCTGACTGATGGCAAAGAGATTAATCATCTGAGAACGACACTTCATTCAAAATACCAAAGCGCGATCATATTGAACAATAGAGTACAAAGAGATGAAACACAAATCACCCGCACATAATTGTGTGCAACATATCAAATTGCTGCTATATCCGCACTTGAAGCAAAGTGCAGCTGTACCGTTCTCTTTCTCCTTCTACAAGAGGTGCGAGCATGTTTCAAAGTGAAGCGCAATTTCGGAAAAATTGTGAGCGAGGCATGGACAGAGCAGTCTTTTTGTAAACGCCCCTCAGATGAAATTATGTTAAGGCTAACGCATTCAGATACATATTTTGTTCGAAGCGCTAGTTAATATTAATTCATGCAGAAGGATAAAAGGTTATGAGACAGGCGAGCACAAAGACCGTATGATCTTGGTAATTGGTCCTATATTTGAGACTCGGGCTCTTTTCTTCCGTCCACATCATTCAAGAAAATGGCCAGATATCCCTTTGCTTCATCCATTTCCTCGTTGTAGTCTGTTCACATTTGCCCTTACTTCGTTGTTCATCAAAATGACGTGATTGGATTGCGCACCGGGGATTCCCGTCCGCTCGCGTTCGTGCTCCGCGGAAGCATCTGCCAACGTTCTCATCATTTTGCTATAAGTGTGTTCACATCGTTACGTCACAATTCCCAGAGGATGTGGTGGTGCTTAATTCAAACATCACAGCGGTTATTGCGGTGCTGTGTCGTTCATCTCAACAAATCACGTCCGCGTGTTTTATGCTGCGTTTGCAGAACAGCAGCTTCCCAATCCATCGTATGTCCATTCTGTTACAAGATGGCTTCCATAGCCAGTCCTTAGAAATCCCAGTTTCCTTCTTTCTTCAAGTTTTTGCATATTTGACTATGGAGTTATTGAAGCCGAGAAGTTGAGGCTTTTAGGTCTCGTATCACATTAGTTCTGAAGATTAGGCTGAGCACACTGTTCATTGCTGTTCCCTCTGTCAACGCTGGATACACCTGTTCTTAGATAAGCTTTGCTTACCATCTCAGTTTCTCTTCTCATTTACTGTTGTTGATCTCATGATAAGGAGATATAATACATGCATTAATATAATTGCATGTAGGCATTTCTCCGTACTATCCGACCAGTTCTCAACTTTATTTAAAAGTTTCATTTTCGGCCGTGAGTCCCACGTCATCCCCAGAACACTTTCCAGTGCGCGTCGGATGCCTTTCCATAAGTGTTTTTGCGCTCTCTTGGTCATGAGAGTTCGTTCGTCGCTGTCGACGTACGAATGAACTATCAGTGTGTGCGTTTGAAGAAAGAGTGGTGTTCGATGGCGCCGACAAGGCACACACACACAGCGCCGCGTCACATCGCGAAAGCGCATGTGCACTTGGACGTGCGGATAAGCCAAAGTGCAAGCGTTTTTTGTGGCAGCGCCGGCGGTGTGTGCGATGTGTACACGCAGCACTCGAATCATTACCGAATTGTCTGTCCGAAGTGTTCGTACACACACTCCGGCAGCAAACGTGTCGCAATGGCTGCGGTCATGGTTTTTCGCGCGTCGCGCAATATGCAGGGCCTATATGTGTGTGCGCGCAGTTGGCGATGGTGGCGAAATAGAGGTGTGCTGGTGTGTAGAAAATGGTGGCGTGTTTCGTTCGTTGGAGAGGAACGTGAATGCGTGAGGTATACAGCGCGGCGGCCGCGTCCTGTAGGCGCACTTTTATCGCCGCGCATCCGTGACAGGTTGCGTAGTGTGCGTGCGCCGCTCAGAGTGAGCAGCGCAGCTGTCGCGCCAAGACAGCGCGCGCCTGGTCGGAGGGGCGAGACACACATCCAACGACTGTGGCCGCGATCGATGCTGGTGCGGACGGGATGGCTGTGAGCGAATGCAAATAACTCTTCTCTGTGTGTCTGACGTATTTGCGAGGCCTCGTACGGTATGTCTGCTGCACGCTCTCTCGCCGCTATCGCACCCATCTAACGCTGCCTGTAACGCTGCCTGTGTATGCGATTGAAAGGGGGCGAAAGAATGGGAAGCGGGCCGGCCGGGACGACTGCCTTGACGATACACAATGACTAGCACAGAGGGCGCAGAGCGGGGACCGAATAAGTGAACTGACGTCTGATGGGCATATATCGGTGCTGAGCCTGGGCTCCGTCCGAGAAACAACACCGGCGATTTATGATTTGCGTCCACTGTCTGTGGTGTGTATGCTAAATGCGAATGAAGCGCCGATTGCACAAGGAACAAAACAAAAGTGCGGAGAGTCGCTCTGGTGAATCGAACGTGGGAAACAACAACTCGGTCGTTAAGCATTCGACTCAACTTTGCACTTGCATTCCTGAGTTCAGGTCTCATTCTACTCCTTACTTTTCTTTTGCGATTACCCTAATTTCCGGGGTATAAGGCGCACCTTGTATAAGGCGCACCCATCGCAGCGAACATGGCGCGAAAACGCTTTCTAAACGCTCTCTGAATCTAGAAAGCTGAAGACTCACTGTGTTGCAATTGTTCTTCACTTCTTATAAATCATGCCTTCAGGTACTTTTTTTACTCTTCTCAAAACGAATTCTTTGAAATCGTTTCTACAGGTGGGAGGAGTTCTCACTGGTTTTATGACAATCAGATGATTTTTTTCTTTTGTTTCCAATAATATTGCCTGTGCTGCATTTTGTGCTTTCCTTCGTTTCCAATAACGCTGCTGGTACTGAAACGGTCCTTTCTTTACAATGATACTACTGATATTTTTAAGGTGCTGTTTTAGTTTTATTCTCGTCATTCTTGATAAAAGAAAAGGTGAAGATTTGCTGTTGGCAGCTTGTGCGGTGCCGCGCATCGAGAACGTCATCGCACATCAGTCCGCGCGCGGTGAAAGCTACTGCGCCTTATACCCCGGAAATTAGGGTATTTCCGTTAATGCAGACTACGCAGTTCAGCACCGCAGCCTTTGATCTCAACAAAACAGAGCTATGCTCTCCTGAAGGTGAAATAGGTTTTCAAAATCCTCATATCTTCATCCCTTTAGAGACAGGAAAGGCGGTATACAATATGGCAATCTCGCTTTCGTTGCTTTGAGCAGACATTAGATAGATAATCTCTCTTGTTTAAAGAATTGAAAGTCTTGTATCGATTGGTAGGCTTCAAAACTTGGCTATCTGGATATCAAACATGGGTGATCCCGTGTGATTGCGCCAGAAAATTTTGCAAGTGCTCATGTTGAGATGTATCATAAATATATATATATATGATATACACGATTTTATATGTTGTTGTATCGAATTACCGCTATTACTTCTGCTATCATTACCATTTATCACACAATCTAAGATTTTTGGTGGTGCAGGCGTGGAATACTTAGCGCAAATGGAATCATTGCGCTGTCAGATTGAACCTTTCTAGAGCAGTTCTACGTGATAGAACCTTGCTAAAGCGAGCTCTGAATTCTTCCAGTAAAAGTACGTTATTCTATTCTACTCATGGCAACCTGCACTTGGCAGACTCTGATGGCGAGACGTTTCAATGTTACTAGCAGGCAAATATACACCTTGCAGCACCTTCCATCTTCAGACTGCGCTAGTACATGTGTAGGCCTACTCCCTTTTTCGCCCACTCGTTTTGAAACCGTAACCCTTGCTTGGGTTTATGATCCAGTCACTAAATTCCTGTCACTGCATCGGGTAATCAATGTTAGCGCAAACTTTGCTAACAGTGACAATGACCCGCCCCATATTCGACCGACCAACCACCAACACGAGAGATGATTGTGTTTGTGTGTGAACGGGCGGATAGCGTGGGAAACAGCGGGCGGCAAGGTGAGAAGACAATTCCCTGACATGACGTCATTGTCGGCGATGATCGCTCGTTGTTGTCTGGCGGCGTGTGTATGCGCTATGCACTCATCACCATCAGTGCGCCGTGTTGTTTGTGGACGTTTTTGTCGGGCGCGCGACGCCGCTGTGCCGCCCGGCGCGGTCGATGCGTCATGCCAGCAACCGGCCTGGAAATGGGCGCTGCTGGTGCTTTGGATTGCGGGGCTGGCGAAATGACTAGGGCTGAGACGCACCCGTCATGGCCAATGTGCATTCCGATTCGCGTCCACCAGTAAAAACAGCAACAGACTAGCACACTCACTCACACACACACATACACACACATGGTTCCCACGGGCGGCAGAGCTAAGATCAATTCCGCGTTTACGTCGCACTCGCTTTCGCATCATAGAAGGCGGGACTTTCTGGGGGTTCCCCAACCAACGAGCATGTAGTGCAAATAGCCAAGACGACGAAATCGTCACGTGAATAAGAGAGAGCAGACTATCTTTCATTCCATGTCTCGCACCCTTTCCACTTGCTTCACTCGGTGAAGCATTCTTGCATGACCATAGCTCGCTGCATTTCATCGTTTGCATCAGAAGCAGTCGGTTGGCAATTTTCATTCTATACTATTTCTGCTAGCCAACTTTATAATGAATCAGGCTGTGTAATTTAACAGGTAAATTCTTCCATCACTGTTGTCCAAGTTCACTTTGCTATCTCACACATTTAACTCGCTCATTCCCAGGGAGGTCACCGTATTTCAACCGATCTCCAATTTTATAGACATTCTAATTTAGATGTCGATTTTATATCGATGAAGGCACTTATGTTCCACATTTCGAGGTTTTGGGGTTCAAAATTGCGTTCTACTCTCCAAATTTTCATGCTAAAACAACCACGAAAAAGCTTCGAATTATCACATAGTTACAGTGCATCAGTTAGGAATTCAAACGTAAAGGAGCTGTTATCTCTAACTCTTCCTACGTAGAGTAAGTGAAGGTTAAAAAAGCGTGATTTCATATTTTTACAACGTGTGCAATTTGCTGCCCATATCTTTCGCTATACTCTGATTTGATCAATGCGCAATTTTTTTATTTCTAGGATCAAAACGTTCCAAACGGTGGCACACCATTTGGAGCTGATCGGTACGCGGCCACAGCCGCCGCGGTAGCTGCAGGAGCCGGGTCGATGAACCATGGCAATGGACCGCCAAAGCATGCTCAACTGGCTGGTGTGCAGCAGCAAGAGTGGCAACAGCCTCGATCCCCTTCACAACAGCAGCAAACGGGTCACTCACAGCAACAACCAGGTATTCTTTCGTGATTGTTTTCATCAAAAGCCTTTCAAACAAGTTGTATTGCTTACAGAAGGCCAATCTCAAACTCAACAACAACTCCCTCCCCAACAAATACCACAGCAGCAACTCCCACCGCATCAGGCACAACCACATCCTTATGCAGCTGCTTACCCGCCGCAATTTATGCAGGGCAGACCACCTGGTTACCCTATGTATCCCGGCTACCCGGGAATGCCTCCTGCACAGCCTGGATATCCTGGAGCTCCCGTCGGCTACCCGGCACATTTGATGCGACCGCAGCAACCAGAACTTGTTCGAATGCCACAGGGACCTACACCAGCGGAATGGGCAGCTCAGCAACAGCGGGCAATGAAGGTATGGCATCAGTTATTGCATGGTTTGCTTTTGTTGTTGTTGTTGTTGAGAATTGATGTAAAGGTGCGCTCACCATTTTGGTGTCTAGTATTAATACTGTAATCGTCGCGCGGAAAGGGTTACGCTCTTTCATAATGATCGCTTGTAATTCAGAACCAATTCTATTTTCTCCAATATTTTCTCCAACAGGAAGCCAATCCACCAACTCCTGCGAGCATGCCAGCTCCTAGTCCTGCTGCCTCTTCCATAGCTGATGACTCTATGGACGACAAATCTCGATTAGAATCACCGAGTTGGGCTAATCAGGGACAGGTACTTGCTGGATGCCGTGTATAGTCTTGAATTGGAAGGCACTTCATAACTTCCCTCTTTTTCAGCGCACTCCTCTTCCACCTGGAGCGCAAACCCCAGCGGCTACTCCACAGATGCATGCGGGTGGACCACCTCCCGCTGGAATGATGATGCATCCAGGAATGATGCCACCGCAAGGTATGATGCCTCCGGTGATGCAGCCAACCCCACCTTCTGGACCCAGAAAAGAAAGTATCGTTGACAAACTTGTGAGTTATCTGGAAGCCGGAGTGCGGTTTGTACAGTGACTTCTTTGTAGGTGGGTCCACCTAATGCTGCAAATCCGCCAAGAGTCATGCCAGAACGGCGCATGTTTTTTGAGCGCCTTGTACAGTTTTGTGAGCAGCATGGAGAGCCGATAACCATGATACCACAAGTAGGATCTCACGAGCATAGTCTTTCCCAGAGATTTCAAAATTACTTTTTAGGTCTCAAAACAGAACGTGGATTTGCACAGACTCTACATTGGGGTACGAAATCGCGGAGGATTTGAGCAGGTGTGTTAACAACATGTCTGAAAGATTTGCAGTTGTTATTGAAGAAAGATTTTTGACATAAATTAAGTATGGCCATTGTGTCACCCCTTTTTTGACTGGCGAAAATAAACTTGAATTGTATTAGCTCTTTTTTATGCTTGCTTCCTTCTTCATTATTATCTTGTCAATTCAATCCTTTCTACCTCTGAGCGGCAAAGTTGGTCAATAATTGAGCAGAAAGACATGTGCTTATTATCGATGCACTTTACATTTTTACATTTTTCTGCATGCTCGTTCCCAAGCGTTTTTTTTTTTGAAGAGCACAAACCTTATTTATGGTTCTGCTATGTTCCGCATATCTGTTTGTACTATGGTGCAATGAATTTTTGGCAGGAACTACATAGAATCATTGCATATGGTTTTTCTTGCAGGTGACCAAAGACAAGGCTTGGAAAGCAATCTGCACGGAAGCGAACCCAGAGATTTCGCAGTCTTCGGCCGCAGGCTATCAACTGCGCAAGCACTACGAAAAACACTTGTTGCTACTTGAGTGCGTTGAGACGGGTAGACGACCAGAAGATGCAGTGGCGTTTGCCGATGGACTCAAAAGACAGCGGCGAAAGGAGCCAGCTGCATCAGCCGCCGCCGCCGCAGCGCCACCAGCCAGTGCCATGCCACCTTTTCCTGGTGAGTAGAAAACACTCATTCATATCATAGCATATGCCGTACTGATTAGTTATACTTATTCGATGGCGGAGGTTGAAACCTATCTGGTGTTAGTACAGTACGTTACACTAAAGTCTCAAAATGCGTGGCTGCGTCAGAACTATTCTTGTAAATCCGGCTTGATTACCTATGATTACTTTATCCCCTTTTCTCATACTTCTGTGAAGCGCACTCAATCGCCGTAGGATATAATTCCGGGGTTATCACATGAGGCGTATTTTAACGCCTTACTCTTCGTATCATATCAAATGTGGTCGCTGAGGTGTGTAGGCAGCCCTCATTAACGGCGCCGTTGGATGCGGTTGGCAAGGCGACGTCGTTTGTCGCTCATCAATACAGTACGAACAAGAGAAAGTGTTAGGATGAATTACGCTTATCTGATTACATTAGAGCGATTTTGTGTGATAAGTAAGCGGAATTTAGATCACTCTGATAAAGATAAAAAGTAAAAGTTAGTTTTGTTGCATCTTCTTGAACGAAAATGATGGTGATGACGTTGAGGTGATGCATCGGAAAGAAACAGCAATTACCTGTTGCCTTGGATTCTCGTTCTCGAAGAGGAGACGTCGATGCGCATGGCGCAACCGATGTTTTTTTGATTTGAGCAGGCCCTAAAATGATAGATTGATCGTCGCGGGTATCACTACACTTGGAACGACATCGACTTTGGTAAAGTGCGAAACGCGTTGAGAAGAAGATGTGATAGCAATCGTACGAGCACACTTATTCGGTAACGAGATGATCGCAGCACGCTGCATGAGCACCAGTAGACAAATGGAGAAAACACGGAGCGGATCGTCGTGCGTCCATGCGACCTACACATAATGACGATAGTTGTCGAAAGTCATAGACGGGAATAGTGCCTCTTACTGAGGTTTCTGTAGCCGTCTAGCAGTGCCCGTTCTCACCCCCTCTGGGCTGTACGCGCTCTCCACAACTGATTATACGTTGCTGGGCGTTCTCGTCTCGTCTTTCTCGCCCTGCGTATCCAGCACCTGCTGTTCAGACCGCCTCCTCTCTCCTGGGCCGGTGGCGCTGCTGCTGTTGCTCGTGCCTACGAAGGAACAGACAGCCCCGTTTCGACAATCTAACCGTAACTACTGCTCGGGTTTTTCCCGATGCGGTTATCACATCTCGCGAACAGCTGTTTCATCCACTTGCTAGTGTCTATTTTAGGCTGTGCTTTTCAATTTTCGGCGCGCTTTCATCTCCGAGTGATGCTGCAATTCGCGTATGGGTGTTCTCACGGTCGCTTATGCGTCTGTGTCGGGTCGTATTATGTAGTGCTCAAATTGGACATAAAATCTCGTTCTATATTCACGTATACGTCATCATGCTTACCACGCCCATTGTGTGTTTCGCTCTCGCTGTCTTCAGTGCTTGTATACTGTGTATTTTCACCGTCATATCGTCATCAACAGTGGCAGTGATCTTTGATTTTTTGTCGTCTCTATTTCTGTACGCGAAGCTAGGCGCACGCGGACTCAACTTGCGATGATCTCTGAGAATATGCTGACATATTCAGGTGACATACACTACCTCCAACAAACACAACGCTCTGGGACGGACGAAGTATACGGCGAGAATCGCTAACAGCTTAGAGATCAACATTTCACTCCCGAAGAGAGCCGACAGTTACGGCGGCGGCGGTGCTGGTGGCTGCTATCCGGTAGCCGCTGCTTACAGCAGCTCGCTGCCGTCGACAAGCTTCGCTACTCCGTCGCCTCAACCGGTACCGATGGGTGCACGTACAGCGATGGCTACTGCCACCTGGTATCCGCAGAATCCACAGCAAGGCAGTGGCTACCTGACCGCTTCGGTTCCGCAAGCGAGGCCGGCGACGAACGGACCTTGTGCGTCTACGTCGACATACCCGCAACCGGGATACCCAAGCTCTTCTGCGTCGCCGGGTTCTATGAAGATGTCACCAAATGCTTCCCCCTATGCGCAGTACGCGCTAAATTACTATCATCAGCAGAATATCGCTCGGGAGCGCGAACGTGAAGCTTACTATCGGTCGCGGAATATGATGATGCCCATGTTGCCACACCAGCAACAAATGCAACAACCCCCGGACTGGAGAACCTATGGTAGGTTTTGATGGCCACTAAATCAGACTTCTTAGTGAAATTTTATCCGTTCTTTTGTGTGCTTCCTTCTTTAGCAGTGCGAATTTCTTTTACATACTGTCATGCCAAAATTTACATTGCCTTTTTTGTCGTTCAAAGTAGTCGAAGATGCATCGCCTTGAAAATTTCTGTCTTTCCGCGGTCGCGGCAGACACGATGTGATAACGCACGGTGGTGTTTTAGTGATGAGGTGTGCGTGTGTTTCTTCGACGGCAGGTTCTGTCTCTCTCTCCTGAAGATGAGCGGCTGTTCTCGGTTAATTTGACGAGCGAGATTCACCGAGACTCACCAGCTGACCCTGCGCGCCTGTGCGTGCTCAAGTTTCTGTTGATGTACTTTTGAGAAGTCGAGAATGAGAATTGCTTAGGATTCATGACTTTGGGATTGAGTACGCGGCCAGGTGTACGATCATTGCGACTGTGTGTGTGGAGAGATGGAATCCTCAAAATCATGGTTTTTATGCGTCAACTAGTGAACATGTTATCTGAGCTCAGGATTTGTGATATTTTTTCTTTTTTTTTTTGTCCCATATCTGACTAAGCCTCCGTAATTGAGTTTTATGAGCTGGGGGTGGTTTCTTTCATGAGTCCCACCCACTAAGTCTCATCAAAGTGCTAATAGGCATTTATGTGCTTTGAAGTCCATGGAAAGTGTAAACATTGTTGTATGCTTTCATTACGGATTTTCTGTATATGCAGCTTCTCTAATCCAGTGTCAGTGGCACGCTAATCCTTCGCTAAGATTAGGTAACAGCTATGTCAGGATAAGCTTTCCTGGCATTATCCGCACTGCGAATTAGTGCTGATTGCGGAGTAAATCGAGTGTAAATATCATCGCGATGTTGTGATCAATGATTTCTAAACCAGTGAGAGAAGTTTTCCGTTTTTTTTCTTTCAGGACCTGCTAAAGTGTGTAGCTCACTCTTATCGTTCATTTTACACACAATCTTTGTTAAGCATAGCTTTGACTTTAGCGGCGAATACGGTGTTGTCATGGCAACATCGTCGTCGTGGTCGTCGTCGGAAATATGGGTTAGTGCTGCGCGTACGTGTGTGAGTGTGTGCGCTGCTTGCTACTGCTAGGGTGCGCTGTGAAACCGTCGATGTCGATATTGCATTACGTTAGGTGTGTAGTGTGTGTGATGTGTGCATGTGTGTGCTGTATTTGCGGTCTGCCATCCATGGTTGCCCATCTAATGAAAACGGAGCGAGATAGTGGCGACGAACTGTTCGCGCTTACAGCGCAACCCAGCCAGTCTGCCACGAAACATCGGCTGTTTTCGCCGTTCCTGACGTTTTGTTATCAATTTGAACCGCCGCGACAGCAGCGGCGGCGAGCGAGCGGCGACACGTCGGGTTCCCCCGTTATTCGGCGCGACGGGGCGTTCGTTTTTGAAAGCGCCGACCGATGCGTTGTCAAATGCGACACAGAGGTGCGGTGTTATCTGCGGCTGATTTGAAAAGTGCTCTGATTGCGGCAGTGGGTGTTTGATGCATAGGGGTATGTGTCTTTGTGAAGGGAGAGGTGAAAATGTATTGCATGGCGAAATAATGTGAAAAGAGTTTGAGGATAGTTCAATCATCGAAAAGTAGGTGACTGACTAATAATGTAATACTTGAAAATGCAGAATATTCCAGTACGTTGTTATGATATCAGAACATTGAAAATGCGATTTTACACGATCAAACTGCACTTTTATCAAAGAGTATCAAAGGACAGTGGAATGGGTGATGTACTCGTATAGGATTGTGAGTTTGTGAAAAGAACGCGCCAACTGTTAATAATTTATTCAATAATTGAAGTGAGCTGCGGAGTGCAGTTGTTTGCTAGTTAACAAATGGTTGAATTGTGATGTCTAAAAGGTAGGCAGCTTCGGGGTGGCTGAGCGATCACGCGAATGTTACTGCATCCACTTTCCCACATTTACATCTTTTTGTCTGGTATGATAAGAACGGCTGATCAGATTTTTTTGAAAACCCAAAATTAAGCCCTGGTCAACTTGCTGGGGTATTTTCAAAAATTTTTCGAGTTTTGTGCGAGCTCACTGGCATGCTTATCAACCTATTTCCAGGTCCAGCGCATCCTCAGCCTGGTCAGGATCCATCATTATATTATCAACAACAGCAACAACAGCAAGCTGCTGCCGCCCATGGATATCCACCAGGAAGTTTGCCTCCTGGCGCCTCCTATCCGCCAGCCGGGTATCCGCCACGGTTACCTCCAGCGACGCCTATGCGAGCACCCCATCCACAGCCACATATGGTGCGACTTTTTCTTTTTCCTTCTGGAGACAGATGACATTTTTTATTTGCTTCTATTTGCATTTGTTTAGCCGGGAGCACCACAGCCAGATCTGTCCCAATTGGACGAACAGCAGCGGCAGCACTATTTTATGCAGCAGCAATACCATCAACAAATGGCAGCACAACAGCAACATCAGCAACAACAACAGCAACAGCAACAACTTCAGCAAGCGCAGACCCCGCAACCTGCATCGCAGCAAAGTCTTGCTGTCCCCGGCCAAACGCCGCAGCCGGCAACACCTGGCCGACCTGGTTCCGTTCAACCGGCAACGCCTGCAGCTTTGCAGGTGAGTTTTTTTCGATTGCGAGATTTGCTCATGAAGCGAATGGTGCACGCTCTCTTCTATGCTTTTTTTTCCGTTCAGATGGATACATCCAGTCAGTCGGGCAGCCGAGCGCCAAGTACAGGACCAGCGGCTAGTGCCGCCTCACCGGACAGTAGTTCACGGATGAGTGCTGGCGCCGATGTCGCCGAACAGCAGCGGCCCGGATCGGCTGTCGTGCGAACGCCAGCGGCTACGCCAACGCCTGGACCACATCCTGTGCCACAGCCCTCTACAAGGTCTGCTTTTTGATTTTTTCGTCACCTTTTCCTTCGTTATCTGCCATATCTTCTGAGATTTCACTGTCTTCACAAGTGGATCAATCATGCCTAATAGACTGTGTCATGTGGACATCATTGTTGGCTAGACAGCATTAAATGTTAATTTGTTGAAATATACATTTTTAATTTATCAAAATTCTATACATTAACACTTTTGATGTAATAACTGGGTGAAAAAAGGCATTTGTTGTGATGCGAAAATTATGCCTGTTTTGTAGTTGGATTAGCCGTCACTTCTCAACTTTTTCAACTGAAAAATTATTTTTTTTACATTGCATTTGCGCATGTGCATCGTTGCGAAAACCAAAAACGTTTCCTGCTCGTTTATGTTAGAAACGATGACAGGCATCTGTATGCAGAATGTGCTTACGTGGCTATGGCGGTCGGCAACGCGCGTTTATTGTGAGAAGAGATGGCGCAGCGGCTCCGCGATTCTCCCCGCCGATCGCTCATCGCCGATGTCGACTCGTCGGCCGTCATCGACCATCGGCTGTCGAGCCACCACCACAGCCAGTCAGCCCACCATAGTGTCGATTCAGCTTCTTTCAGCACTTTGAAAGTCCATTTTCCATTCTTTTTTCCACATCGTCCTTCGTGTCATCGATGATTCGGACGAGTTGTCCGTCTTCGTCTCTCCGTGTGTGATTAGCGTTGGCTGGCGTTGATTGTCACCGGGAAGATGGAGAATGACCTTGCGCGCGGCCGGTTTGCGCCATCGTGCCCCGTAGCTGATGCGGCGGCCCCCTCACGGTTTCTTACGGCGCAGGCTCCATTGATTCAAGGCTTTACATTTCGTACAAGTTTTCTTTTCGGGTTTGATAGTGGTCAGGGTTCATTTATCTCATAGTATAAGTACGCTTCTTGATATAGGAAGGCTTAAATGTGGTTATGTATAGTAGGAGCCACAGTCTATGTTTTTTCTGAACAAGGTCCTACGCGTACTTCTGTACAAAAACATGTATGTCACCTAAGCTTCACTAATCATCGTTTTTTTCACTGAGTAACACGTAGCTATTTTTTTTATTACTTCTGACATCTCCACAATGTTCAGTTTTGCAATATTCTAAGAACTACAGTGGTAGTTGTGGTAGTTGCTTATTGCTTGTAAAATAAAGCAGCTCACTGGTGGGAGATAAAGTCCCTAGAGCAGTGTTTAAGTGTGAGAATCAAAAAAGCTTAGAAGGGGTGTTGAATTGTTGATTGTATTGTGTTCACTCACCGAAAATTTATTCTGTTATAAGCGAATGTGTAACATTCAATAGCTCTATATGATTAAACCTGTCTTCATGAAATTGTGGGGTTCAAAAGCTTGTTTTGTTTGTTGCAAGCGTTTTTTTTTCACCTATATACAACTGAACAAACATCCATTCTTTTGTTTTTTAGGCTATTGTAATTTGATAGTGCATAGTGCAGATGTCCTATTTCCCCTGCTTTCTGCGATCTGTCATTAATTGAAAGTTCTTGCTTGGTTCTGACGTGTCAGCGAGCATTCCGCGCTTTTTTTTTCTCGGCTATTAATGTGTTCGCAATTTCGTTGCCGAGTGCAGTAAATTCCCATGACGCACCCCACGATGCCATAATTATCCGGCCCAGGTGACGTCAGCAGTCCTTAGTGCACGCGTTTTTTTGCTGCGGTCCCGGGCGAACATGTTGATTGCTCGATGAATACGCGTTTTTACCAGTGTTCACACGTGTTGACCTTTGAGTCAAACATGTTCGGAGATCCACATGTTCTGTGATTGGTTTAGTTGACTTTGCATGTGTAAACCAAGTGTAGGTGACATGTTCAAACATAAAAACAGACGGGAAAAAAGTTGCAGCTTCCCGCTCTATTTACGCTTTTTCAGTATGGCTGCGGTAGGACAGCCGGGGCAGTCGGCTGGTGTGCCGCCGCAACCACCAACAGCGCCCTTCTATGGACAACCGGCACCAATGTATCCGAATGGACCACCGCGAATGCCAGGTAATCCTGTTCGTCTCATGTTTCTCTCCCAAAGTTGCTTTTTCTTTACATGTGGAGAGCGGTTTGACATTAGATTATCAGCACACTCTCAAATGAACTTCTTGAACTTTTTTATAAGATAATAATAAAGTCATTTTTTGGTTGTTAGTTGATAACTGATTGATGAATCAAACCCTGGTAAGAAATGTTGTTGCTCGACGTCGAGAAGGACCAGATATTATGTACCAATTAGTCACTTCTAGTAGAATCCAGCAATTCATAGTACGAAAAGCTTTCTCCTAAATATTATTAATATTGTGCTTCATCTTTCAAGTCATTCAAGGTAAAGAATTTGAAAAGAACAACAACTTCGATTTTATGGTACATGTCAATATCATTCTATGCTCACGCTCTTTCATAGTAATTTTATTCCAGTGATCATTGCGTTTGCATCTTTTTTTTTTTACTTTTTGCAGTTTTTAAGAAGTTGCTTGTAGGTGCACCTGTTGGGTATCCGGCTGGGTATCCATACCACCCTGGACATGCTGGTGTTCCTCCTGGTCATCCAGGTGCTCAACAACAAGCTCCGCAATTTGCGCCAGCACCACATCCTGCTGCTCATCCTTCTCACCCGCAACACCAGCAGTATCTGCAACAGCAGCAGGTAATTATTTGTCCATATTTTGTTTTGCTACTTTTAGAAATTTTGCAAAACCTTGAGTAGGCGGTATGCTCCTCAGTTTTGCATAGCATTTGGATTTTCACATGTTATCTTTACTTGTTAGCTTAACACAGTGAAAATATTTGTCATCCTGTTTGTGGACGCTTTTCTATAATGCTAGTACAGTATTTGCAGATGTGGCACCAACGAGGCGGCTATCCAGGACAAATTCCTCCACAACCCTCTAGATATGGATATCCACCAAGAATGCCACCACCACAAAGTACAACTAGTCATCAGAGTGCGGCCTCGCCTGGAGCAAGCAAGATGAGGGTATGTATGACTTCAAATATTCTGTCGTTATGTGTTTGAGGTCAAAAACATATTCTTTAGTATCCTGCTCAAGTGGCGCAACCTCAGCCGGCAGTGACTCCGCAGCCACAACAACAAGCGTACGCAGCTAGAGCTCAGATGGGCTCTTATCCGCCGGTCCCGTCTCAGGCTCCAGCCCCAACTCCATTAGTGCCACCTGTAATGTCCTTCTCGCATCAACATCATTTCCCTCATGGTAGCGTAGAAGCAACGGTGATCAGCCAAAAGAGGAGACGTAAAATTTTGGCGAGAGAGTTGATAAATGTGAGTTGATGCTGAATTTCTTCTTATTTCTGACATCCATACTTTTGCAGGCCACTCCTCGACGTCTCATCATGGCCCTGCGCAGTGGTTTGGAAACAGAGGCGATATGGGCGATAAATGCTTTGAATGTGCTCTTGTACGACGATACCAATCCGCATCCGTGCCTGACTCAGATGCCTGGCCTTCTGAATGTAATTATCGAGCATTTCTGGGCAACGCTGTCGGTCCTGTATCCTGACAACTTCCCTGTTAGTTTTTCGCTATCTTGACGTTGTACTTTACCTTTATTTCTGTCAACGTGAGATAACCATTTCTTTTTACAGCTGGGTGAACCATCTCGTTTCAAGATTCCGGAGGGAAATCCCGATGCACTGCGTCTGCCGTATCTGACGAATGGAAGTGCTCATGAGGAGGTGAAACAGCCAGTTGCGGCTAGAAATCCTGAGACTAAGAAGAATTATAACAAGGTATCCTTGCTATGTTCTGTAATTTTTTTATTTTTTCTGCATTTTTTGCGGACACATCCAATTTTCTTTTCATTTCGACGCGCTAATCTTAGCGCAGTGTTAGTCATTTCTTATTCACCAAATGTTCCAGTGTTCAAGAACGGGCCGAAAGGTAAAGATACTGGACGCTGAGATGCCAGAGTTACTCAAGCGAAAACTCATGCTAGAAGAAGGTCCAAGCTCACTGCCTACTGATGGTACGCCAATCTTTTTAGCTCTCTGTATCAGTTATAGCTTTACTACAACGTCTTTTTGTAGATACTCTATCTGTCCATTATGTGGAGGAAAAAATCAAGATGGGCCTTGGAGGTGGACTTGCCGAAAGAGTTGCACTACGTCTAAGAAATGAGTGGAATGCTGCAAAGATCCAAAGTCGAGCTAGATTTAGCATTTATGAGAAGAATAACGCGAAAGAGGAGGAGTGCAACCCTGAAGCACTAACGAATGGATCGGTGAAAGTAAAAGAAGAACCTGAGGATGTTGACGAAGAGCAAGAGGAGAAGGTTTGTGAATATTGTGTTGGTTGAAGTTGATATGCTAGTTTCCGGTCACTTGCAGATCCCGGAAATTCTATTGCTTCGTCGAGGGCGCAAAGATGAAATGGCGGAAGGCTTAAATGATTTTGAGATACGCTGGCCTCGCGCAACAGCACTCACAGATAGAGATGAGACACTGCACCGATTTGTAAGTTTTGATCGTCAAGCCAGCACTCATCTTCGTAGCTTCGTAGTTCATTCATTTCCATTAGTTTTGTGCTGATTATCTTTGCTTCGTAGCGCTTCAAATTATCCTTCGAATCGTCAGTAGTCCAATTCTCAACATTTAAACTGAATTTCTGCGTGCTTTCGATGATATCACTTTCTTTTCATTCACGGAAGCCCTATCTCGCAGTCTTTTTGCAAAGAAACTGCTTTTCGATTTTTCAAACAATTTTTTCATAATCTTATTCTAGACGTTACGTGCTTTGGCGCTGTCAAACATTCTACGTGGCTTCTCTTTCCTACCCGGCAGTGAGCATCTCTTATGCGCACATAGTGGATTGCTGTACGTCTTAGGGCGCTTCTTGCAATTGTTGTCCACCGAAATGCCTGTACAGCGGGCCAAGCCAGCGCCAAAGATTGATGTGGTGAGTTTCGTTTTTTAATAGGATGTAACGTCTACATGCTTTCATAAACTGTATCTTTCTCAGGATGCTCCATTACCAGAGCCAGAATCTTACGAAGTCGCCAGAAATCGCGCTCTATCTTTGTTAGATTGTGATGACTGCGAGCAAGTACTTTTGGTTGAGACTGCAAATCAGTTGAGAGACGATGCATTCGTGATGCTTTGCCATATGAGTGTAGCGGTTAGTTTCTGTTTTATTCAAATTTTGGTTTTTTCCCCAAGTCTCAAGCCCTAGTCTTACTCAAATTTCCAAGTTTAGCTGGATCTTTTCGAAGTGCCTAATGATTTGGCTTATCCAATCTATGATGGCATTCTTCACTGGTGTGCATCTAGTGTGCCTGAAGCGACAGATCCGATACCACCTGCGGCAGTTTCACCAAGGTTTGTATGTTTCATGGGTTTTGTGGAATTAGCCAACAATGTTATGTTACCCAGGAATTACTGCTTGGAAATCATGTGCAAGATGTCGGTGCTGGAGCGAAATGTCGACATGCTGTTATCTACGGGAGCATGGCCTCGCCTAGAAAAGATTGTTTGCATGTTGGCAAGGATGTTAAGCATGAGTGAAGAAACGCACAACAGGTAGGATTCGTAGGGTATAATTTCTCGCTTTTTCACAGCACTGTTTGAATTTGGGATGGCACACTATGTTCTTCGTTGCAGAGAGTTTGCCATTGTGATCCTGAATGCTTTCTGCAACGCATCTGAAGCGGTATGCTACGTAGCAGCGATGCAAACACCCACAATTGCGAACCTGGTTTCATTTATTGAAACATCTGATCAGAGCATGCATCAGGTAATTGAATTGCTCTCTTTTTTTTTTGTTCCCAAATGAAGAGAATTTATCTCGGATCTCTCAAAGAGTTTCTCAGTTGTACGTTGTTATCCAGGTTATGCAAACACATGGCATGCCAGCATTGCGTGATAATCCCGAAATGATGGGCACGTCAGTAGGAATGCTTCGCAGAGCAGCCGCTATGCTGCGCCTGCTAGTTAAAGTTCCAGAAGCCTACCGGGTATACGCAAAGTACCAACAACGACTGCTGCAGTTCACAATGAGTCAGCTGGTCAGTTTTAATTCGTTCTAAGTTTTTTTTCTGTGATTTTTTTTTGAGTTTTTACTTCATTGAAATGATTTACAACTTGCACCACATCTCCTATACCTTCTTCTCCTTTTTGAAGGCAGGATCTCTCAGATGTGCTTCACAATTTCTTCTACTTTTAAGCAAGGTTACTTAAAATTCTAAAACCTTCTTCAGATGGATTCTCGAGTGGCTGGTATGATCGCGGATGCACTGTATGAGATACAACTAATGCTCGGCAAAGAAAATATGCAAAACGAGACGAAAAAGGAGACAAATGGGAAAGACAACGGAGGTGAGTGCACATCTTTTATACAAACCTCTCTTTTCTTATCTGCAGTAATTTTTTTTTCTGTAGAATGATTTTATCGTATTTCAGTATAATGTCGAATCAAGTATTATTTTTTATGAGTATTTTGTAAGAAGTAATTGACTGGTCGTAACCATTTTTATATTGCCGTATTTCAAATCAGTTTCTGCTCAAGTCATCTGAGCGCAATGCACGTTAAGGGCATATGAATCACTGCTTTCACGTACAGCCGTTTCTCTGTTTTTACTTTGACACGTCAAACTATGGTTTAGATGCTTCTGAAGTGGTCAAATCTGAACCTGCAGCCGAGGATTCAGCATCGTCTGCATCCACAGATGTCGCAACGGAAAATGCTACCAATCATGAGTCTTCTCCAGCAACTATAAATGGCGACGCGAGCACCCCAGCAAAGAAAGTGGCGACAAAACGGCCTGGAATTCGCGACGATGTTGGTTTAGTCTGAACGCCAGAACTGATATCTTTAACCAAGTAGTTCATAAATTTGCATTCTAGTGTGTGGCCAAAGCACCGGCAACAAAGCGTACATGTCTGGAGAATGGGTATGAGAAGAAGAACGGGAAGTTAGACAGCAGTCCGTTGAAGATAAAGGAAACTCGTGCAGAGAATGGATCCATGACAGCAGTGGCGTAATCATAGTGGATGAACTGGCTACAGGCTAACATCCAGCGTCAACATTGTCACCGTGGTATTGCGCCCATAATCACATCGAACACCGTGCACGTGTGAGGTGTTTGTTTCTCTCTTGTTTGTGCACGTACGGCGACTGATTCCTATAGAGAGCATCAGATGCATAGCATAGGTATTGCTGAATACCGGTAGGGCCCGCCAATACCCCGTTTTTTGGGTTGGCTGGCCCCTTCAAGTAAGGTCCTCGTTCGTCCGGTTCTTCATCTTCAATTTCCTTGTTCATTTCATAAAATTCCTGCTCTGCTTTGTCTTCGTATTTTATCAGTCAATTCACTGCTCGGGATAACTCTCCATGTAAGTATTACTTTAGCAGTTATCATTTTTAACACTTCTTTGTCTGGATACATGAGCTCGGCCCCAATTGCGTGCGAGTTTCACCTTTCCTTCGCTACTGTTGACAGGTTGTGTAGAAACGCATGTGACGCCATTTATCGTCTATGTCCCCTTCATTAATTTCATTTTTTCTTCCCTGTAGAAACTGGTTAGGGTGTACTGTACCGTTATAGCTTAGCTGTACAATTACAGTTTCTACGCGTTACAAATACACGGTAATAGCGCATCTGTTCCCATGGTTACTTCTCTTGGCGTTTTTCATGATACTTTGTCTCGGCTGATTTTGTGCACCTGGGATTATCGGGTCAAGAGTTCTATTTGTTTGTGAATGGTTTCAGTGTGTGGCGTGTTTCTCTCCCTTAAATGTGTGTATGTCGTGTGTTCGTCGGGACACAACCGGGTTTTTTTTGTACCCAGATGTCCCACGATAAACCTCAACTCAAAATGTCCTTCTTTTATTTCATCTTATGTAAGTTAATGTCGAGTTTTACATTTTCTAATACAATTTGCTCAGCCAGTGCTGCTTTTGAAGATTCAATTCCCCGTTCCCCTTCCCTTCCCGTCTCTCCCCTTGGTTTTTATGAGATGAAATGGTGATTTTTATGTGGTGTTTTTTGTGCTACTCCTGCTGCTAACGGCGCCATTTTATATTATAAGTTATGACATTCTGAAACCAAGTTGCGTTGTTCTAGAGAGAATCTCCCAAGTTGTCCGTTCGTCCGTTCATCCCGATTATGTTTGTTTGTTCACATGCATTCATCCACATTCATTCAAGTTCTAGGGGCATACATTTTGAAGTAAATAATATTAACTTATGATGTATTTGTTGGCTACGTGGACTGCAGTTTGAGTTTGCGCTGCTGTGTATATTTCTTTTCCCTTCCTTTTCTTCTTTTTCCCTTTTTCTTTGTCATGTCATATATGTATCATATGACAGTTGTTTGAAACACGAACATGTGTACGTTTCTCGAGTCAGGAATAAAATGATCTATAAAAATGACGTTGTTCAATTTAAAGTGACGACGACATACGAAAGAGATGCCCTTGCGGGTGAAAAAGCTGAAGCGATACCGTAACTTGAAACTAGGCCGCACATTTGTCGACCCACAACCACCTGTCAGAGCCTCACAAAGGTTGGGAAGATCTGCTTTCGATACTAGGCGCTAGAAAGTTCGAAAAATGGAAAGGTGAGGGAACAGCTCATTTGGAGGTATGTTTTACGTAGAATAATGGTTTTAGTGTGGAATGCAGTGAATGCGAGTTTCGTAGAATAAGCGTTGAGGAATCATCTGACTCGATTTTTTCGCGGAATCAAAGTTTCTGCGTCCTGAGACCAAATTGTTGCACTTGCAGTAATTCTTGTCGACTCTACGACAACTGCTCTTGCAGTAATGTGTAATTCTTCCTAGTATGCATATTTGTTGATAGTGACAGTCGCACGGACTGCAGCCATTGTGAGGTGCAATGTTTATGAAGCTAGGAAGATACAGCACAGGCTTTCATAATACTTGACACTCTCCATACGTAACGGCACCTAAACAACAGTAAAAATAGAACATAGAAACTCTGTAGAAAACGTAATTGAGGCCAAAGGGCAACCTTATCCTGGAAGAGGTGCAACTGCACGTATAGTAAGCAAAAGACCTACCCGCTCAGGATTCAGCGTACTTGGTAAAATCACTAGCCCGCCAGCTACCACGTGTGTAGCTTATGCAGCAGCGGGCTGGATTTGCAATCCCCACTCTTACTAAAGGGATAGGGGATTTATATGTCGATAGCCTCCACCCCGCGCAGAGCTGGTACAACTCTGTGTGCCTGTATGATATGGAGATGCGCGCTTTGTCGCAGATGTCCGCACGGAATCACCCCCTTTCGGCGACATATAGTCCTCCACCCTTACTAAAGGCGAAAATCTGACGGTAACTATAGTACCCTTGCGGTGCCGAGATTAGGCGACAAAATTTGGGCGTGAACAATGCTACTCTTTGCCTGCAACATGCGCTAGAATGCTACCATTCAAGCGCAGCTATCGTCAATTCGTTGACAGCACGGACTGGACATAACTGCAGAGCACGCGCTCGAGGTAAACGCTTGCGCCAGTACAAATTCGCCTGTACAAGTCGTGCTCGAGCAACATTTCAGCCGCGCCGCGCATGGTCCGCAGCGTTTGAGCAGTCCGTGCGGTTAACGAGTCGACTACACTTGTTCACGCGCAATTTTTACCGCTCAATCTCGGCACCGCAAGGTACTCATCATATTAAGTGTAAGATCTAAAGTCCCCTCCACAGTTGCTGCTACCCTTGGTCTGCATCTCAGACCTGCCACCTGTGATTAACATGGCAACGTGGCAACAACATGTTTGCAACCTGCCACAACACGTTGGCAGAACATTTTGGCCACGCCAACATGTTACTGCATGTTGCCAACGTGTTGCTGCCAACGTTGCCAACGTGTTAGTCACACGTGGCACGTCCGCGAGAAGCCAGAAGGGTAGCAGCAATTGTGGAAGGGACGATACATATCGTCCATTCCCCACAGTATAGAGGGCGGAGCTTTGCCGACGTTTGTCAACGTATTCGCGTGGCAGTTTTTGATAGCGAGACAGTACCAAAACTGCTTCAAAATGGAGATTCAACAAGCTTTCCCATATTCAAATGTCTGCAGGGCCGCGCCCGCTATACGCTCGGAAATCGCCTATATAAGCTGTATCTATCTCCAAATAAACTGTGCCCAAATCTCCTAATAAATTGTTTCTGTGGCGATGTGGCTGTTAGGCTCCCGCCAGAGTGCCGAAGTTATGCCAGCGCTACGCCAGCATTTCGATCGATACACGTGTATTTCATTGGGGCGGGGCTAGCTCAGCAGGTAGATGTCCCCAACGAAATACTCGTGTATCGATCGAAATGCTGGCTTAGCGCTGGCATAACTTCGGCACTCTGGCGGGAGCCTTAGGCCTAAGGCATACCTCACAAGATACCATACGCTGAGCGATATGGCACTGCAGAACTCTTCATAATTCTTCGTAAGCCCACTTTGCTTGGGTAGAACTTGGTACTTTTGCGAGAACATACAGAGGGTACACGCCTATGCATCTGGCACTAGCGCACGTTCGATCTGTAGGCATTTGGCAAAGCGCCTAATCGCGAGGTAGCGACTTGACGGAATTGCGGGAGTAAGTCTTAGGCCTTACCGTATACCTGCCGAGCATTGAAAGCAGTGGCTCGGGAAATTATCGACCTGATAGTTCTTGCTCACCTGGGTTTATCGATACGACACTCTCATCGTCAGTTCCAACTAGGAGGGCGAAAATGGCGAAAAAAAGCATCCGAGACTCTTCGTTGTGAATTCCAGCGAGTGGAACATTTTCCCACAGGGAGACGCAGAGTCGTTCCAGGACCCTTTTGATTATAACGTTGCGGCACATGCGGGGTATTTCCAATCGTGGAAGGATCTCGTCCGAAAGCGCACAAATGGCTTGAGAGGTAACCAACCTATCACAGCCGGATATGCCGGGAGACGGTCAAGAGGCGCGATTTCTCCGGCTCATCAACTCAAAACTCTAATTTAGTGCCATGCGAGTCCTAAAAAAAAACCAGATAAAGTGCATTAGCTTAATATCTCTCTGAGGTCACTACTTGCTATGTTTCATGGATTTTGGAGTGGACTGAAATATTTACGAATTTGTTCTTAAATGAGTTTTCATGGGTTTTTGATCTTCAAAATTGCTGTTTTGAGCTTTCCAAATTATTGGGATTGAACAACCCATGCAAGTATCTAATATGTCTTCTTCTAAATTTCGTATACTCTTAGAAAGTTGTGAAACACTTATTATGTGCTATTTGGTGTCCAGCTGGCAATAAAAATCGCGCCCCTTGACATACACCCGGGTATGCCAGTAATAATTAAGAGTTGAACAGGTAAAAATGCTTTGTTTGTATATTTGGAAATCCGGGCAAACGAAAACATCCATTTAATCTGTTGTCTCAGTTGTTTAGCTGGAACAAGCAGTGTTTGAATATTCAAGTCCATTTCTCAAAGATTTCAGATCTAGTAGTATTCAGTATCTTCATGATTATTCGAAACGTTCATGCGAATAATTTGCGAAAATTGTCACAATCATCCCTTTGATGGGAATCTTTGTTGCTACTTGTGTAGCTGTCATGTGGATGCACAGATAACTCGAAGTCATCGAAGTATGGCTAACCCTACAAACCTTAGGCTCCCGCCAGAGTGCCGAAGTTATGCCAGCGCTACGCCAGCATTTCGATCGATACACGTGTATTTCGTTAGCCCTCAGCTAGCCCCGCCCCAACGAAATACACGTGTATCGATCGAAATGCTGGCGTAGCGCTGGCATAACTTCGGCACTCTGGCGGGAGCCTTATTTACAGCCAGCCGTATGCGGCGAAGCGATTATGGCCAGCAACTTGTGGGAAGTGAAGAAGTGCACTGTCGGTGATGATACAGACAAAACATTTCGCGGTTCTTTTACGCTTTGTAATCGCTGAATTTCTGTAAGTTTAGTAAACCATTGCATGCTTTCGCCAAATGCCGCTGTGTACCATTGTAGGCTCCTGCTGGTAAGCGAATCCAGATTCGGGTTACTTTCATGAAAGAACGGAAATGTAGGAGCGGAAAAGTCATTGTGCACAAGAAGATAACCAATAAATTGAGATGAAAATTGCATGTTTAGGATCTGCTGTAGTGATATGTTGAACTATGTCGTTACTAGCCAACTTAATCCAACGCCAATAATCTTGTACAACAGACTTCTCACCCAACATTCTCATTCCATTATACATTTTCCACATACATATAATTGTGCATCTAATTATGTTTTATGTGCTTTGTAAGCAGCAAATATTTCGAATACATCACTTTTGTCCATAATGTGGTGTAAGAGCAATAAAGGCCAACTTCGCGTTGTCGAATTAATGCTGACGAATTAGTTTATTTTCCAACGGCAAAAATCTACAATTGTGGTAAATCACGATTTTAAATTCTATAAGTTAGTGAAATCTTTATCCAGAACCAGATTCCTCCGTTTCTTTGAGTGTACCACCCACCCAACCTTATCAACTCTTGAGTGTGAATTGCTTCGCTGGACTTAAAGATGTCCATTTGCGCACACCACTTCGTTACTGCATGCATATTATCACATGTCAGTAGGTGCTAAGCAACACTATGGTGCTAAAGTTGGGCCTCAAATTTGCCGCATTATTGAGCCACACCGCTTTGCCCCATCAGCAGTCACGAAGTTGTGCATCACTACTTCGTTGCTGCAGATATATGAACATGTTGAGCATAGTATTGAGCAACACTATGTTACTGCAGTCAAACACCAGTACTTATCGCAGTGGTGTTGAGCAAAATCAGTTCGTTGCTGTAGGCATATTAACACATTTTGAGTATGGTGTTGGGCAACACTATGTTGCTCAGTCAAACATTAGTACAGGGGCATTCAATCTGAGTGTCACGGTCGACGTGGTTCACTCCCTCGCGAGCCGCCTCGCTTAGGTCTCTCACGTGGCACAATGCCGCATCCGCTAAGGCCTTTGCGTTATCGGGTGTGGTAGTGTACCACGTGAGAGACCCAAGCGAGGCGGCTCTCGAGGGGGTGAACCACGTCGACGTGACACTCGGATTGAAAACCCCTGTACTTGCCCCAGTGGTGTTGAGCAACACCACTTTGTTGCTGCAGACATATGTACCAACACATGTTGAGTATGGTGTTGAGCAACACTATGTTGCTGCAGTCAAACATCAGTATTTGCCCTAGTGGTTTTAAGCAACACCACTTCTTTGCTGCAGACATACTAACATATGTTGAGTATGGTGTTGGGCAACACTATGTTGCTCAGTCATTAGTACAGGGGCATTCAATCTGAGTGTCACGGTCGACGTGGTTCATTCGCTCGCGAGCCGCCTCGCTTAGGTTTCTCACGTGGTACAATAACGCATCCGATGAGGTGAAGGCCTTAGCGAACGCGGTATTGTGAAAGACGTGAAAGACGTAAGCGAGGCGGTTCGCAAGGGAGTGAACCACGTCGACCGTAACAGTTTGATTGAAAGCCCCTGTACTTGTAGTGCTGAGGAGTGGTGTTGAGCAACACCGCTCCTCAGCACTCATGGTGTTGAGCAACACCGGTCCTCAACACTCATGGTGTTGAGCAACACCACTTCGTTGTTATAGACATATTAACAAATGTTGAGTATGGCGTCAAGCAACCTGCGTTGCTGCAGTTGAACGTCAGTAGCAACACCACTTTCAGCAGTCATGGGGTTGAGCAGCACCACTTCGTAGTTCAGATATATTGACATATGGTGTCAAGCAAACTGCGTTGCTGCTGTCAAACGTCAGCTGCAACAATGGTGTTGAGCGAACTACTTTGTTGCTGCAAGCATTGTGCATGTGCCGCAGAGGAGAATGCTGATCAGCGCCCCACAAATGATGCATACAATACCATCTTGTGCTGAGCATATGCTTATTAGTTTTTATGAAGAAGCAAGCTGATGCAGGGCGGCGTGGTTGTGGAACAGATAATTGAAAACGCTTCTTCTAGCATAACTTGCGGATAGTTCTTCCAGTAGAGACGCGACGATCACCAAATAAGGAAGGTAATTGGCAGTTACAACTTGAGTTGTGGAAAAAAGAAGACTATCATTTTCAAAACGACTCTGGAATAAGCTGGGGGGGGGGAGAGGGGGAAGCGAGGGGAACGCACTTTTTGAAAGGCACAATTAGGATCACTACTGTTGGTAAACATATGTGGAATTAAGAGTCAGGTTTCCTCAAAAATAAACCCTCATTTTTGAAGAGATCAGACTGTTTTTGTTTTTCCTGGCAGACGTAGCTCATTCTTCGATAGCGCAAAGTAAGCTCTACAAACTGAGCATAGGAGATCCACTGAAATCGTGAATCATGTAGAGTTTCAAGCCAAACAGGATTTTATTACTCTAGAATCAGAGTTTGCCGAAAAAAATCCTAAAAACTGTAAACTGGTCGTCATACATCACAGAAACTGAGAAAAAAACGGTCCAAAAGTGCAAATTCCGCCCTACTTTCACCCACATTTTGTAACTGAATACTAGTAAGTAAAACTTGTATTTATACTTTCTTATGTGCACTGATTCGAGAAAACCATGTTCAACTTGAAAACCCCAAAACGAGTGACATTTTTGCAATTTCGGGCTATTATCGGCTCCAAAAAAAATCCAGCAATTTATGATTGCCAATATGTCTATATACTGCATGATGACCAAGTTAAAGTTCATAGGAATTTTCTGGATTGGGCTGCGGTTTTCTGGGTAGTAGAAAAATTTCGGTATTTGGCTCTAAACTTTACGTGGCTACGACTTGAATGGATTTTTGGTGGTAGTTTTGTAGAGTTGGATGCTCTATTGGGTAGTACCCCAAGTTTGCCATGAAAATAAAAACACTTTATTCTCTTTAGAAAAGAGTGTACTTTTGAGATAACCTAAATTTGACCACCAATACCAGTTCTCCTTATAATCTTTGTTGATATCTCTGACTCCAAAGAGTATAAAGTTATTTTCTCATAATCACACATACACGGAGTACACATTCATACACATATCTACCACAGAATCTTGCCTTCGGCGTATTTGAGTGCCAGTAACCTACATCCGGGCTAGGCGAGAAACCGATATTGATTTCAACCATATCAGATCAACTATTTCTAATGATTGGCTTGACCAAAACATTCGCTCATAACCATTACTCTTTGCCTTTTATTTAAACGTCTAATTCTTATGTTTGTTTTTCATTTTCTGAGTACGATCTGCGTCCATACCACTGCAGCTTCGCCACTATACGTCATGTCCACAGGTGTCAGTCATTGACAGCAGTTGCTTGTTAATCACCTCAGTCATTGACCGATCCTCCGTCGTAAGTGCTTTGCCCAGATATTTTTCTTAGCTTGTTAATTGTTCCTATGCAAAGATTTGTTTGGATACGAGTTCATGTTTTCTTGGCAATTCATTTATATCTAATTCTTATGCTATCATAATATGCAGGGTAACGCCACACCGGGATAATGAGGACGCCAATACTATTGACAGTCATTATCTCGATATGCACCTCTTCTCATCACTCTGTACATCATCAGAAGAAACCCCCATCACAAGTGACCACGCTAAAAGCTGTTCCAGTGGTCATGTGGCATGGAATGGGTGAGCTGTTGTTTGTGGTACTATAGTGGAGTGCTTGAGTTTCACAATAACAATGAACATGAATACCAAGTGTCGGTCTTCTTCCCTGAAAAGTAATCGCAGATTAAAGTATTTTTTTTTTCATTTTCGCACGGGTTTTTGTGGAACAGGCGAAGGAAGAAGTCTTTTTGAGCAAGCTCAAACACGCTTTGCAAAAATTCTCTCGCAGCTATATAGTAAAAATGAGTAATATCCCTGTAGGTAGCTTATAAACTTTCGCAAGCTTACACCTTCAAAACTTCTCAAAGTATGGGATGTTACACATCCATAAAATGTTCTAAAATTATGAGATTGTCGCTTCTGAAATCTCAAAACGAGTCTACATGAATGTTGAGCTCAAAACTGCATGATATATAAAATACCTTATAATTCGTATGTCCTTGTATTTATTGTGTTTAAAATGATTTTTGCGTTTCGCATCTAAGAAATTGAAAAGTTTCGAGTTATCTTAGGTGACTGTTGCTGCAATCCTTTGTCCATGGGTCGCATCAAGAGATTGATAGAAGAAAATGTGGAAGGTATCTATGTCAAGAGTTTAATGCTTGGCGAGAATATTGCATCGGTGAGCTCTTGTCTAGCATTTGAGTGAAAACAAAAAAAAGATAAGTGGAAGCGGTGTCCGAAGAGATTTGTAGTATTGTAGAGTCAATTACGCTAGTATTTGCACCTTTTTGCATCATTCAGATTGCGGAAGTGTTCTTTTGAAGCTCGTTTTGGATTTGTTAAACAGTTTTTTCCTAACATCTATACCCTCAATATTTTTGGACATGATTTCAATTGTATTGGTTTTCTGCAATGGTGCATTGTTTTCAGCATTTTAAGTGTTGAACTTTCGAAAGAGTATAGAGTTGGAGAGAGGGGGAGGTTTCCCAAAGAAAATTGTATGTTGCGTTTTGTGGAGAGGAATTCATCCAGTCATTCTGTTATCAACTTGTGAAAAATCTCACAGCAAACAATAGCATAAGCATAATGTAAAATCCATGTTCCTCATGGTACCGTGGCAGAGTGAATAAAAAAAAAACGTGCGGAATGTATTCGACGGGGAAGCAGCTCCAGATCGTTCACAAAGTTCGATCAAAGAAAAGTACGAAGACTAAAAAAGTTTTGAAATCATAGGGACCCATCATACTTCGCCGAAAAAAGCCCAAAAGCGCCAAAAACACAAAAAAGCCCGAAAGCGCCAGAAAGAGCCGGAATGTAGAAACGAACTTTTGGTAGAATTCTGACATTATTTTATCACGCGGACGACAGAAAGTGACAAAAAGGCTCGACTGCGAAGTCAGCACACATGCCTTAGCGCCAAAACGTGCGAGAAGTGTTCCGGCTCTTTCTGGCGCTTTTGGGCTTTTTTGGGCTTTTTTCGGTCTTTTTCGGGCTTTTTCGGGCTTTTTTGGGCTTTTTGGGCTTTTTCGGGCTTCTTTGGGCTTTTTTCGGCGAAATAAGACGGGTCCCATAATCGTTAGTCTAAAACAATCCTAGGACTCCAAGGTGAGAGATTCACTCTTCGCGTCACGCGCCTACCTATTATGTGCAGTTGCCGTAATTTTTTTCATGACTAGAAAAGAAATGGAAATTGAGCTCTAGCCAAAACAATGCTGGGCTCTTTGCGCATGAATGATCTTATATATAAAGCTGAATGTCTGTTTGTATGTATGTCTGTATGTATGTCTGTATGTCTGTATGTACGTATGTTCCGAATAGAAGTTTTTATTTCTGAACCGATCCGGACCAAACTTGGCACACATACATTTCGGGCCCCGGCGGATGTCGTAGGCTACTTTTCGTCATCGATCGATATCGATTTTATCGATTTTTTGCAAAATTTGAGCTACGGGGCTGGGAGTTGGCACAGGGGGGTAATCGAGGGTGATCAGCACGGGGTGATCAGCATGCTCGATTACACCTCTCTGCCAAATTCCAGCCCCCTAGCTCAAATTTTGCAAAAAATCGATAAAATCGACATCGATCGATAACGAAAAGTGGACTGTGACACCCGCCGGGGCCCGAAGTGTATGTGTGCCAAGTTTGGTCCGGATCGGTTAAGAAATGGAATTTTCTATTCGGAACATACGGCGGAGCCGGGTAAGCCAGCTAGTTTTACATATACTACAATCCTTTGCGATTACGAACTTGAACTTTTAGCCTTCTGCAAGCACCCGTTTTCAAGAAATATGCAAATCTGCGTAAAAGCACGAAAAAAGTGATGTCGTAATTATTGCCTATTTTTGTTTCACGCATTCTAGCCAGGGAAAAAATATCGTACATGTGAATATGAGCAAATTGGAGTTCGTGGAATGTCTCAGCGGAGATTGTGAATAAAATTTTTCAAATCTTTCTGCAAACCGTAGGGTCAACCTTTCTGCGTATTTCTCGGCCGTCATTTAGAGCTTGCTTTGCTCATAGAAAGTTTGTCTACTACGTTTTTATATTTACTTTGCCGCGGTGCCATAAGGGACAGACACTAGTCTTGCATCTACCTATTATATTCTGCTAATATAGTACCTTGACCAAGACCTAGTTGAGTGTTTAAACAATAAAGAGAATTTTTGATAGCTCTGAATTCCTAATTTGATCCATATAATTTATATTCGAAGAAAGGGTAAAATCTAATGAACTTTTACGCTCATGTTCCATTCAGCTCTCATTTATTAAGATAGGTTCACGGTCTACTTTTACTTTATTTCTTCAGGACACCGAGCGTGGATTTTTGGCGAACATGAATAATTTGGTGAGCAATGCATGTGAGCAAATCCGGAACGATTCACTGCTGCAGCTGGGGTACAATGCCATTGGATTCTCACAAGGAGGACAATTCGTGTAAGGATAAGCATACACCGCTTGTTGATTGACCACAATAATGTATTATTAAGTGGATTCGAAAGTTCGAGCCCTTTAAACCTATACTCAAATCATTCAGAATCAAGACAGACAAACATTCTTAGAAGGGTTCTATGCAGAATTTCGTCCTCTTTCCAGCAGTAACGTTTCTGTTTGGATTCCTTTGATGTTTGCTTGGAAAACCTCAGAACCTTTAGCCAATGGTATTTAATACCCTGATTTTTGCTATTTTTTCAAATTTTTGCTCCAGACTTTTGGAAATCAATAATAGTAAGGTAGAGTAAACAGAATGCACTGTAATAAAATTTTTTGGCATCGATAGCTGGCTTTTTAAAATTTTTGAAAATATTTTTCCGATGCTATCACTTTCCATATTTGGGCATCCCAGTCTTCATAGATCATCAAACTGCAAACTGGGGCGTCATTCGATGCAGATTGCATCCGAAAATTTAAAAAATCAGTCTTTCGAGACGGTAGAAACTAATTTCTCTTTAAGTTCAAATTTCAATCATAATCGATTTTTGGAAGTTCCAATTTGTGAAAATTCCATAGTGTTTGAAACGTTTATATATTTCACGTTTTTGCAAAAGTGAAGACTTCTGGGATACCTGTTTTTGAAAACGCTGAAGGGCCAGCTATCGACTCCAAAAAATTGGGTTTTGTACCATTTTGTTTATTCTATCCAACTGTCATTAAAGCATTTCTAAAAGTCCAGAACGAAATTGAAAATAGCTGAAGTTAGAGTACGTAAATGCATGAATTGGGAATTTTGTGGCAATTATTTGAAAGAACATTGAAAGAATCCAAACAAAAGCACTAATGCTAAATAGAGGAAGAAGTTCTGCATAGAAAAATTTTTTAGTGTGTTCGTTATCTTTATTATGAATGATCTGAGAATAGGTCTAAAAAGCGGCACGAGTCGGACCTACCTAATATCATCCATTCCGAGACTAGGTTAATCCTAAACACTGTTGCACACGTTGTCTGACAGGGTCGAACACGTTCTGTTCCGGATTACAAGTGATAAATTTTTATGAGAGGGATAAAGCTCAATTCCTAATTAGTCAGGCCCCGGGCAGACTTCACGCGATTTGATCGTCGCGACTGAGTCGCGACGAGACAACTGTTACAACATCATTCCATGCCGATCAGCTTGCATTCGGTTGTGATACTTTTCCAACCCGAAATTTTAGAATGTGAAATGAAAATGAATGGAAATCTTGGCGATTAGATCGCGACGATTATGTCGCGTGAAGTCTGTCCGGGGCCTTATGCAGCATGCGCAAAGCATTCTCGAGTGCCTCAGTCTCAGAATGGACGATACTATGCATTAAATTTTATCCATCATTTGCAGACGAGCCCTTGCCGAAAGGTGTCCGGACCCACCGATGCGAAACCTAATCTCGCGTAATCATGAAATTCTGAACTTGCGAAAGAACTCGATAAAGGATATTTACAGTTGGTGGGCAACAGCAAGGCGTTTATGGACTGCCATACTGCCCAGGTGACACCAGGCTGTGCAATATTATTCGTAGACTTCTGGATATGGGAGCATACAATTACTATGTTCAGCAAACGTAAGTTCTTTTGCAAGATAGTTTTTCTCTTTTTAGTGCTACAGTGCATAAATCGCCATCTTTATGGTTCCTCGGTAACTCACTTTAAACTTCCTCCTATCTTCAGGTTGTCACATAACTATTGTTACATCTATCGGTTAAAATCTTCACAAACTTCTCAAAAGAGTTTTTTCTCATTTCCAAATCATGTGAAATAATTCTTGTTATGTCACATAAAGAAAATAATTTTTGAATTTAATGAAATTTTTGCGATTTTATTACAAAGTTCAGCTTGCGTTACTAAGAAAGCTCAAATATCCAAACCTCCTCCGTATTTTGCTGAAGCTCTCGGTAGTCCACAAAAAATCCAAAAAGATAAAGAACGGGAAAATTTAAAAAATTGTAAAAAGGAGTTATGTCCTTAGAATGCAACAGTCGCGTACCCAGGATTTGTGCTCGGGGGGGGGGGGGGGGGGAGGTGGGCGCGACAAAAAAATTTCCGATGAAGGTCCGACAAATTTTTTGGTATGCTTCCTAAAATTTTCGCGGGCTCAGAACCCCAAAATTTCAGAAAAATAAGGCGTGGCCTGAGCCACGCTCCCGAAATTTTTTTTATAAGGCTAAGATGAATTTTTTAAAAATTTTAAAAGCTATTTTGATTATTTACAAATACAAACGAGTCATTTGCACAATTTTATAATCCATGTAAGTAACTTTTAAAAGTTTCGCCCCCCCCTCGGTACGTCACTGGAATGCAATTATACAGGGTGTCCCAAAAAATGTGCTCACTGTTTGATCGCCAATAACTCTCTTGCTTGAACGTCTTTCGCCGAGCTTGAAGTACTATCCCAGACAATCGCAAAATACTTCCGGGAAAAACTGATCTAAATCTTCCGGGGCGGACGCTCCTACTGGGCATGAAGTGGACCCCACTCTGCCTGGCCGCGCCTACCTGGCAGCTCCAATAGGAGTTCCCTCGAAAGTTTTAGGACTTCAGATTTCCCCGGAAGTGTTTTGCGATTGTCCGAGTTTCTGTAGAGCGACGTTCACTTAGATTTACAGCATGAAACGAATCTGTAATTTTTCTTCGTCACTGTAGGATTACGGTAGGAACTTCGAGAAGGCTTTTAGGACATTGAAAGCAATAATTCGTCTCAGCAAAAGACCAAGCAAGCCAGAAGGTCTTGTACTGAGGTAATGGAAGTCGCTGATTTTGAATATAAAGTTTGCACTTTACTGCAATGCTTCTTTTGCAAGTGATTTTAGGCTTTAGGGTAAGAACTGTTATTCCAGTGTTTGTCAGAAATTTGATCACATTACTGAAAAGCTCGAAGAATTGGCAAGAAACTGTGTGGTGAAATCAGCACGCCTGAAAATCTTGCTACACAAATTTCTGAATTTTTTGGGAGTTTTTTTTTCATCAAAAGGCCTAATCCACGACGCTTTATACTGCATACCGTACTCCTACAGTAATGAAGAGCGATTGGCAATTCGCTCCATAATGTAAATCTAAATTGAACTCCGCTCCATAGAACGGTCCCTCAAAGGCAGCGTCCAGGCAAGATCCATCCACCCCCAGATTAGCATATAGTTGTAAAGAGGGGCCCAGGAGTATCATGATCTGATATGACCCATAATCTGCGTTGGTCTAATCCTTTGACGTGCCCTCTAAAAGGAGATACCGGCCTGTGATACGTATCACAAGCCGCCCCTTCGTATCACAAACCACCCCTGAGGACGAGTGCTTACCCAGGTGTGCGGTTGCATTGCAGTTGCATTGCAGTGCACTGCACACTGCAATGCAGCTGCATCCGTGCAGTTGCAGCTCCTCGTGCTGGCATGACGATGGGGACGAGCAATTCGAAACTCGTCCGTTTTTTGAAGAGAGGGTCCCCGAACCAGGTTTTTTGGGAGTTTTGAACAATTTGGACTTTACAACTGTAATCAGGCCCACGGAAAGGCCCCAGAATGGCAGAAAAACGAGGGGCGAAATTTTGCCCGGACGCTGCCTAAGCGGCGGAAGATTCAGGCAAGAGGTTGACCATCAAACAGTGTGCACATTTTTCTTTGAACCCTATATTTCTGTGATGGGCCACGGAAAGGCCCCAAAAGATGAGTAACAATTTAATACTTCCCAAACATTCTACTTCCAGAGTTGTTCAAGCACAATATTGGCATGATCCTTATAATGAAGACGAGTACAGGAGGAGAAGCATATTTTTGGCCGACATCAATAATGAACGGGTGGGTAGGACGAAAATTTGTTTATTTAGAGCTTTCATCTCCTTCATCATTACTTCTGGCAACAGAGTCTTCGCACGGTTCTAATGTTTAGGAAATCAATCCAGACTACAAAAAAAATCTGCTGAATCTGAAAAACATGCTGCTTATCCTTTTCAAAGACGATCACATGGTGGTTCCGAAGGAGTCTGCCGTATGTTTCATTTTTTTGGTACTTCATCAAAAATTCAACTACATGTATTGTTAGCTGCGTCTATCTACAAATTCCATAAAGCATCTGTCCAAACGCATAGTTTCTCCAAGCACTTTTTCGAGATTGTATTTCACATATCTTAGACTGTCCAATGCGCTCATGCCCTTGTGTTCTGTCAAATTCACTGCGAACCACTTTTGAGATGCCCTTCAACATGCGGATTTTTAGTCCTTCCCTTATAAGCCTTAAACTAGTTATCAAAGCTATGATTTTTTCGAGCGAAGGGAAATGATAGGGAATTTCACTGAGGTGTTTCCTTATTCGTGGCAAATTCGCCGCATAATGTTGGATGTTTCTATGAATTCGCACAAATTTTGCAACTGGCACGGACGCTGCTGGCGGGTTCATCGTATACCTGCCAAGCGCACCCTTTTCTTCCTTGAAAGAACAATAGAAACAAAAGTCGTATGCGTCACTGCGCATGATAAGCTTTTGCCACCTTCAGGGTATATAACATTGGATCTCCGAAAGGGGAGGACCCACCGGACAGTTGCAATAAACCGCGCGCCTTCACCATACTGTCTCATGCTAGTTGTCGTGGGTGGAGCTTATCGGCGACCTTATGTCTTCCACGCCCACCTTTAATACCTTTTTCAAACGCTGTCTGAAGTTTACTTTACAAATGCAATACAATACCTTTTTAGTGGTTTGGTTTCTACAAAGAGGGTGATATGGACACAATTTTGCCCATGAATGAAACAAGACTCTACAAAGAGGTTGGTCGACGGTTTACTTTTGATTTTACCTCAAATTTCAAAGCACAGGATTTGATCGGATTGCGAAAACTCAACGAATTGGGTCGCGTGCATTTTCTGGCTTTGGAAGGAGATCATCTACAGATCGATGAGAAAACATTCATCAAAGAAATCATAGAAAAGTTTCTAAAATGAATATTGTCTGATCGTGTACATGGCATATGCGGAACTAATCCACTAATCTTGCACAGTACATAATTATCTCATAATTATCGTATCTGCAATTAGCTTTTAGCTCAATGACCTTCTGAGAAATCGTCTTCAACATGCTGTCACAAAGTTGAAGCTGTTGTTGTAAGTGGCAGACATTTTTAGAACTCATTTAACACGTTGACGACAGTGCCGCGCAATGGTGCGCGGCGGCCTTAAATTCAATACTATCTGTCCAATCCTCTCAGTTTTTGTCTATATAATCAACATAGGCTCAGATGTACTTCATGTATTAGCCGCGCCCCTTTTGGCAAACTCCGCCCACTTCTCGCAAGGATCCTTTTTGTCCACAAAAAGCATGGATGAGGCCGTAGATGAACGCAAAGACTTCAAGCAAATTCTAGCCAGGCCCCGCCCACCGTCAGGCAAGCTCCGCCCACTATTCAAAAGTGGCGGAAATCGCATAAATTCTTGAAAGTTGGGCAATTTCCGACATTTTTGGTCGAGTGGGCGGAGCTTGCTAGAGGGGGCGGGGCTTGAACATATTGTACTTCGTCATGGATGCATGCATACATACATGGGCCACGCGTAGGGATGCATGGAAACGTCTCGTCCACAGGGAACCGCAAAAAAATGGCTCGTCTTCAACGTGTTAAGAAGCCTAGCAGTGCTTTGCTTGCGAGTATATGCATAGTATCCCTATTTTTTTCTATTCTAAAAAATATGCCTCACCAAGCTTGTTAGATTACTGTATTCGTTCTGTGAATGCGAATTGACAGTGATGTACTTGAGCGATGAAGTATAACTTCTTAGATGGGACAATAAGCGTGGCTCAGTTTCTCACACTTGACGAAGATTTCTTGAAATTTCGATAGATGGACACTAATGCGAAAGTCTGAAAAGGAACATTCAGAAACTCCAGAAGCGCTTGAAAGTGAATTTCACCATGATTTTGATAAGAGTTTAGTAGACATTCGACCGATTGGGGTAAAAGTCAGTTTAAGGGGTGAACATATTAGTGGTTTTGCTCAATGGTTCCAAGTTTCTTCTGGATACAGTTATTTTCCACAATTCTCATTACGAGTTCAGATCAGCATAATCTGAATTCGACTACACTAATACGTTCCACTGCTATTTTAAAACCAAAGAATAAGAGGAATTTCACCGAAAATTTCTCAAGAACTGACTTCAACAATCGGAAAAATATGAGCAGAATCAATAACATGTTTTGAAACGTTATTATAGAAGACCTTCCCTATAATCGAACGTATGCCTGCTGAACTTTGAGTTAAATAACAATAAAAGGTACTATTCCAGTATACCGACCCCAAAAAGCAAAAATCTCGGATTTCGCTCAAACTCGGTATAGGGGGGTTATTCGATCCGCTGATGCCGAATATCATATCGATTCCATGCGATAGCGCCATTTTTTGGGGTTACGGTGGGTATACGGTAGGAGGTCAAAATCACAAAATTCTCTGAAACTTGGTGCAGGGGGGTTATTTGACATGCTGAACACGAATATGATATCCATTCGTCACGGTAGCACCTCATTCCGGGGTTACGGTGGGTATACTGTAGGAAGGTCTAATTCACTGCTTTCCACACCCACCGCCGCGCGCGATACACCCTGCGCGGCTTTTGCCTAGGCAAAGCAGGGGGAGGAAATTTCTGACGTGTGACTGAGATTTCAGGCCCACAATCTCGATCTAGCGGTGGTATTGGTAATATATACCCAACGTAACGTCGGAATGAGGCACTATCATAACCAATAAACATCATAATCGTGATCAGCACGTCAAATAACCCCCCTACACGAAGTTTCAGCGGATATCGTGATTTTGACCTCTTCCGTATACCCACCATAATGAGGAGCTACCGTAACGAATGAATATCGTATTCGTGTTCAGCATGTCGGATAACCCCCTCTCACCGAGTTTCAGAGAATTTTGTGATTTTGACCCCCTACTATACCCACCGTAACCCCCGGAAAATGGCGCTATCGCACGGAATCGATATGATATTTGGCATCAGCGGATCGAATAACCCCCCTATACCGAGTTTGCGCGAAATCCGAGATTTTAATTATTGGGGTCGGTATACTGGAATAGCGCCCAATAAAATCCCGCATGACGCAGGCTGCGGTAGTATCCGCTAGCGGAGTAAACAACCATCTACAGTATCGGGTGCATTGCCTTACTTACAACGTACGATTGCAGAGATAAACTGAAACATGATTTGCGTGAAATACAAGTAAGTTCGCCAGTTGCGGTTTGCAAAGGATTTGCAAGTTTTCATGAAAGAGTCCAGTTTTGTACGAGGTCTTGTGCATTGGCTATCGTGGCATCACTTTCTATTATTGTGGTAACTACTGCGAGATTGCGAAACTTATGATTTCCGGTTTAGTTCCCGATTTGGGACAATATGTTATGCCACGGATCTGTCGTTTGCTCGTCAACACGAGCTCTGTCTACTTCCTTATGGGGTACGGTGGAATCGATAATCGACTGCCTCTTGCATGTACCATAACAACTGGGCATCTCTCTTCATCATGTGCAACGTTGTTGATTTGCTTCCACAATGAGCACGAGACCGCCTCCTTACAAAAGAATCTCCGATGACCTACAGAACAACGTCTCCGGTGATGAAATCCAAGCACCCCCCCCCCCCGCACCGCTTCCTACATAAGCACAACGCGCCTCCCAAACTTCATTACGCTTCTCTCTAAGTCCGTAACTTTTGTATTCGATGTCGTCTCCTATGGTCGTGAATGTTGGCGGCACAAGATTCCATACAACCATCGAAACTCTGAGAAATGGCCGCGGCAGAGGTGACAGAAGCATATTTCGGGACAAGAACATTTCCGTGAGTTGAACTTTTTTTACTGGTTACTTCTCTTCTATATGTCTCTTTTGTAGTGCCATGAAGAAACATTCGTTGATCGTGACCCAACGGTGCTTGGTTACATTTTGAATTATTTGCGTGATGGATCAGTTACTTTTCCGAGAAATGAGTACATCATCACTCTGGCTAAGTACGAGGCTTGGGTGAGTTCAGCTGAGCGTGAGTTATTTTTTCTTACAATTAAATTGATCATTTGAGTGTACTTCAGCACTATGGCCTTCACCATCTTGCTGGTCAGCTTCCAGCAGGTGACTTTCACACTGTTGAAGCCTCATGGGATTCTGAAGCTGAGCTTTTTCGCTCTCCGTCCTCTGATTCAGAGTCTCACGATCCTGATTCGTTGTCACCACCGAGATTTCCGGTATATCCTCATGAAACTGATGCGATTTTATCATCCTCATCAGAAAGTTCTTACGATTCCAACAAGATCACAACTTCTGTATCTCCGAAGAACTGTAATGATTCCGACGGGATTTCTTCACCTGTACATTCCTGCTATCTTGACGATTCTGACTCTATCTCGTCTCCAATTTTTTCTGTATGTCAGTGTGGCCGAATTGATAATGAATTATCCTTTCCTTTTTTTGATCCAGCATATAAAGACTACTCCTGTGAGAGATTTTCTTTTGCATAAATATCTGCACTGCTCTTCTATTTATAAAAATGTGTTGCTTTATCACAATGTGTTTTTACATATGGCATGCTTGATGTATAACTATATTTGAACATTGTACATTTGCTGTTACAATAAATCGTCGCTTATAATTCAAATCTTGTAATAAGAAGACAAATGCTTAGAGTTTCAACTTCAAAATTATTTGGTTGCTATAATTTCTAGAAGAACAACAGTTTGGTAGGTGAGCAATATGTGCCCGTCGCACATTTTTCGGATGATTACAATTATTGGACCGAACCATCACTGTGTTTTTTCTTGCTTTGTTCTCTAGACACAGGGACTCCGTAGTTCGTGGCTTTTTTGAAGTAGCCCATGAGTATTAATATGCAAGTGGCTGTTTTTGCTTGTAAATGATTGACGGAATTTTTGCATTTTCAATAGCGTTAGTTTTGTACGAAAATTTTTTCGAGGATTTGGCTTCACTGCTTTCATGCCCTTAAAAAATTTTGACTTCTCGCACATTTTGAGTACATTGTAATTTTTATTACAGGAGCACGGCTAGTCTCACATTGCCACAGATTACATGGCATAGTCGGGCTCCCTCAGTCTCTGCGATACCATGAGGGAGTACTCATCTATTTCCCAGCGCTATTGCAAATTAATTGACCCAAAAAATATAAGTTGCGGATTTGGCTAAAACTTCGTCGAGAAGGGTTATTTTGCACGCTGATTACGAATATCATAATTTCCGCAGAAAACATTCATCAAAGAAATCATAGGAAAGTACTCAAATAATCATTGACTGATTGTACACGATGTACGTGGTACCACGTCCACAGTAATTTTGCTGGGTGCACCAGTTAGGTTTAGATAGGATCTTCAAGTAAGAGATGTGTGTGCCTCTTGCTTGCGAAAACAACTCGCATAACATATTGTACTTTCTAGCATGGTCTCAAGCTCATTAACTTTATTTATCCGCTCTGTGTGAATACAAATGATAAGTAAGAGCACAGAACGATTTAAATTCTAAGTTAGATGCGGCTAGGTCGTAAAAGTGCCTGGAATTTCCTCTCGACTTTTGGTAGATGGAACTACTACGATGACTCTCGTGACGATTGATATCCATGCTTGATGTCATTCTATGAATCGCTTTAGACCTCGCTGCACTATCTCTGCAGAAACTCTCCAGTCTATGCCATATAGTGTCGAAGCACTGGTCTAACCTCCAATATTCATAAAATTGTTTATCTTGGTTGTTATTAATTTGTAGTTTTGGTAGTACGAAAGGAAAAAAAGTTTGTTTCATTCACGACGCGAAACGGATGACATGCGCGTGTCTCGATAATAACACGTGAGCAGATTACGGTAGTCTCGCACAACGGAGTAAACAACCCCCTTACGGTACACCCGCGGCACCGCTTTTGTCACATCACTACGTACGACTCATAAATGGATCATAACTGATACAACTACTCTAAAGTTCAATTATTATAAAAATGTAATTTCTTTTTGAAATTAATCTAAATGAACACATAAGAACTTGCAAACAGTAAAGCTTTGGCTGTGCGATACATACCTTGTTGTATGACTAGCGTAGCCATTACTAGAAAAACACAGCGCTGAAATTTCCAAAAAAATTATAAACCTCTGTTTTGAAAAAGCGAACTCAGCCAGTTGCAGTAGGATGGGAAAACATTGCTCATCACATGACTAGCTTACATACTTGGCCCGATCGGCCTTGTCAATACATTAAGCTAAGGTTCACCATCTCTATCTCCGTACAACATTTTCCTGTCCCTGTCCCATCCAGCGCCAGTTCCTTGCGTTTTCGTAACAGCGTGCTCACTCACCCCTCCGTTCAAAAAAAATAGTAAAATTAAAAAAGTGCTAAGTATATTTTGAGGGTGAGAAGGGTGGAAACAAAACAAATTGAAGCCCTGCTTTTCTTGGATAATGACAGCCGATCGATACACGCCTTTCGACCGTCTCCCAGAAAACTGCCGTTTTCCGATCATTAGTGGTAGAGGCCCACTCCAGCTGTACATTGCTGGGGTTGTGCATTTACTTTCATGTAAGTTTATACTGCACAGAATGGCCTCAACGACAAGCCAAGTTTGAGTCAAAATAATTCAAGATTTTTCAAAAAACTACTTCTATTGTTGTAGCGTAAATCTTCGCAATCACTACGCATGTTTTCAAAAACAGCCCGACTGTATTTCATGAATTAGAGCCAGCAGAATGAAAGCAGAAAATTTCAAGTCTTGCTCGCAACCCTAGGGCGAGCAAAGATTTGCGAAGGCGAAAGCATACATAAGAAAGAAAAAGCGGTTCAGATTGGATGCGGTGCAGGAGGAACCAAAGGCCTGCCGCCTGTAGCCGTAGGAGATAATTAGGAGCGCGAACACTGTGGAAAAGATTTTGGCAAGGATCCAGGAAAACTTGACGAGGACATCCATTAGATACAAATCCTTATAACTCTCCGTGGAATTAAGTTTAAAGTATAGGGAGGACAGATTTGGAATCAGGTTGAAATGCGCATTTTTCAATAATACACTTACGGGATAGACAAACAACTCTGTCTCGCTACTCGATATTTCTACCAAAAATTGTGCCTTCAAAATTCACCATTTCAAGTTGAGGAATTTCAAGTTCATTGTTGTGCGAAAGAATTGAGTTAATTTGTAATGAAATTTCTGGATTTGAAGTTGAAAGTGGTAATAAGGAAATGATGTTAACTAATTGCATGTGAGGAACTTCTTGACACAAACCTCCAGATGTGTTTTTATTGCTTTATTATTATTTTGATTGCTTTGGTTCATTGACTCAAATAGCAAACTATTCCATTTTTAAAGAAAAAGAGTGAATTTTGAATGAAAACCTCGGACTTCAACATTTGAAACTTCAAGATTCAACGCAAAAAGTTTCTATAAGGTAGGTGACTTTTGTTGTCACTACAATTCCAAATTTTCGTTTACTTTTAGGCCCAGTGGATGCGCCTTTCAATTTATTACAAGTATGTTTTTCAAATCTTTAAAAGTCATTTCCAGGCAAAGTTTTGAAGATTTGTTCGTAAAGGGTGTCCTAGCCGAGTTTTCTTGGATTCCTGCCAAAATTCTCTCCACAGCGCTCGCGCTCTTAATTATCTCCTACGGATACAGGCGGCAGCTCTTTGGTTCCTCCTGCACCACCCCCGTTCAGATTCCATGAGAAGTTTCCAAGAAAACGGTCCCGAAAGATCAGTTCTCAAAAAGGGGTTAAAAATATGCTTCGATTATGAAACAATCTAAATTACATGTAATGTGAGTGGGTTTGTTGGAGGGGCGGAAGTTTCTCACCCGAGCCATATTCTCGCACCTAAGTGATGTGCCTGCCAGGCACATCCAAAGTCGCTATCATTGCAAGCTCCTCAGGAGACCAAGACATCGCAAGCCCCGCCCCCTTATCTAGTGCTACACCAGATGATGAAACCGGGATTTCAAAGAAACTTTCAAAATCGAAGTTCAGAAGCGAATTTGCTCCGACCAAATTTCGGATTTAGGGGTTTTCGAGGTTGCTCTTTTCATTAGTGGTATTTGTTTTTTGCAAAGTCAACGTGCAGCCCCGCTAATGCTTTACTAGGATAGAAATTCGGATTTAGCGGATTCAGAGGTTCAAAATTTTTTTTTCCGAGTCAAGACCAAAGTTCGGATTTACGGGTTCTCAAATTTGCTTTTTCCACAACAGTTGTTTTGTGCTATCAATAGCGATTTGACTTTGTGAACATTTTTGGAGACAGAAACGTTTTTCTCACAGTAACCGAATTACTTCCATAGAAATTGAATGCCAGATGCGGGAGTACATACATGATTCCGTAGTGCTTCCTTCCTTGAATTCAGTCTTAAGAATATGTCAAGGTACAGCACTGATAATGACCTAGTCAGTATTTCTTGAAACCTGATGTATCACAAGCACTGTGGTCATCGAGGCTGGCTGAATGCCAGAAAGCTTCATAGAAGACCCAGAAAGCTCGGAGTGGTGTCAATCAAACACTAGAGAAAAACATCTTTATTATTTTGAAATCAACGAAATTCAAATTTGGTTTGGTTTTCAGCAGGTTTTCAGTTTTTAAGCACTCAATTTCACTGGAAAAGCCACGAAAAATGTCGTTTAATAAGCACTGAAAGAAGAAAACATCATCAATGGTTTATTGCAAAGTTATTGGGTGCCACTTTCAGAAATTAGAATCAAAGTATTCTAAGAAAATTGTATCGCTTTCACATCAACCTTCCAAAACTATGAGCGGACTCTAACAAAAAATATTCATGGCATGCATTTAAATAAATTTTATCCTGAATACAGATTGATATTCGACTTTGGGGTTTCCGCGGTCTTCTTTTACAAAAAATTTAACTTATTCCAGATACAAATAATTTTCACACACGTGCCAGTTTGAAGTTTGCTTCAACCTAATTTGATTCAACCATATTCTGGCACTCATGACTAAATTTCATACGCATCCGAATTTCGATCCTAGTAAAGCATTAGCGGAGCTGAACGTTGACTTTGCAAAAAAATATCACTCATGAAAAGAGCAACCTCGAAAACTCCTAAATCCGAAATTTGGTCTTGATTGAAGCAAATTCGCTTCTGAACTTCGATTTTGAAAGTTTCTTTGAAATCGCGGTTTCGTCATCTGGTGCAACAATGGATAAGGGGCGGGACTTGCGATGTCTTGGTCTCCTGAGGAGCTTGCAATTATAGCGACTCCGGATGTGCCTGGCAGGCACATCACTTAGGTGCGAGAATATGACTCGGGTGAGAAACTTCCCGCACCCGGTTTGTTGCAGTTTCAAGAAGATTTTCAGGTTTTCATTGAGCCGTTGATTCTCCATATTTAATGTACACAGAGCATTAGGTAAACTCTGGCTGTTTACCATTAGCTTTCATGGCACAGGCTTGGAAGGCTATTACTGTGCGGTAACTACTGTGAGATTGCGAAACTTATGATTTCTGGTTTAGTTCCCGATTCGAGACATTGTTATGATATGGATCTGTTGTTCGCACGTCAACAATACGAGCTCCGACTCCATACTTATGCAGAAAAATTGGATCGATAATCGATCACCTCTTGCATGTACCCCAATAATTGGTTATCTCTCTTCATCACGTGCACGTTGTTGACTCGAACTTCTTCTCCTACTTCCGCAATGAGCACCAGACCGTCCGCCTTACAAAACAACATCGCTGATGAACCTGCAAAAACAATTCGGTGATGAAATCCTGCAAACCCCCGCACCGCCCCCTATATAAGGACGACGCGCCATCCCAATTCCATTACGCCTTCTGGTCCGTACTATTCTTGTCTAAAATGTCATCTCCTGTGGTCGTGAATGTTGGCGGCACAAGATTCCACACAACAGTCGAAACTCTGAGAAATTGCCCTGGCAGAGGTGATAGGAGCATATTTCGGGACATGAACATTTCTGTGAGTTGGTCTTTTTTCCCTGGGTATTTCTATTCTATATGTCTTTGTAGTGCGATAAAGAAACATTTGTCGATCGTGATCCAACGGTGTTTGGCTATATTTTGAATTATTTGCGTGATGGATCAGTTACTTTTCCAAGGGATGAGTACATTATCACTCTGACTAAGTACGAGGCTTGGGTGAGTTCAGCTGAATTAAATATTTTTTATTGATCATTTTGAGCTTACTTCAGTACTATGGCCTTCACCATCTTGCTGATCAGCTTCCAGCAGGTGACTTTCACACTGTTGAAACCTCATGGGATTCTGAAGATGAGCTTTTTCGCTCTTCGTCCTCTGGTTTAGAGCACTCTCACGATCTTGATTCGATGTCATCACCAGTACTTCCCGTATTTTCTCATGAAAGTAATGCGATTTTCTCATTCTCATCGGAACGTAACGATTTCAACGAAGTCACAACTTCCGTATGTCCGGAGAATGATGAAGATTCTGATGGGATTTCGTCATCTGCAGAATCGAACTATCTTTGCGACTGTGATTCTTTCTCGCCAGTTTCTCCGATATATCATCGTGGCATAAATGATGAAAGTAACTTTTTTTGATCCATTTTTAAAAGGCTATTTCTGTAAAAGTTTTTTTCTTGCATATATCTGCACTGCTCTTCTATTTTTAAAAATGTGTTGCTTTATCAAGTGTTTTCACGTATGGCATGCTGTAGTGTAACTAACCATATTAATTGTAACTGCTAACTATATTTGAACATATAAAATGTACATTTGCTGTTACAATAAATCATCGCTTATACTTCAAATCTTGTATTAAGAAGACAAATGCTTAGAGTTTCAACTTCAAACTTATTTGGTTGTTATGATTTCTAATAGAACAACAGTTTGCTAGGTGAGCAATATGTGTCCGCTGCACATTTTTCGAATGACGATTATTAGACCGATATCATCACTGTGTTTTTTCTTGCTTGGTTTTGTTCTCTAGACACAGGGACTCCGTAGGTCGTGGCTTTTTTGAAGTAGCCCATGAGTATTACTATGCAAGTGGCTGTTTTTGCTTGTAAATGATTGACGGAATTTTTGCATTTTCAATAGCGTTAGTTTTGTACGAAAATTTTTCGATGTTTCGGCTTCACTGCTTTCATGCCCTAAAAAATTTTGAGTTCTCGCACATTCTGTGTACATTGTAATTTTTATTACAGGAGCATGGCTAGTCTCACATTGCCACAGATTACCTGGCATAGTCGGGCTCCCACAGTCCCTGCGATACCATGAGGGAGTACTCATTTATTTCCCAGCGTTAATGCACATTAATTGACCCAAAAAAACATAAGTCGCGGATTTGGCTAAAACTTCGTCAGAAGGGTTATTTTGCACGCTGATTACGAATTTCATAAATTCGCAGAAAACATTCATCAAAGAAGTCATAGAAAAGTACCTCAAATAAATATTGACTGATTATACACGATGTACGTGGTACCACGTCACTTGCCCAGTAATTTTGCTGGGTGCACCAGTTAAATTTAGGGAGGACTTTCAAGAAAGAGATGTCTTCAACATGCAGATGGTGACTATTTTGTCACTGAGTTCAGGCTGTTATGTACATGATCTGAGACTTTTTTGAAATTTGAGGAGCGGTGCCTCTTGCTTGCGAAAACAACTCGCATAGCACTGTTGTACTTTCTAACATGGCCCTCAAGCTCATCAGCTTGCTTTATCCGCTCTGTGAACACAAATGAAAGTAAGAGCACAGAATGATTTGAATTCTTAGTTGGATGCGACTAGGTCGTAAAAGCGCCTCGATTTCTCAAATTTTACGATATGTTCTCGACTCTTGGTAGATGGAACTACTACGATGACTCTCGTGACGATTGATATCCATGCTTGATGTCATTCTATGAATCGTTTTGGACCTCGCTGCAAAACTGAGTCTCTGCAGAAACTCTCCAGTCTATGGCACTGGTCTAACCTCTAATATTCATAAAATTGTTTATCTTGGTTGCTATTAATTTGTAGTTTTGGTAGTACGAAAGGAAAAAAAGTTTGTTTCATTCACGACGCGAAACGGATGACATGCGCGTGTCTCGATAATAACACGTGAGCAGATTACGGTAGTCTCGCACAATGGAGTAAGCAACTGCCCTTACGGTACACCCGCGGCACCGCTTTTGTCACATCACTACGTACGACTCATAAATGGATCATAACTGACACAACTACTCTAAAGTTCAATTAAAAATGTAATTTTTTTTCTGAAATAATCTAAATGAACACATAAGAACTTGCAAACAGCAAAGCTTTGGCTGTACGATACACAGTATGACTAGCGCAGCCACTACTAGAAAAACATAGCGCTGTAATTTTCAAAAGAAATTGTAAACCTCTGTTTTGAAAAAGCGAACCCAGCCACATGCGTTAGGATGGGAAAACATTGCTCATTACATGACTAGCTTACATACCTGGCCCGATCGGCCTTGTCAATGGGTTGTTTCAGACTGCCGCCCTGACTGCAGCAGACTGCAGCAGACTGCTGCAGTCAGTGCGGCAGTATGAAACAACCCAATACATTAGGCTAAGGTTCACCATCTCTATCTCCGTACAACATTTCCCCGTCCCTGTCCCATCCAGTGCCAGTTCCTTGCGTTTTCGTAACAGCGTGCTCATTCACCCCTCCGTACAAAAAAATTAGTAAAATTAAAAAAGTGCTAGATATTTTTTGAGAGTGAGAAGGGTGGAAACAAAACAAATTGAACCCCTGCTTTACTTGGATAATGGCAGCCGATCGATACGCGCCTTTCGACCGTCTTCCAGAAAACCCTGTCGTTTTCCCATCATCAGTGGTACTGGCCCATTTCAGCTGTACATAGCTAGGGTTGTGCAATCACTTTTCATGTAAGTTTATACTGCGCAAAATGGCCTCAACGACAAGCCAAGTTTGAGTCAAAGCGATTCACGATTTTTTAAAAAAACCTAAACCTTTTATTGTTGTTGTAGCGTAAATCTTCGCAATCACTACGCATGTTTTCGAACAGCCCGACTATATTTTATGAATTAGAGCCAGCAGAATGCAGAAAATTTCAAGTCTTGCTCGCAACCTTAGGATGAGCAAAGATTTGCGAAGGCGAAAGCATACATAGGAAAAGAAAAAGCGGTTCAGACTCTATGAAAAGTTTTCAAGAAAGCGGCCTCGAAAGATCATTCTCAAGAAAGTGGTTAAAAATTTTCAATTATGGAACAATCTAAATTACATGTAATGTGAGTGGGTTTGTTGCAGTTTCAAGAAGATTTTCAGGTTTTCATTGAGCCGTTGATTCTCCATATTTAATGTACACAGAGCATTAGGTAAACTCTGGCTGTTTACCATTAGCTTTCATGGCACAGGCTTGGAAGGCTATTACTGTGCGGTTACTACTGTGAGATTGCGAAACTTATGATTTCTGGTTTAGTTCCCGATTCGAGACATTTTTATGACATGGATCTGTTGTTCGCACGTCAACAATCCGAGCTCCGACTCCATACTTATGCAGAAAAATTGAATCGATAATCGATCACCTCTTGCATGTACCCTAATAATTGGGTATCTCTCTTCATCACGTGCAGTTGTTGACTCGAACTCTTCTGCTACTTCCGCAATGAGCACCAGACCGTCCATCTTACAAAACAACATCGCTGATGAACCTACCAAAACAATTCGGTGATGAAATCCAGCAAACCCTCGCACCGCCCCCTATATAAGGACGACGCGCCATCCCAACTTCATTACGCTCCTCTAAGTCCGTAACATTCTTGTCTTCATGTCATCTCCCGTGGTCGTGGATGTTGGCGGCACAAGATTCCACACAACAATCGAAACTCTGAGAAATTGCCCTGGCAGAGGTGACAGAAGCATCTTTAGGGACATGAACATTTCTGTGAGTTGGTCTTTTTTCCCTGGGTATTTCTATTCTATACGTCTTTGTAGTGCGATAAAGAAACATTCGTCGATCGTGACCCAACGGTGTTTGGTTACATCCTGAATTATTTGCGTGATGGATCAGTTACTTTTCCAAGGGATGAGTACATTATCACTCTGACTAAGTACGAGGCTTGGGTGAGTTCAGCTGAATTAAATATTTTTTTATTGATCATTTTGAGCTTACTTCAGTACTATGGCCTTCACCATCTTGCTGATGAGCTTCCAGCAGGTGACTTTCACACTGTTGAAACCTCATGGGATTCTGAAGATGAGCTTTTTCGCTCTTCGTCCTCTGGTTTAAAGCACTCCCACGATCATGATTCGATGTCATCACCAGTATTTCCTGTATTTTCTCATGTAACTGATGCGATTTTCTCATACTCATCGGAACGTAACGATTTCAACGAAGTCACAACTTCTGCTTGTCCGGAAGATTGTGATGATTCTGACGGGATTTCGTCATCTGCAGAATCGAACTATCTTTGCGATTGTGATTGTTTCTCACCAGTTCCTCCGATATATCATCGTGGCATAAACGATGAAAGTAACTTTTTTTGATCCAGCTCAAAAAGGCTATTTCTGTAAAAGATTTTTTTCTTGCATAAATATCTGCACTGCTCTTCTATTTTTAAAAGTGTGTTGCTTTATCACAATGTGTTTTTACATATGACATGCTATGATGTATATAGGCCGTCCGCGCTGCGCGCGGAGAGCAACGCTGTTGCGTCCAGTGAAGATAGTTGAGCGCAGAGAAAAACAGGCAGCGAGAGTGCACGGGGAAAGAGGAGTGATGCGCAATACACACCTTGCGCACTCTCCGCGCCCTGCGCGGACGGCCTATAACTATATTTGAACATATAAAATGTAAATTTATTGTTACAATAAATCATCGCTTATACTTCAAATTTTGTAATAAATAAAACGAATGCTTAGAATTTCAACTTCAAAACTAATTGGATGTTATGATTCATAAAAAAACAGTTGGAAAGGTCACCAACATGTGCGTTGCACATTTTTTAGGATGGTTACGATTATTGAACCGACACCACCATTGTGTTTTTTCTTGGTTTGTTTTGTTCTCTAAACGCAGAGACTCCATAGGTCGTAGATTTTATAAAGTAGCCCACTTGAGTATTGAATTATGCAGGTGACTGTTTTTGCTTGTAAATGATTGGAATGATTTTTGCATTCTCAATACATTCGATTTGTAAAAAAATCTTTTTGAAGGGCCGGGCTTGATTGCCGCCACGCCCAATTCCTGTAAAAACTTGAGTTCCCGCACATTTTGAGTAAATCTCCGCAAGAGCGTGGCTAGTCTTACCGCTGCAGATCACCTGAGTTGGGCTCTCTCCATCCCTGCTAAAATACCATTCATACAACATTCATATAAACTACAACGACTCCGCGTCTATTCGAATATGTTTAGAATGAGAACTAACTTCGAAAATGCACACTTTCGCCAGTTCCACGCTTCCAAAAGAGAATTCTGAAATGAGCGTGACGAATTCCAAGTGAGCGAAATCCTAAGGGAGTACTTGTCAAACCCGCGCTTGAGACAAATTGAGAAGCAGGGGAACGATAACAGTCTGTCCCAATCGGGATCAGGCGAAACTTTGATAGGCGCCAGACTAGCCGATGGTCTTGCTTCAGCAAGATGCGGCGCAGTCACTGTCATCTGTTGTCACGTTGTAGGGAATTCATGTCGGCGCGCGTGATTTCGCTACAACAAAGAACCTTCACTGGTAAAGCCTTTTTATCATTCTCTCATTTTGCGAGGCTTCTTTGACATCTCTTCAAAATCACTGTTGATGCGAGCATCGCAGAAGCCACTTCGGTTTCTGTCCAGCACGACGCCAAAAGATATCAGCTTATTTCTGGCGCCTACTTTTGGCTTGAGAGCGCGCTCTCGCAACGGAGGGGTTTGCGCGCATGTGCACGCTTAACATTATTGGACGGATTGAAGAAAGTGATTTTAGAACAGGCAGGTTCATCACGATCACTAAGCAAGTCGTAGACCAGATGGAAGCTGTATGGTGCGGACGCTTATCACCTCCTTTTGGCTCTAACTGGGGCGAACTGTAGGTATTGACCGTCGCGCAGGATACGATTTTGTGGCTGCGCGTCACTTCTCTTTCCTCATGCACTCTCGCCCCTTTTTTCTCTGATACTTTCAAACTTGTTGGCACATGCACCAACATGTTACCTTAAGACTAATAATTAACACGTTCTTTGCTAGCAGCGTGTTGTCAACATTTATCATCAGGGTTGAGCGTGGGGTCAGGCGCGCCCGACCTGGGGGGTCGTATAGGGTAAGATTGAGGGAGAGGGTCGTAATTAAGAATCGAATTTGTTTAGCTGGGGAGACACTATGAAGGTAAAGAAGAACTGCGCTAGTCCGGTGGATATCGCAATCACCTAAAAGAATGACGGTCGTTAACAGCATACTGATTGTTTCCACAATCGAAGTTAGCCAAAATTTAATCCTCATATTTTACCTTGGCAGATCATGAGGTCGACAAGGAAGCTTGCTGTGTGAAATACTGAATCCTTTCCGTAATCAGCATGTCATATTACCCCTATGCGCTCTACTAACCATTGCATCTGCATTTTCTAGTATTTCTCAACGTCCAAAAAACGTGGTATTCAAGCATGATTAACTTGGTTTCAAACATGAAGAATTAAGCTTTTCTATATTCATAACAAAGTAAGTTTCACTACAAGTCTATGCTACAAATCAGGCTTCATATCGCTTTCAAACAGTGAAGTAAGAAGTGCTGCCAAAAGTCCGAGCGGCACGTTTTTCACATTGAGTGCTTCAACTCCTCGGATTAGTACAAGGCTGAAACAAGTCGACTTAAGGTCAAACACTTACTGTTGAATCTTAGAGGGTTGAGCTAGCGAATCACATAAAACTTGGATAGAAAATCTTTTTCGGAAATAAAGTTAATGGGGTCAGGCGCAACCCCTCAAAAGGTCAGGCCGCCTGCGTTTTTGAGGGGTTGCGCCTGACCCCATTGACTTGCCTTCAGTATTCAAAAATCGCCCCTTTTTTAGTATGAGTATTGAGCGCAGAGCTTCTTCTTGCTATATTGAAAATTCGGAGCCAAATACGCCATCCCTGCGAAAACTCTAGCTCTGAAAAGAGGGCTATCAAGATCCAAAACTTGCCGTCACGTTGCGTGTGTTGTGCAATCGCATAGAGCCGGGCCTACAGACTTTTAAAAATAGAAACCTGCATTGAAAGCTGGTCTTCTTTGAAAGATAATACTCTGAGGACGTGGAGTTGAAGCGGAGGGGTCGTTTAGAGGCTTTCATACGGGGGGGGGGGGGGTCGTTTTTGAAGGACTTGTGCCTGACCTCTTGCTCAACCCTGTTTATCATCCATTCTCCCAGTAAGGGCTCGGAAGAGTTCAGGCGTCGCGATTCTTTCAACAAGACAAAGTAACGAGTCCATTGCATTCCAATCATCTTGCATTTCGGTTGTGATAGTTCTTCAGCACGACCACTTGTGACTAACTATCACAACCGAAATGCCATGGACTCGTTACTTTGTCTTGTTGAAAGAATCGCGGCGATATCGTGTGAACTCTGCCCGAGGCCTGCTCGAAGCTAATTTTGCGTCGGAGATTTCTACCAAACAAGTGCTCATTCTTTTTCTTGAACAATATTTCTTGATTATTCTCCCAGATTTGAATATTTGTTTTGCCATAGCATTGTACCGTCGAGTAAATTTTCCGCATAATATATGTGCTTGTACTACACAACTGTTGGCGGAACATTTTGGCTATTAACCTCAACGCCAACATGTTGTTGCACGTTGCAAACATGTTTTGCACTGGCAAACACAATACGTGGCAGGTCTGATACGCAGATGCTTGCGCTGCAGGTATCGTCCCTTCCACTGCTGCTGCTACTCTTGGTCTGCGTCTCAACAGGAACAGGCTCTCGGTCAGGATTCACACCGCGCGCAGCTTCCGCTCACCGCGCCCAGAATTTGTACCTCATAAAAATGGGGTGGGGGAGGGTGGGGGTAGATACATGACTCGATGCCATAAATAGCATTGCGGCAGGAGTACTGACGGGAGCCGAGGCCTGTACTGCTTGACGTCGCGCGGCATCGCTTCGCGAAAAATCGTGCTTCTACCCGTACTCACAGGAACGATGCCATCTTAAGGTTGCGAATTGTATTAAAATGCATACGTCTTGATGAGCTGATTCCAAATCTACTTTCTATATCTGCGATGCCGTTTCTGGAAGAAGTTATCAGCGTTCGTAAGTCCAAATATGGCACACATTCAGCGCCATATCCTCAAGACCTGGCTATTCAGAAACACTTATTTTTGACTCCGGTAGATATGTGCGTCCCTTGAAATCAGTACACTCAATACCTTGCTAGTCATGCAGGGTATTGAGTGTAAAACATGACATCATGCGTTACAAATCCGGAGACCACACATTTAACCGCATTCATGTGTGTGAAGGCACTGGAGCTCTACTGGATGAAGTGCTTCAAAATCAACTTGGGAGTGCATAAATAGCAAGATATCGAGTATAGTGATTTCAAGGGATGCTCACATTAACCGAAGACATGGATAAGTTTTTTTTGAACGACTATTTTTTTTTGAGAATGTGGCGCTGAATTCTTTGGTAAATTTGGACATTCAAACGCTGATAATTTTTTCCAGAGAACGGCATCGCAGTCATGGAAGGTAGGTTTGGAATCAGCTCACCAAGACGCATCTAATCATATACGGTTCATTGGAATTGGCCACCTTAGGTTGAGATCGTTCCCTTGTTAGACTGCCACTGTTGCTAACATGTTTGCAATATGCAACAACTTGTTGGCAGAACATTTTGGCTATTAGCTTCAGCGCCAACATGCTGTTGCATGTTGTAAACATGTGTTGCTGACGTTGCAAACACGTTAGCCACACGTGGCAGGTCTGAGACGCAGATCAAGGGTAGCAGCAATTGTGGAAGGGACAATACCTGCAGTGCAAGCACACTATAAAGTAGTGGCTCGGGAAAATCGCGTCTGGAGGCTTTTCACACTATGGCCTTCTGGACTAGCTGAGTCAGGTACTGTGCTTGAAATGTCAGAAAAGTGTTTTTTGGAGTTTACCGGCCTTGCAATTGCTGGAGAGGCGGGAGGGATTCCCGTCATAACCAGCAAGTGACTGCAGGATACTGTAACTTCACCTATTTGGGCGGCAATTGGCTAATCAGCCCATCAATACGATACAGTTGACGGTAATCCCTCGCCCCGCCTCTTCAGCAATTTCCAAGTTTGGGAAACGCCAAAAAGCGCTTTTCTGACTTCTTAAGCACAGTACCTGACTCAGCTGGTCCAGAAGGCCATGTAGTTGTGAAAAGTCCCGGACGCGATTTTTCCAAGCCACTGCCTTCAGGCGAGAAATGTGCTCGACTGTAGTCTAGTGTTATTTTGCGGTGCATGCTTTTAGCTTTACTTTTTCAGCTACCGGCGAAGCTATGCGTGGTCTTACAATTCCAGCAGTAAACAGTGCTGTGCTTCAGAATTCGTCCTTCTACGTGCAGATAAATATCTACGATACAAACTTGAAGGGCCTCAGAGAAAGAGGAGTGGATGTGGAAGAATTCTTGGTAAGTATTGTACTTTCTTTATCAAGAGGTGTTGTACGTTTACTGCGTTGAAACCTAGTCATTCTGCAAAATTCCTGCCAGATGTGGTTTGGCAAGCTAATCGCGAATTTGTATAAGCGACATGCAGAGATGGGGCGTCATTGCGGACGCTGATGGCGCCTTAGTGATCGTACGCTCTTTCATTCCTCTTGCCGTCTGTTCTCTCTTTCGGGGACAAACTATCTTATTAGGCATCCACTCTGTGTATGCAATGACTCGCCTATACTTGGTCAGTGCTAATACATGGTACGCTTACGATAGTTTCACGGTCGTAGGTTTCAAAACACAGATTTAGACTGAAGGATTATTTGGCAAGGGGCATGGATGAAGAGACAAAGCAAGTGCTCCTGAAAACCACTTGAGTATAGTATCTGCGATATAGCAACAATTGAAGGTTACTCCTCTTGCTTGCCACATCTGGCTTATTGGTACGATTATGTTATTGGCATTGTATTGCTTTACTTGCGGGTTCAGGAGTTACTGCCTCGCAGGCTTGGTCGCCACAGAAACTACAGGTAGCAATCTTTCTACCCACCCTCCCCCAGACAAAGTTTCAGGCAGTTCCACGGTTTTGCGCTACCACTTACCAGTTTGGTGTAGTGTGTTCGAGCGAGATAATGATTAGCTTGCCCAATATCACCTCCGAGCAAAACTATAGCGAATCTTACAATTCTGAGTTTTGTGGTCACTTTGGTTAATGACGTTTATTTCCGGTAAAGGGAATACCTCATAGGCGCCGTCTCCGTGGACCATTTTTAGGTGCATGAAGTGAACCGCGTTAGGACCAGCTCTGTGGAGGCGGCTGGAAATCGTTCTCCACCCGTCATTTAATATTGTACCTAATATGTCGTCGATCCGCACGGACTTGGACGTAGATTGCGGAGCATACTCGCGTGTATCGGTGGTCTAGGCTTTATAGTAGCCTCTTGGGCGAATTAGCGCTTGATAGAGTGTGTTATGTAGAACACAAAAGCAATAGAGCTTTTATTGAGACAGGCGACCTGCACACGTTGGTGCTGTGTTAGAATGCTACATATAGGCCTGGCGAAATACGTTATTTGTGGGCATCTGGGCAGTAAACAATTGTATCACAGCAAGTCACGCTTGGCATGACTTTTGCGGTACTATTCAGCGAGATGCAGGCAAAGTGACACATATGTAAAGAGGTGCCGGCGATATCGGGACATTGCGCTACCAAACATTTGTACCAGTACGAATCGCTGTTCTATAGTCGTCCTCCCCCCACTAGACACCTAGTGGACGAAATCGAATTTGAATTGGAGCACGCCGGCTGCGGCAGAGCGCGGCACCGTCAAATGCATTTCAAACTATAGTGTGGACCCCGGCCAGGTTCCCATATGTACCTCCGCAGCGCATACGCAACGCGCGCACTGTTGACGCTTCTTATTCCATATGAACGAAAAATCATCTCTAACTTAAAATAGGAGTGAGACAAGAAGTGGAACCCTCTATTCTCACCTCCAGAAAAGCTTAAGCAGAAGAAAAAACTCTTCCAACCTCCACTAACACTTGGTTCTTTGTCATTCTCATGCATACTAGTATAAAACTACCATTGATGGGTGAAAATCGAGAAATAGCGGAAAGAGGATTACTTTTGGAACGTTACTCTTCTGCAATCATTGAAAAACTAGAAGCATAAGGTGGAGAGCGTAATTTAACAAGCTGAAGCTTCAGTGCTGCATTGAAAAGCAACTAAAAGATTTAGACAAAACAAACTCAGTCGGATAGATACGTTTCTATATAAAATAAATTCAATCGAATAGATACGTTTGGTCCGTGATAGAAACCCTGAAGAAATCTCTTCAAACTATACTTAATCCTCGAGGAAAGAAACGAGAGCTTGTGAGACAGAAGCTCTCAAGACTTTTGAGGCTCGTAAAAACTTGTCATCATCAGCTGGTCTGGTTGGTTTGACCCTGAAAGAAAGAGATTATAGAAAAAACAAACTCAATAAAGAGAGGAACGCATAGAAACCAATAGGTCCTGGGACGAAAAGAGCACTGAAGGCATGCGCTGCGTTCGCGGCGCGGAGGTACATATGGGAAGCTGGCCGGGGTCCACACTATAACACAGTTTTCTTTTGTGTTTCACTGTCGTTACATAGTGATTTCTTTCTGTTTTAATGATGATTGTGATCAAAATTGAAAGATTTTTTTGCTATGCGATGTTTCGTAATGCTATGCTCGTTCCTTCACTCTGTTTTCAGGAAAGGTTGGAAAAACGATGCATATGGGGAGTTTTTGACACGAAGTATTTGATGAATCACCACTTCGAGACCTACCGAGAACAATTCCACCAAATTTCAAACTTGGGCGTTTTTCCAAACTCAACTTGGAATCGTAGTCAAAGAAACGAACATAGAAGCACGATCCATTGCTCAAACAAAAGCAACAATTTCAGTACGGGTTGAGAGAATGTCAGCATTCGAACATGAGGTTGTATCGTCGGGAAAACACAAAAAAAATTGTTTGAGATTGAAGTGACAGCTGCAGGTGCCGCGCTCTGCCGCAACCTGCGTGCTCTAGTTCAAATTCGAATTCGTCCACTAGGTGTCTAGTGGAGGGAGGACGACTATACAACTCGTGCTCTGCTGACGTCTCAGCCCCGCCGCATGCGTTCCGCAATCTGCGGCCAGTCTCAGCGGTCAATGCTCAACAATACATCATGTTGTTCAGCATCACAATGGCTGTCGTTCTATCATTATGGACGTTCCTATTATCTCTTCCGAAAAGCACTCATCTCCTTCACTTACCTGCCATAGTGCTTCAGAAAATCCGGTGATCATAGATGAGGTAAGGGCGGATTGCCATGGATTTTTAGTTTTCCCTTGTTTCTTGAGTTGTCTCTGCTGGGAACTTAAATTGTTCGCACAGTTCTCTCATTTTTGCTAAAATCTACTTTTACGAGTTGTTTTTGATTACCTATACACGCATTTTTGCTAACGTTTTGGCAGCATTGGAATATCGGAATGTTAATAGTATAATACTTCGTCTTTTGGAACAACTTTCCACCGAAGTGTACCATATGGGCAAAGTTTGCCATGAAGGCGAACAGATGATCTCCGTTTTTGCTCAGAAAATTTTTATCACGAAAGAGGAAGCATTCTGCCACTGGGGTGTAGAATTTGATGAATTGGAGAAGAAAAAATTTTTTTGCATAACCGACTAAAGGAAAGGGTTATTAGGACGAAAGCCATTCACAATTACGAATTACATTTAATTGTGAAGTTTTCCAGGATCGAAACTGCGAAGTCGAATCCAACAAGTTATATGAAAACCGTCAAGGTAAATTGGTTCTGTATCAACAACTTATTTGTTTATATTTCGTTCATTCGAGGTCCGTTAACGTCCACTCCCATGTTGTTGAAATGCTCCAATAACTTCGAGAAATTTCTTAGTACCAACTGCGTTTCGGTAGTGTTTCCAGCTAGTCATAATTGACTTTGACCTTGTAACCAATCTTACAATCATTTAGGACAAGCCGCCTGTCGTTGCCAAAGTCAGTGACGTGCAAATGAGCGACAGCTATGTGCGTCCGCAGCAGAAGAAATCGGCTGTTACCTCAGTCCTAGAGTCTTCCTTTGCAGTAGTTGGCAGATCAGTCGTAGATGGCTTAAAAGCTATTAACCAAGACGCAGTTGAATCTGGAAAAATGGCATCTTTCCATGCCGAGTTTGAAGAAGACGATCTTAGTGGAAATTCTTACGAAGAACCTGTGGACTGTGTCGATGATCAAGTTTCTGAAGCAGAGCAAGCGGAAGTCGTTCCTCATCTTGTCAAGACGGAACCGAACATTTTAGTAAAGGTTTCAACAGAAGCGATAATCAAGGAGGAAGAAGAGAAACAAAAAGTTACTTTCCTTATATCAAGTCTTGTCGCTATCAGAAATCGTTCTTCCAGAAAATTCCTCATACGGTGCTCAAAGGCACGGAGGGCGCAACTAAATCCAGTGACCTTTGCTCCAAGCGCAAGCGAGTGCACCCGAATCCTCCTGGATCAACCGATGAAGAAAAGCGTGGTGGCAAAGTAGTTCAGAATGAAGAAGTAAGATCTCATGGTTTTTTTTACCCTTTTTATACTTACGACGTTGATCAGCTAGGTGAATAATATCAACCCTTTGCTTCCCAGCCATATTCGGCTAAATGCTGGGCCAAAACATGCAGCTAGGTTACTTATAGCCCTTCCATGAAGGAGAGCTAAACGTGCAATAGTGTGCTCAGTTTGGGGGGCGCCCATTACTTGTGAGTGTCAATTAGAAATTGCCGCGACGCGGCGTTACAGTAACCTGGGCGAGAGGCAACAGGGTCAGAGGAAATGTTCCAGAGGACATGTTTGGGGTCTTGTTGCTATATCGAACAAAAAATACATATTTTGTGACCAGAGACATAGTAATTTCGATCTTTTCATTCACTTTCTTAATCATTCTTGCAAGATTCGGATCCAAACATCCATCATATAGTGAAATTTGATATGATAGTGTAAAAACCCTAACAAAAAATGAAATACTAAGCTTTGCAAGTCGGCTACCCGAGCTCTCTTCGCAACTGATTACTGTCACCCTGTCGCACGCGACGCCTGCGTGATTGATAGTCACAAGTAATGGGATACACCCCTCAGTTTCGCTATTATCTCGCTATGAAAATGCCTATAACTTCGTTTACAAAGGCGTCTAGCAGATACGGAAGACAGATTTGAAGTCAGCTTCTATGCTGCACCCAATAGTATGCAGCTTGTTTGAATTAGTCTCTTTGAATTCTGATCATTCCCTTGTGAGTTACAGCTGCATACGTCTGCTGATTAACGGCGGGATAGGGTAACCAACTTCCACATTTTGGGCCCTTTGAGTCGAGGACTATATGTCGCCGCTAGGGGGTGGTCCCACGCGGACATCTGCGACAGAGTGCGCAGCTCCACACATTACAGGTATAAGATTTGTACCAGCTGCCAGGCGGAGCTTAACGGCGACATATAGTCCCCTACCCGGCCGCTTTCGTGGGCAACTGATAACCGAGTTCGTTCCCCTATCCACATGAATGCCCCCACTGCCGACCAGCATGGAAGCACGGGCTTCAGGTTCAGCAGGGCTTTCCTATTCCTCGCTTGCGATGTCATGATAATGGTGCACTCAGTTTTTCCCCGGCGGGAGGGGGGGGGGGGGAGAGGAAGAATTTTTTTGTATGAAGGTGCGTGGCAAGTAAAAGCAACAAACTTGCAAAGTTTTTATAATTGATGTAAGTAATTTTCGAAATTTCGAGAAATTTTCAAAATCCATTCTCTGGTCATTTCGTCGTGGATATTGCAAGTTTGCAAGAACCAATTATCTCGACGGTTTATTCGCAGGGAATATGACGAACAGCGGTTTGGCGAAATGGCGATAGAGACGACTCCAGAACTTGGCATCCAGGCTCTTTCATGGCAGCCAAGTTAAGCGTGTTATCCTTTACCAACTTTGGCGTGCAAATCGTTGCGTTATGTTCGCCTATATGAAAGTGGGCACCGGAAGTGCATTGTCAAGGGCTATGAGGGTAGCCTGGCGGCTTAACAAGGGCGGTATGTATCAATCTCCCGTTTGGGTAAGTGTTCCAGGCTGTAATCCAGTCAGACGCAAGTACCTATTCCCATGATGCGCGAACGTGGGCGCTTGATCATGGAAGAGCTCGGGCAGGCAAAATCGGGTAGGTCTGCAACGCCTGGTCCAACCTACCCGATCTCGCTTGACTATAAGTTGTGTGGAATAACGTCTCGATTAGGTGGCCGAGACGTTAGTGTCGAACGATTTATTTACTAGCTAGCGAGTAGGACGAGTAATACAACTTAACGACAGAAGTAATTTACCCTAATTTCACGCGTACAAGGCGCGGGGGATCTTTCTTCAAAATCGACCAGCCCAAATACGCCAAAGAACTTCGCAACCAAAGGACCCTATGCCTTGCTGTATTTTGCTTAAGAGAATCGTACGGCATAAGGATCGCTTTCCGAAATAATTTAAAGCGGCTGAGGGGCTTACAAGTTGGCTACAGGCTTACAGGCTTGTTAGTCAAAAAATCGAAAAGGTGCGCAGTCGAAAAATTGAAAAGGTGCGCAGTCGAAAAATCGAAAAGGTGCGCCGTTTACGCGTGAAATTATGGTAACTTCAGATAGTTAAAGAGCAATTTATTTCTTAGGTTTCGGACAGAGTTCACGCGATTCGATCGTCGCGATTCAATCGCTACAGACAAGTGTTACGAGTTCATTGCATGCCGATCTTCTTGCATTTCGGTTGTGATAGTTTTCCAACACGATTAATCGTGACTAAAAGGTCGACATGCAATGAACTTGTGACACTTGTTAGTAGCGATTGAATCGCGACGATCAAATTTTATAAACTCTGTCCGAGGCCTCAGAAACTCGCATATCTTTATTGGGCTGTTTGAATCAGTTACCTCTGATTGTGAGAAATTTCTTGGCCGTCTTCCTAAGAGTAGCCTTTTCAAGATATCGGAGCGAGAAAAATGCGCTTGTTTGCCTCTACTGAATATGTACTCTGCTTGACTTTGAATTCATATCACATCTTTTGCAGATCGCGGACAACGTGAGTGATGCATATGAGCAAGGAGTCCTTAAACGTTATGCCTATAAAAAGAAAACTTACGTTTGCCAGTTTCCGGTTAATATCCGTTCAGCATAGCATTGATTTACGAAATATTGCCATTGTCAGGGTTGCGAAAAGGTTTTGGTGTGGCGACCAGGCTACGGTAAAAGTCGCTTAGTTGACCATGTTCGTCGGCATTGGGGAGTTGCGGCGAAGCGATGCAAACTATGCGACTTCAGTGCTCCTACTCCCGATAAGGTAAGTCAACTACTTGCGTTGTATTGATCAAATCTGTTGCAAACGTATGTTGTGAAAAGCGGACCGTTATTGCCGGATGGGTTTCCAGACACACAAGAAGCAATGTTTTGGTTCTCTAAGTAGGACTCTAGATATACGTGGATTCATGAGCAAAAACGCAGCAGAGTATAGGTATATGAAATCTGCAGGAAACAAAATTGTTCAAATTGTGGAACAAATTAGGCTACTTTTTCTCTGCTTTTCCAAGTGTCTGCGCTTCCATGGAGAATCTGCATGTTCTTTTAATATGATGTTTGTATGAGTATCACCTTCAGTTATTATCGTTTGAGCTGAGTGCGCCAGATTTTGTACAGTCTTCCTCAATTGTCTTTTATTTTATCGAGGGAGCACCTGGCAAATGAACATTATGGACAACTGTTGACAAAGTCCTGATTTATTTATGTTAGGACATATGGTTAGCCGCTTTGCAGATACACTATCATCATCAACATTTTCACCACAATGAGCCGTACCTTGGAGCTTTATCGACTGAGTAGGCATTTTTCTTCCTTACAAAATGTGTCGCATCATGGAATAGTTATTGATTTAAGAACGAAGGACGACCTGAAGACGCTCTTGGAGATCTGGAAAACTTGCTTTCCAGGTTTGTCTCCGTAAGTGATTTTCGTACTTATCATCGCTAGTTTTCAACGGGTAGACAAGGAATTCCGCCGCATTCGCAAACCTTGATTCTTACACAGTTAGCAGTACTATTTGCAAAGGTTCACCAGTCCGTGGAGGCGGCGGCTTTTGTCCTCTTTTCTTTCTCATCTGGCGTTTTTTCGTGCTGGACAATCGAAATTTCTCTGGCAAAATCACTGATACTTTGAATAGGGCCAATCAGCTAGCTCTCCCTTGTAGCTGGACTTCTTCGTTCAGCTTAGTTTTGAAGGCTATGAGAGGGAACATGTCTCATCCTGCAAATGGGCTGATCCAACTTAGCAACTTCATGGTCTTGCGTCAGTTTTTCCGTTTGCGCTGACTTCTGGCAGGTGATCGACTCGACATCTGACAGTCGCCGGCTTTTCGTTTAGCCGCTTAGCCACTTTAACTCTACGCTGATTGGATCATTGATTTGACCAGTTAGGAAGTGGATGAAGCGGCTGAGCGGTTAAGTCTATCGCGTGCCTTTTTTGGGGGCAAGGGAAAAATTCGTTTTAAGCCGCCTTTCATAGGGGCATTACTCTAATTGGTCAAGATGTCGGCTGCATTGACTAGCTTTGAACGGGGCGGGGAACCGACTAGGTTGCCATGCACATTTTTTTACACTTTAGCAGACGGTGTTGAAAGCAACGTTCCGTTTTGAACTACGATTATTTCGAGTTTGTGACTAGATATCAATGGTCAAGCTTTCCATGATGCAAAAGTTGAAGGCAGAGTTTAATAGGAGGACAAAACTGTATGCAGCTTTTTAAATCAGATCGCGCAAAGCAAGAGCAAGCTGCTAGGTGTGACGCGTGAGGCCGTTCATCTAGTTGCCGCTAATAGTCGGAGATATGTTATGTGAATTGCGCTTTGTATCAAGTTGGCACACAACTCCTCATAAAAATTTTGTCTCTTTGCATATCGTCACTCATTTGTTGATATCATAAAGACTATGATGTAGGCTACGGCCATTTTTTGTCGAAATTCGCAGTCGCGTAAGGCGGCAGGTTTGCGGTATCTGGGGAACATTCCTAAATTGCTTCAGACTTTGCTGAAATTTAGTCTAGGGAGTTATCCACATGCTGATCACAAAAATGATACCCATGAAGGGGCCTCTTTCGTAATGTTAAAGTGTGAATTTTCGTGTTCAGCATGTCGGGGGTACCTCACTGTGCAAACTGGGCAAATTTTGAGTCTGCCTAGTTATTGGAGAATTCCGCTCTAAAATTGACGCGTTCGACTTTCAACACCCTCCTCCCTTTCTGAAATTTTCTAGGACCGCCACTTATAGTTATGCATTGTCCCTTTTCATATCGGAGTATATCACTGCTTAGAGCGTGCTTATGCTGCAAAAATTTAGGATGTTCTTCCGTTGGCGTAATGAAATGGATAGCTCAGAACTTTCCACAACTCCAGGAGTGGATGTAAAAAGTACGAATTATAACGATTTTTAAAAGTACTGTGAATGTGATAGAAATAATGCGAAACTTCAAGGGAATTTATCGTTACTTACAAAGGAAGCTACCTAATTTAGCCCGGCCTTTTGACAAGGGATATAGATAATTTGAATCAGCTTTAAACGATGATTCTAAATATGCTAGAAGGTTATGGACTTTTTCCTACGCGAAATTGACATACTCGACTCACTGGCATCACTGCAGCATCATCTAAGTGCTATACACTTGCGTCAAGCTGTTTTTTTAGTGAGAAAAAGTTGCTTTTGTGTTATTTCGATATCTCAGCACCTTTCTTCTTGCAGATTTATTTATAAGGCAGTCTTCTCATTTTTAGTAGTATGCCACTTTTGCGCAGGAAAAAGCCCATAACTCACTTTGGAATAGTGCGCGGCACTAGGAATAGCATTGGAATTAAAGTTCAAAGCTGATTTAGAACATGTAAGTGTTTGTTAGCTCTCCTCATTGCTCATTTACGTCCTCGTTACTTCGCTTCATTATCGCATGATTAGATGTCAGTGTAATTGAAGTCAGTCCGCCGAAGTTAAGGCGATAAACTGCGATGCTGACTACGCCGAAAAAACTGTTGCCTTTGTGCCATCCATGACTACGTGAAGCTAGAAAACAACTTCAGAAGCTTTGACATAGCCGCCGTTGAGTCCAGGTCTGTCATGCCAGCTACTAGAGATTCCCCGATGAGTGCTACCGTGCTCACAGTTACGACCAGTGAATTGCAAAAGTCTACAATATTTTTTCTAACAATCTTGGAGTCTTGCGTTCGTCATGAAGGTTCTTCGAAAAGTCTTTATTTTTGCCATTCTTGCCTTTTCAACGTGCATTTTCGAGGTCAGAATAATGGATGGTATAGACAGAGACGAACGCACACAAGTTGTTGAGCTATCTGCTGCCATACTGAAAGCCCTCGTGCGGCAAGCGGCCGCATTAAAAGCAGCGTCCAGGCAGATCTGGACCTATGGGGCTTTTACATGGAAAGTACTTTTGAGGCCCTAACTAAGGCACTGCCCAAGCGGCAGCTCAGGTAGTGCTGTAATGGCTGAGATATGTCCCTCGAAACTGGCCCCCGCGAACGTATTCGTATGGATTCATGGCAGTTTCGCGCCAGGATCCACGCTTTGCGCCATGAATCCATGCGAAACACGGTCGCGGATTCCAGTTTCGAGGGGAATATCTCAGGCGTTAGGGCACTGCTTGAGCTGCCGGTTGGGCAGTGGCTTAGTTTGGGCCCCAAACGTACTTTCCACGTAAAATCCCCATAGATCCAGACTTGCCTGGACGCTGCCTTTAACATACAAATGGGTACTGAACAATCTTCCGGCTTTTGCTCTCATCCGAGCTCCGTCGTTACGCTAATTTTAGCGTGCTTGGGTTTTTCGAAACTCTCCATTTAGGACATGGACGAGTGGAAGCAAGACACGACAACGTTACGGAGAGTTCTGACCGTACGATTGAGGCTCCAATGGATAGAGGGAAATAAAGATTACTCCCAGACCAAGGCGGCTGCTTCTGTAAGCGAGGCGTGCGGTTGCGTACAAGCTAAAGATGAAAGCTGCTCGAAGCAGCTTGCTGACCCGCTTCGCAAAATACGCCGACCCCTTCTTCATGATTTCGATTTTAGCCAAGTGGAATCTTTAGAGCATGCCTCGAGACGTATGGGGCCTTTTTCTTGTTCGCGTCACAGCATGCCATCGCAAAAATGGTGGTCTAGCCAGAACTGTTTTCGCATAGCATCAGAAATCGCAAAACTCCCAGTCTTGTTCGTGCACTACCTTTCAGTAGCTTCATGCGTTCAAGCGCGCCAAGAATTATGCGGATTTGCTTCTTTTCCGGTCAGATGAACACTCTTTGTTGTCGGAATGCTTGATACGGGTACAGGAGTCGCGCATGATAGCGTTGCTGCGCGTTAGGCTTGAGATATACCTGACGATAGAGGTATAGCGGGTGTTGGCGAATCGCTGATGCCTGCGCTGCCTTTAGCTGCTCGTGGCTGATGCGCTGGGTACGCTTTGGGTGCAAGAACGAGTAGCTTTACCCATTACTACGCTTAGCTTAGCCCATTAGGAAAGTAAGTTTTGAGAACTATCAAAAACTGAAGAATATGATTACATGTTCCAAAAAAATCATCCTGTTCTCATCAACAAATCTTTTTAAGAAGCATACAGTTGCAAACCAAATGTTGCACTAGTACTGATAAAATAATCATTACCATTATTTAAGCGGTGTGGCAATAGAATCTTGATTTGTGCTTGAGGCAAAAACCGAACGACCTAGGTCATAGCTGCCATTAATGTATTGAGGTGTACTGGTAACATCCCACTAAATCGTAAATTTTCTAATTTTTTGTTAATCCAATTTGATTCTTCGCAAAAGTTTTGTGCGGTTTTCATATTTATTTGTTCGTTCACTTTGTCAATTCTCTGTTAATTTTCCTATCGAAGCATTTGCGTTTTGGTCTTGCAAATTTGCCACAGTTCAGTAACGCAACAAGCGCTCTAAAAATCCTTCAGAAGTTCAAAAGGATGTTAAAAGCGGGCAAATCCGAGCAAAATCAGCGCTAGCAGCGTGAAGCAGCTGAGAGAAGCTCACCAAAAGTGAGCTTCATATCGCGTAGCAGCGAGGAGCAGCTACGAGCAGCAAGCAGCAGCGCAGAGCAGCGCAGCATCGCCAGCTATAGCGGGTCTGTATCGCGTTCGCTGCAGCAGCCAGAAGCAGCAGCGTTGCATGGCGTCAATCGATACGCATAAAAGGCGTTGCTGCTGGCAGCGTCTTATCGTCAGCTATAGCGACCCATCGTCAAGTATATCTCAAGCCTTAAGCTCGGTTATTCTTGTTCCCATGGGAGCATTCATCGTCCGGAGGTAGAGTTCATGAGCGAACTTCGATTCAAGCTTTACGATAATTTCTCGATTTCTTTTGTGTAAATGCACACATCCGCTAGCTAGCGCTAGAATCTTGTTGCTGAGATATTCGAGTTCATACCGTTTGCAGATTGGCTTAAATTATTTTGACTTTGGATCTAAGGAAGGGTCAGTGTATGGTAGCTTCAGGCACATGTTGGCTTCGAGCATTTCTGCAACGAAATCCTCCATGACATTGCACAATAATTTAGAAGTCCTCTTAAGTTACGAAAAGGGATAGAGGCTAGAAAATTTTACCTTGTTTCCAGGGCTATAAGCCGCACTTTTTCAGTTTAAACGAGCTGTTCAGCCGCTTCACTGTTTTCGAGAAGCCATCCTTATGCCGCACGATTCTTTCAGGCATTACGCAGTACATTGTAGGATGATGTATTCTGGTTGGTCGATATGAGCTAGGACCACCCCGCGGCTTATACACCTGAAAATAGGGTAAATAAGAAACGTCTGCTGCATAACTGTGTTAGTGGCAAGAATTCAGCAAGAAAAAAAGATCAAGAAAGCGACATTCTGCTAATAATTCATGATCTTCTCTCTCCCATGTACATAGCAAAGAAAGATGGCTAGAAGTTTTGATTTACTACCAGTATCTCTAAGCTCTCGCCTAACCGTAAGTTGGAGCTCAATACCCTCCAAAAAAAAACTAATTTGTGTCTATTCATGGCACAAAACTTGAGGGAAGGCGATGACTAGGTGCGATCGCTTCACTGAAGGATAGAGTTTGAGCGCGTCCGAGCTACAGAAGTCTCCAAGACTTATGTACACCCTCCGAAATTCATGCTCCGAAGCAACCTAGGGTGGTTGATGGTCTAGAAAGCTAATACGAAAACAGATATTCTTATAATCAACTGTGTGCAAGCCGATTTGATGTATACCGGCGTGCATATTTGGGGATAGGTGTACGTATGCTTGAAGGCATTTTCTACCCAAATTTTCGACTTTTATGTTTCTGTCGCTTTCAGGCTTTGGGCCTGAAAGCGACAGAAACAGGCCTGTGTGGGGGTCCACACTAACATGCTAACGTATTTTCGTCAACCCCCACTTTGGGTAGACGGTGCCTCCAACATGTTTTGTATTAGTTAGTGGTTGGGATATAGTCAGGACTATAAGGCTTCGAATACCACTTGTTAGCCACAACCACAAAGATTATCTGCCACGCGGGTCTTGAGCGGTTGCACACGAGCACACCTCAAACTTGGGTAATTAAACTTTATTACAGAAACAAATAACAACAACAAACATGGATAGAACAATAACAAAATATACTATTAAATGATTAACTACAAATAGGAATGATATGACTGGAAAGAGGCACCAATATATGAGTAAAATAATGTTAAAGCAAATGAGTGAGGGTCGTAATGTGAATAACTCTGAGTGTGTCCTGTCAGCTACTTATATGCGTACGATCACATCATTAGGCCATAGCTGCGCGCGACATCCTACTGATAGCTGAAAAAACCATGAACAATTCACATCTGATGCTAACATCTGCAAATTCCTTCAATAGTAAAAAACGATGCAAATCATCGATGTTTGCAACTGGCAAAGTATGACTAAACTACAAGGATGTGATGAGTTTGTACATGAGGGAGAAAAGAACAATACGAACTGCGAAGTTCGTATATGTTTCACGACATCCTTGTCCCTTTCGCTGTCCGCCCCCAAAACGTTCAGTATGACTTCAGTGAATCTGGCTCGACCCTGTACTGCATTCGCATTAGAGTCTTGTACATCTAGTCACAAAGCCGTTATCGGATGTGGTTAGAGTGCTAAGCGGGTGGTTTCAGTCCCTCATGTGTACAAGTGTGCCAAGTCGTATATTCAGGCCATGGTACCCTCAGTATCAGTTCTCTTGTAAATCGTTCGCGCTAATCACCGGTCATTTTTGGATGCGCAAACTTTCTTCGGCAGAATCGTTGCGATGCTACGGCTTTACTGCTCTAGTTCTGATAAGTGGTGTTATCAGAAAGGCTGGCTAGAACAAAAGTACCGTGTGTGGGCACAGCCTCGGCGTACTACTACTGTCGCACAAACGCTATATCTTATCGAATGAGAAGTGGTAGTTCGCACTGCTGTTTTGTTGGAGTTCTTTGTGCGGAAGCAGTGTGGCTGCACATCTCCGTAATCCTCTTAAAAAATCTATTCTTGAAAATAGACTTCTAGTAATGTAATTTCCAGAGTCTTGACAAAGTGGGCCCATGTCTTCAGGAAAGGATAGATCAGCTTGATAAAATCAATTCCTTAGCTTGCTGCACACCCCTTTTAATCGTCACACGGTTCAGCGCATGTCCAGACCTCCTTTTGTCTTTTTTGGGTGCAATCCGGTGCTTTGTAAAGATTCAATTATTCTGTGGTCATCTCTATGCTTAAAAAATTGGAGAGAACTCTCTGTATGGCATTTTTCCTGCATTTAATAATTCTTGATACCCGAATTCCAATGCTAGCTGACAGTTCCGGCAAAAAAGTATATTACTCTAAATTTTTGGCTGCTTATATGTTTGAGGTTACTATCACATCACAATCTCAAATTTTCGCCAAAACTCTCATCATGCATCACATTTTAGAGTATCCTGTTATACACTTCGACTTGTGCTAGCTCCCAGTGTCTAGATCTAAAGTCATTCCTGTGAATAAATCTTGGCTGGCTATGTCCACATTTGTTGTATTTTCTTTAAAAAATCTTCGTTTTACCTGTTCTTTTCCTTTTTTTTGTATAATGTTGTTGTCGTTCTGATGTAAGTATTTCGGTTTCTATTTGCCAAGCTGCTGATCGCGAATACCGAAGAGTTAGATTGTCGATTCTCTGTATTATGAAAGTAGTTTGCCGCCTGCTACAAATTTTCTTGTCTTTTTGATTTGGAAATAAGCTTGTTATCTTGTTAATAATTTCTGTTCATAATTGCGCTGTACCTAGTTGCAAGCTGTGGATTTACTATGTTTATGAATTTTCTTTAGTTGCCTCCTGTATCAAATTCTTTGCTTCATAATGCGTTTAGAATATGGTCTCAGAATTTTATAATAAGTAGTTGATTTTTGGTGCTGTAGACAGCTAATGGAGCACGATGTAAAGCTTCAACACACGACATAATCAAGAATCTTACTTTAGGGGTTCGTTATTTGTTGCAGTGATCGTCTTACACCACCACATAGCATGCAGCCGAGTTAGTGATGCAGAGCTTACTTTCTTACCATTTGCGTACGGTGGTAGTCAAGTATCGTTTTAACATCGCTAAAGGCAGCGGCTCGGCAGATTGACAACTTTGGTATATTCATCGTTCTTAACTCCCTTGGGAGCTGAATCTGAGATATCAAGGACTCGCTTTTCCTTACGTGAAAAGTGCTGTTTGGGAGGGTTGCGAAGGCTGCTGGAGCCAATAATCCAATCGCCGCCGAGATGGGTACGGTGTTTCCACTCAAGAGCCAATCGCGCTCTAGAGGTAGCGTCAAGCGGTCGGCGCAGGACAGGTCCGGCTCGTGTTGATTTCAAGCATTTCGAAAACAGGGCGAAAACACCATGACCTTGCACAGAGTTTCACAAAGTCTTTTTGAGTATAGAAGATGGGATGGGGGCCCACAAAAATTAAAAGCAACAAGAAAGCAAGGTTTTGTTCAAACGCGTTCAATAACAGATGAAACAGTAACGTGCACAAAATTTCACAAAGAAAGATAAACCTAAGCATTACTTTACCTCATTACTGGCATCTCTAAACACTCGATTAGTTGTGAATTGGAGCGCGATATTTATCAGACCTATCATTCTTGGACCATTGATGTCTAGAAAAAAGAGGAGAAGTTTGGTCTCTTGACTGTGTGATAGAAGTGATCAAATCGTCCAAGCCAAAAAGTCCGAAACTTATGTGAACCCTGGGATGTCGAACACCCTTACCGTTTAGGTATGAAAAAGCGCAGCAGATTGGATTGCTGATTTACTTGGCTTATCGTGAAATTTCCTTCATATGTTTCTGCGCTTAACATCTATTGTACACTGTACAAACATGCATCGAAAAACAACTTGTAGTACTACTATCCTTTTGAAGCTTTTTCTAGCTGAAGTACGATTGTTTTCTCCCGCTTTTATAGTGCTTGAAATGAAATACTTTGAATTGGCCGAGTATTGACAGCAAAATTGTCAATCTCAAATTGTCGATAGGAAGAAAGTAGACTATTTTGTCTGTCTTAATTTATTATTTGGAACATTTCTTTTCGGTCTATATTGTGCTGATGAAGTCAACGTCTATGAAAGAATCGAATTTTTTGAGTATTGCTAATGCTGCTAAATAAAATGAATTTGCCTTTTCGAAAAATTCTAGGGGCATTTATGGCGATGTTAGAAAAACGTGGCTGCTTTATATAGTTCGCTACTCTTTGAACAAAAATGAGGAAGTGCGAGGCAGTGAAATTTGGGGCTGGGTCCACTTCTGAATTGCTGCTAGATCTGAGGAGAGCACCATTGGATTCCCAGTGTATTTGGCCATTGCACCATGTGGAGGCTATAGCCTCGGGTGAATTGGGCGGGGTATGAAAGGCTCCTATGTGTTATTAAAACAAATAAGCTATTAGAGCTTCATCGAACAGAATGTGCTCATCGCGCACTGGTAGCATGCTGTGGATTACAGGCGTGGCAAAGTAATGTTAGTTACAATCATCTGGACAATAAGTCGCCCATATATCAGCAGATCATGCCCATGGCACAACGTTTATGGTACTCAAGACAGGAGTAATGATCATAAAAAAGTGCCGACATATGGGCACATGTATTTGTTTCGGCTTGGTTCAGGCAAAATATAGCTCTTTAAGACGTAAAACCTTTTCAAGTCGCTACCGTAATCTTACACTAACGCAGAGCTATCGATAATTTGTTCAGTACTGCGAAGCTGAGGTGACGTGAGCTCCACAAATCGTGTTCGAAAGGTCAACGAATGTGGTTCATTACTACATATACTTGTCCCAGAATACAGAGGTAATGGGAATGGTGGATGGCCTGAATGTACCATTCGCATTATCTATGGTACCGTTCTCTTTTCAAAATTCGCGTAACTGACTCAAACGATGCATGATACCTAATTGTTAAAGGCAGCATCCAGGCAAGTTTGGACATATGGGGATCTCACGTGGATAGTAATTTTGGGGCCCTAACTAAGCCACTGCCCAACCGGCAGCTCAGGTAGTGCTCTAACGGTTGTGATATTCCCCTCGCAACTAGACCCCCGTACTTCGCATGGATCCATGGCGCAGAGCGTGGATCGTCGCGGGAAACTGCCATGAATCCATGCGAACACGATCCTGGGGTCCACTTTGGAGGCGTATATCTCAGCCATTAGTGAGTCACCTGCGCTGCCACTTGGGCAGTGCCTTAGTTAGGGCCCCAAAATTACTTTACGTAAAATCCCCATAGGTCCTGATCTGCATGGACGCTTCCTTTGAGCACATCAAAAATACCGCTTGTATAGAGCATATATGAGAAGTCTTAAGCCTCGAATATACCTTGCGCGATTTCTCCAAAATCGCTGCAATTTTCAGTGTCTGCAAATCTATCGCCTGTGGAATACAAGTGCTTGGGCGCATAGCTTTTGTTAGCTTATGCGTACATGGCAAATCCTGCTTACAGAGCATGCACCTACGGAAGATTATGAACAATCGGCAATTAGAAATCGCGCGGCGACGAAGTATGCCCGATTCCCTACAGTCAATCAGATGACAAAAATCCAAAAGTAATTCTTCTACCGTTCGTATCGCGTATCTGTATCATTCATTATGTTCATAGTTTGTGAATCGTACATATATAATTCAATGGCCTTTCTCTTTCACGTGTCAAAAATTGAGAGAAATAACGATATGCTTTATTTTCCCAAGTTCTTGTCGGAAAATCTGCTTGATGGCATTTGTTGCCGTTGTTGAGGACGATCAAACTGAAATGTGGTAAGTAAAGATCGAGTCCAGGAGGCGTTGTGATCTATAATAACAGCATCAGTACGTACTCATGCGGTACTGAAGAATTGCCGTAATCTCGAAGGTTCTGCTATATACCATGACAGGCACAAGGTTGCTCTCTGATACGAATACCTGTCCAGCAAATGAAGGGGAGCAGTATCTGGAATGGTGCAAAATATATGCGTAGATGTGAATTCTCAGGCGCAATTTACCTATATCCGGTCAAACGCTGATCTTTTTGTGTTTTGATTTCAACACCGGCAAAGGTGCATCCTCCGTCCTCGTTCAGGTCCTTTTTAAGGGCGTTCGAAAAATCACCAACGGTAATCTCGACTTTTCTTCCTTGAGGAGCCTGTTTGGAAATAGTTAGAGTCTGTGACACGTTGTATGGCGCGATACCTGTATCCAGTAGTGAGCCCACTTAAAGTCTTTTTTCGAAAAATATAGCCCATTTACATCCTTGTAACCAATCGTATCTTTAAGAATTTGGACATTGCTGTTGGCTTGCAGTACTTTGCCTGCTCCTGCTGGCTAAAATGTGCTTATTCGTATAAATTGGGCTAAAAGGACTGAAAAGGGGCATACCCTTTCATTACATAGTCTGCCTCCATATCCAGATGGGCAGACGCATTTAGAGCAATCTTTAGGATTTGGGTATCCACCATTTTCGCAATTTCCCCTCTCGTAAACTGGTTCCACACGTGGGCCGGAGGGGCCGGGCGCGACAGGCGCAGTCGTGGTAGTTGTGGTGGGTGTGGTAGTTGTGGTAGTTGTAGTAGATACTCTGGGTTTGGTCGAGGTGGTTATCGGTCTAGTCGTAGTCGTAGATGGGGGGCGTGTGGTTGTCTTTGGTCTGGACGTTGTTGTGGCTGGGCGGCTTGTGGTTGTTGTTGTAGTGGGTGGTAAAACTGTATAGTCCCAGTCCCAGTTTGCACCGATATTGAATATCCAGTCGGGAAGCATGCCGCCAATTACACTGGGTAGGTTCCACCAGGCCGTCTTGCCTCCGGTGCTTGAGCCCCTTTCCCCTGGGAGTCTTGTGTCGCCGTGAAGTCCTGGAAGTTCACCACCACCTCTTATGCCGGCTATGCCTGCAGCACCGTTTGAACCGCCTTCAGCTCCTGGACGTCTACCACTTGAGCCGCCAATTATGCTGCCACGAGAGATGCTTGAGGTCCTGCCGCCAATGGATGAACCCGAACCCATGAAGTATCTCCCCATCTGTCGCTTGACTCTCGTCTTTCCGGATGAGCGTTGCTTTCCTTTACATTTGTCTGAATTGAGTCTTTCTTTTCAGCTCAAGTTGAGTTCATAAAAAATATGACTCGCCTAGACAGTCGTACATCCTGTTCAAATGGAATATATCGTAGAAAGAAATAATATGTGAGCCTAGCGTATCAGTATATCTGATATCATGGGGCACCACAGTGTAGTGGCTCTTGTTACGCTTATCGTAAACAAAGCTGAAAAAGAGTTGTTTTTATTTGCAAATGCATAACAGATAGTGAACCTTCTAGCAGAGTAGTGCATGATGCTTCCATAATCGTAAGGAACGTCGTAAAGCTCACTCATATCTGGTTCATAAATCTTGAACTCGCTCATGTAAGTTTTCTAAACGGATTTCCATCGATATGTTTTTAAGGGAGTGCATGAGAAAAACATACGTGAACTTTTGTTGTATCGATGAAGACGTAATCGTCCCGATCAGTTCGCGATTGTGTATGCCACATTCCCATTATATGGCCAAGCTCATGCGCGGCGATACCAATCTATAAATGCATGTGAATCTCATGTTGTTTCTCTTCTAAGGAGAACTATGCTAGAGTAAGATTCTGCGTTCATCTTAAAGGCATTGTCCGGGCAAGGTCGAGAGTTGTGAGATCTTAGGGCAGTGGCTCGGCACTTCGACCTGTGGTTTTTACGCTTACCTGGGGTAATTTGATGCGCTGATTCCAAAAATCCACGTTTAAGAGCGCGAAATGGCGAAAACCAGCATTTTTCAGGGCCTCTCATTGAATTTGGACGAGTGGAACGTTTCCGCCATGTTTAGAGACGTAAAGTCGTAGTGGAACCCCCATCTTTATAGCACTGTGGCATGCAGCATCTGACAATGTGAGGAATATCGCAAGCCCGTCCGAGCGCGTGTAAGAATTGCTTGCGTGCATGGGTTTAGGGCAATTTTTTAGGCAGGGGCAGCATGCTGTGCGCTCGGACCTGCTCCCTTCTTATGTTTGAAGTGCAAGTATTCCATATGAAGATTTCGAGGTGTCGATTTTGCCGAGCCACCTCCTTCAAAGGCTTGGTCATATGGCACAATTGCGAAGTCATGACGTTGGACCAGAAGCAAGAAATCTGCTTGGAAATCGGTAGACCGACGCTTTAGTGGGAAGTCTTCCCACCTACGGATTTCCAGCTCTACAGTAGAGTGCGCATGATGACCACACAATCAAGTTGACATGGTCTCACAGCGATTTGCGTCTCAGCCTTGGTGTGAGGTGTTTCTCCGTCCAAGTTCAGGATCTAAGAGAGATTTGAGCTCTCCATCGATTTTTGAATTCAGTGTAGCGGACAAGCCCAGATAAGCGAAAAGGCTAGAAGTCGAGTTCTAACACTGCCTTCATGCTGCTAATTATAAATGCATTAAGCTATGCGGGTATAATAATCTGCGCTGTCTTTGGCACGTCCTTTGAAATCATTCAAAGGGAAGCTACCAAAAGATTTGAATAGAATATAAACAGAATGTAATTGAAATACCGTATCGCATCCCATTCCCAGGGAAAGCTTTTGCACTCTGCCCAAGTGCCCTACGTTCGAGAAGCAGCCACCCTCTTCTACCAGCAGAACGCGGTTTTCGACTTAATGGGAGTTTATGAGTTTTTAAGAGCAAATATTCCTTCATACCGCTAGGATTCTCAACGAATTTGATACAACTTTGGCTCTGCCATTCCATTGCCGCTTTTTGGAAAACTTCCCTTGTTTCAGGTTCTGAAATCATTTCGTTGCTTAGGGACTGTGAACAAATTATGCTTACCTAATCTAATGTTGTATGAGTAAAACACTGTGTTATCTGGCCACTTGGATTTCGGGTGCACTTTGAAATTCATTGACTGACGCTTAGTTCTGCTTGTTTGATTCTTTTCTCCTGCTGCGGCAATATCTTCGGCTTGTTCACTGTAAACAATAGCTTGAAAAAACATAATCTATCTGGAATGTAAACTCGTACGTGCTCAGGACAATGTCGCTCTGATACAAAAGCTCTCCCAATGGTGACTGCATGTTGATATCCTCGATAGATGTGTGCATACCTTCACTTTCTAGTTGTTCGTTTCGGTGTAATGCTGCTGCTTCCTATAAAAGAAGGTTATTACGCGGCTCCACATACTGTGAGTGTTTCGCGCACCGCTTCGAGATACTGCACGGTTTCCTGTTGTTGTGGGCTCAGCCGAAGTTCATTCTCGGTCTCTTCTTCATGTGCGTGAATCCTTTCATAATTGGCGAGAAGCTCAGCCTTGTTCAGTGTCTAGAACACACCTTGCGTTGAATTGCTCAAAAAGGTCGTGGTTGCTGACAACTTACCGTGGGTAAATCGCTCAATGCTTTGTCAATCTTTTCTACAATGTTGCTTGCGGCGTTGCTACCAGCAAATAAGAGTAGAAAGAGAGTTACTCTCATTCTGAAAAGAAAAAAACTTTTTTAGACGATGATATAGAACGATCCAGCTGGTTGAAAGCTAGAACACAGCTACAGCATGGATTCATAGAGTGATAAATTGTGGGACTGGTATCATGATAGGTTAATTGACACAAATTTATCTTTGCCTTTCGGCCACTTAAAATTATTTCACGATGGTAAGTAAACAAAGTTGTGTGAGTGACCGTATAGAGTTAGGAGGCGATTCGCCATGCGATGCGGTAATACTCCATTTATTTATAACTCATCGTAGGTGTTTTATGTATTATGTAGTTTAGTTTAGTTTTGTGTAAAGAATATTGAATTTCATTGATTTGCATTTTTTTACTCACTGAATTTATGGTCTGGAGGGCTGATTCTGGAGAAATCGGGCAAATCGCCAAATTGCAGTGAAATCGCACAGAAACTGCGCTGGGCTGTATGTACCATGGATACTGCGTATGTTTTTTTTACTTGATGTTTTGGTTTTGTCAGATGGGGCTATAGTGGCGTCGTTTTATACCTGAGTATGTGCAAACATGCCCTCAATACTACGCTTGAAATCCTAGTCGATGGCTAGACGAACCCCTTCACGATAAAAAATTTTTTCAGCGTTTTTCTGGAAGTTTATGTTCATTTTTAATATCGGTGGAAGCATCTCGTGAGGATTTTCTGTATTTTGATGCAAAACGTTAAGGCATTCAGAATGGGTACCGCAATGCTGAGCGTGTGTGCATTGACGCACATTAAAAAAGTATCCAAATTGTAGGTGGCTGGGAACGTCCAGAATTCAATGGACTTGCTGACGGTAAAGGTAATAAGCTAAGATTTTATCATTTTCTCTTGTCGATAAATCTGTTTTGATCTTCTGACCGCTAAATGGGAGAAATGCCATGTATTAGTTCGGCGCGAAACTTTACGGGCATTGCATTTTGGCAAAGTCTTTGGTAAGCACTGATTGGGAACGGAATATAAAACTCCTCATGCTCCAAATCTATAGTATACACTTACATGCACAGTTGTTATGGAATTGAGCTCAAACAACAAAATGAGGTAATTGAGAAGTGGCAAACTCGTCCCCCCACTGATGTTAGACTTCTCGCACCTGCTTAGATATCAGCTACAGGTGAGAGAGTATAGTATGCATATTTTCGACAACAGAGTGTCCCAAAAGTAAGTGCACATTTGATCGTTAGTAACTCTCTTCCCACTAAGGCTTTTCCTTGGCTTCAAATACTATTCAGTACAAGAGGCTTCAACTTAAATTTACAGTGTGGAGCGAATCACCTACGGCCTTTTATTAACATACGATTACGGTAGGATTTTCTAGCATTTGAAACAAACAGTCCCAAAAAAGTCTAAAAAGTCGTGTAGCATTGTTTTCCGACATGCTGACTTCATCAGATAGCTATTTTATGAGTTTTAACAGTTTTGAATGGTCCAATCACATTTTTGAATAACACTGAAAAAAAAAACGCTTTACGGTTTGCTTTGCATAACTTATGGAAAAGCCTTTTACGGTAAAGTGCAAATTTTATATTAACGATCAGCGACAGTAGACTAATGATAGAGTCTTCGGCTCGTTGATCGTTTATTCTGGGACAATATGTAGCCACTGAGGGCTCAAAACTCTCTTCAAAGTTCCTACCGTAATCCTACAGTAGTTAAAAGTGGTGGGTGATTCGCTCCATAATGCAGATCTAAGTTGAAGCCTTCTCTACTGAATATGTTCAAAGCTAAAGAAAAGACTTGGTGGGAAGAGAGTAAAATGACCAAAAATGTGTACTTATTTTTGGGACATCTTGTATATGCATTAGACTTCGAGAAATAGCAGATTTAATCTAAAAACGTTTAAAGCCAATTTAATAGAGGTAGGACAGAATAGTGGATATTATGGCATAATGAAATGCAGTTGACGGAGCCGAGTATGCACTCTAATTTATATGTAATCCATAATGTTTATTTGTTGAATCATAGCACAACCACAAGACAAATACACTGCTGTACTATCGTTCTCTTAGTTTCAGAAACATGTAAATAGAATGAAAAAGGTACTTTTATGGTACTACTGCTAGGGCATTTCGAATGTGTACTGAAAAAGTTACACAGGCAACGCATGTTGATACAGTTTTGTTGAGCGGTTATTTCACATAGAACCTAACTGTTTTGTCAGCCTTGAGCAATAAGTTTGCGCAGATGGTGCTAACGCTAATTGTTGACGTTTAGTTCATTAGTTCTGTTACTTCTTCCGAAATTACATTATAGGTCATACTATAAGGTGCGGAAAAGTACTGTCCCTCAGTTTGCCTCCTAAAACATCTCACATATAAAGGAAATTTATAGCTTTGTAATTCTTACATGTATGTGAAATCTTGGAAATTAGACTAGGGGAGCGGCCATACTATTCCTGTGATTCCTGCAATTCCTGCGATTCCTGTGATTCCTTCTGGTCTGTATATTGCAAAAAAAAAACCATGTATACTGAAATTCGCAAGGTACAGGAATCGCAGGAATCACCTCCTGGAATAGTATGCCCGGTCCCTAAGATAAGTTTGATTTGGAAATGGGTGCTTCTGTCCATTTGAATGAATGATAAGTGCAAACGAGAATATAGACGATGCGCCGCAGAGTTTAAGCTCGATTTTGGATCGTAAATATACCACCACGAGTGATATCAGTTTCGAATTCAGGTAACATGTAAAGCATGAACTCCTCTCCAAACTTCTATACTTATCGTAGATCAGTGACTTGAGATTTTGGCTATACAAGCAAGGGGAACTATAATATATCCCAGCCGAATCGCAAAAATTCGCGAAAAGAGGATAGTCAGAGCTGCTCTTTGCCAATAAATTGGATCCAAACCATGATTTGAAGTCTCAGATCCCAATAAAAAGCAGCAAAAATAGTGAAAAGAACATCGGGTTTGTTTCCATCCTAATTTTGGGTCAATAAACGATTGCACTTAGTTTCCGTGCCACGTTTTCTGATCGCACCTTATTGCGTCGCAGCTTTTTCGTTCAAACACAACTTTTCTCCTAGTGTGACTGCGGACTGCTTACTTTCAGGATATTTCGACGTAATTACCAAAGTCCTTGAGCAGCTGAAGATTTTTCAAATTCACGTTGGAAACGAAATTTTTTTTCGGAAAACTTCACACTTTCTTAACGCTTGTAGAAGGGAGTTGCGAGAATTGATATCGGATGCGTTACAAATAGGGGACGCCACTGGGTGAACTTGCAGAACGGGGCCAGCTCTGTAAGGTTGCCAGAATGTATTCTTATCTTGGGAGTTATGCCGAAATTACCAGAAAAAACTGTAAATCACGCCGATCTTCTTACCTTCATTTTAAGGAACGGCACTTTTTTCGCACCCTATATAGTCTTAAAAACTCGAATTCAAGTTTCGGTGCTCCAGTGACCACTGGAACTCCCATAACTCCCATTATCCTGTGGTTTCTGTTACACCGTTCAAGAATGAAGATTCTCCGTCCTTTCAATGGCGATGATGGTGATAGTCGCACTGAAAAGAGGGATTTTGCGCACTTTTTTCGAGTGACAAACAAAAGGCATTGATTACGTCAGAAAACAGAAGATTGTCCGTTGTCCAAACCCATTTTTTGAAGTTCTCACTGAATACGTGCTTCAATCCAAATTTTTCTCGTAGATTCTGTAAAAACTGCCTATGTCCCAGATATAAATAAAAAATTAACGCGTCCTTACTTAGTCTGACGTTTTTATTTCTAAATCACTTATTGCTCATAGTAAGCCCGTCATCGCATTCGGGACGGACTAATTTGAACAGGCGCCACAGGGCAATCTGCCATCGATCTCAAGGGGTTCGCTTTCGGAATATGAAAGTATGTGCGCCCCATGAAAAAGGGCAGGCGTGGGGATTTGATCAAATGTAAACTACAGTCTGCTCCAATCGAGATCAGGCCGAACCGTCGGCGTAAATTCGCGCGCTTGCAGCGCTAACGGTCTGCGCTGCATGTGCGCGCTGTCGGAGAGAGCAAAAAGATTGAAGAGAGAACAGAAAAGCAGGCCGTGGGCGTGACCGCGAAACCCTAGCGACGCTGTCTCCCGCCATGCCAATTTTGGCCTGGTTGGGATTGGCGCAGACTATAACTGCATTCCAAGCTGCGGTTCGAGGACGGCTTGGGGCACTGTTTTTGCTACGGCAGTCTCTGGTAGCGGCCACCATCGAAAACTCTTTGATGATCGCTATCAGAGATTTCGCCTGGCTATCGGAGAGATAAAACAAGACAATATTACAACCTCCCCCGAATACAATTTTGCGGCCAATAGAAAATAAATAAAAAGGATAACTGCAGTGGCGTCTATTAAGTTTGTGAGATAGTTCAAAGACGGGGAAAAAACCGACTTTTTGTTTTCGAGTTTGGCTGCGGTCATCAATCCTCTCCTCTTTGGGCCCTATTGTGTAGCTTTGAGCGTTTTTGTACCACGAAAGAACGTGGCTGTCCCGTTAGTTACTGGGTGTATGCCGAAAGGGAGAGTTTTAGCACTTGTCATCGCTAGGCTGAATTCCCAATGAGCACAGTATACAGTCTCCAAAACTTTTGTCAATACATCAGAAAGTGTATCGAAGGATGCAGTAATTCCGGAAGGAACAAAGTCTTGAGCGTCTTTCGTGCTTCTCTTGACTGTTGGCATTCAATCAATACGCGCTTTTCGACCGTTTCCCCGGGTAGCACGTTGTACTGACCGTGGCACTAGAAAGGACGATCTGGCAGTTCAAGGTGCATTTTTAAAGGCACCGTCCACCCAAGTTCTCGACCTCCATGTTTTGGCAGTTCCGGGGCCTTTTCATGTCCTGACTCCGAATATGAAGTCAAGAGTCCGCTATAACGCCGACAATCCCCTTTCCAGAAAACCAGCATGGTGGGTCTCCAGAACGATGAGTGGATGGCCACAGGGATGGGCGGACATTGCTGGAGGGCGGCGGTACCGACTTGGAGTCCTCATGCGCCTTCGTTATTCCGGAGCAATTTTCTCGCTTCCGAAGCGACATTTTGCATCGTGGCTTGGGCATTGGCTTGATATGAGGTCCTACTATCATAAACTGCCAGAAGCTCAAGACCTTTAACTCAGGATGGAGTGACTTTGATGCATGAAAAGGTGGGCGATCGTAAGTTCAACTTGCAAGCTCTTCTCAGTGGTCCACGTACAACTAAGCCTGAGTCTATTACGGGCCTATGGCTCGAGTAATCCTCTGCTGATTGCGATCGCCAAAGCGTCGCTCGTTTAGGTAAGCGCGAGAGTAGTACATTTTGTTGGCAGCTTTTTGCGAAGAAAGCTTGATTACACAGTAAGTCATTCTCAATTGGAGTAGGCGAAACATTCCAAGTGGAGCAGCGCGTCCGCATCGCCACTGGCGCGAAATGGATTGGAATGAAGAGACACAGACTGCAAAGCGGCGCGAGTCGTTGCGAAGCGGACCCCCGCCAGTCCAATTTCCGCCTAAACTGAATTGATACTTACTATACAAGAAAATGCTTACAGTCAGGGTCAGTCGCGTGCTCCCCAGGGCCCGGCACAGATTGTCCGCAGGCTTGACTTCGTTTTTGGAGCAAAAAGCAAGGGACATATTGTTTTCGACGAGTGCCAAGCGCCAAGAATAAGCGCCATTTAGTCGAACACAAGCATTTCGGACAGGTTATCACACGAATGACATGCTCTATCGTGCATGAAGAAAAGTGCGCGCGGTTTGAAAGCAGCTAAGATAAACAAGTTGCTTGTTTACAGCGCATACAGAGTCATATGACACTAAAACTGAACTGTATACATAGAAAATTATTTGCAAAGGAACTTATGCAAAAAGTTTTGAAAACTTATGTGAAGTATCACCTTTTCCAAAATCATTCCGTCTCCAGACGGTCACCGGACGATCTGAGATCGTGTGGAGCATATATTTCTGTCATTCTACATAATTTTTGGATTTTTCTATCATGGTGGGATTCCCCGGTCAAAAATCTATCAGTGAGCATGAAGACAATTTCATGTCATTTCCTTTCTCTTGTTTTTTGCCTTAATTTCTGCATAAATCGTCTTGTTAGATATCACGCTCCAATGCCAAACTCTTATGCATGCGTAGAATCAGCTCCAATTTGGATTTTCACTGTTATCTAACGTTTTTTCTTTCAGACTTAAGTCTTTCTTGTTTTCATCTTCTCCTAAGCAGTTGTCAAAGCAGACTTCGTAAAACTTCCGAAAGTCAGGGGAGACTTCGTTTTTAGAAACCCTAGAAACCGACTCGTGCCAGGCCCTGGTGCTCCCTTTCCTGCAATCCCAACGAGCTAGTTCGCGCGCATATGACTCGGGCATTCAGATGGGCCTCATCGATTGGAAGTCCGCACGCAGGGCCTTGCCTTGCGCACGAGTAGTTCCATGCGGAAGGGAGTACGTAATTGACATCGACTGTACTTTCACGTGGGCGACTTTACGGCCTACTACAGAAAGCCGACATCTTTTGACTGGTCTCTCTCGTCCGAGTCCATATCATTCGCACAACTAACATCGGTTTGCGGCTACAAAAGCTAATCGCGGGACAAATTGACAATCAAGAGACTCATGATTTGTCAAGAGTGGGGCTTTAGAGAATAAATATTCATTTTGTTCAGTTCACGGTCTTCCCATTTGTATCAGCATCAATGAGTGTACGCTGAATTGCGAAAGTTTAGCGTATCTGAAGCCCTCTATTGCATTCGAAAATTTAGACTTTTTAAAAAGTTGTTTTTCTATCTCGAATTTTTAGAAATATTATTAGGCTGGTGCAAAAATAATGTCCATTTTGCAAAGTTACACGAAAAGCCAACTTTGTCTAGTCTTCATTTTTTGAATGTAATCAAGACCGTCAAAGGCAGTAAACCTTTCCTACCTCAGCGCGCCTGCTCGCACTGATATAGCAAACGAACCATGCGTCAAAAATCAAATTTTTCTCTAGAAAACCTCGATTTTGGGTGGTTACAACTCCCTTCAAGTTGTTATTCCTGTGGTTGGTAATTAGCCTATTTTGGCTATTAGTGTACGCTTATATAGAAAAGACTTTAGCAAAGAAGTTCTGCGAAAAGAAAAGATAAGAAATCACAATTGGTCTTTTTGAGCCTACCTGTGATAGACCTGAAAGTCCCAAATTTCGAAAATTCGGCCAAAATCTTAGCAAGATGTCAGTCCAGATAATTTCGAAGAATTCACTTAAAGGCACCATTTACCCATATTCTCGACTTCCATGTTTTTGTCGTCTCCAGGCCTTCTGAAGGCCCTGATTTTGTACGTGAGTCGAGAACCCGCGCAACCCTAAAAATCCCCGTTTTGAAGAACTCCCAGCAACAAGCGCGGGCGAGGGCCTGCTAAGTGCGCGGGTTGAGCAGCTGGGCGAGTCCACCTCCAGATTTGCTCCTTCCGGAGCGGATTTCTCGCTCGGAAGCAATCTTTTGCGGCGCAGCAACTTGGGGATGTGTCTAGTGTCAGGGCCCACACTAATATGCCATCATAATCTCGTCAACCCCACATAGGGTAGATGGTGCCTTTAAGGATGCAATAGGTGAACAATCCTGCGTCTGAAATGTGGTCAAGAAAGTTAAAGCAGTGAAATTTCCATTTTGCGTACGGGTGTGTAAAATGCCGGTGGATTTCTAAATAGAGGAATGAAGCCTGATTACACTACTGTTGGAAAGTACATGAAGAAAGCTTTCCAAAGATACACAGGAACTGCATCGAAAGAGAAAATTTGATGGAAAAAAGCTGTTCGGGAAGTGGGGCTTAGAAGTACGGACATTATTTTTGCACCAACCTAATAGCTTGCTGCATAAGTTCTGTCCGACGGTATGCCGATAGGACACTATTTTTCTCGACGAAATCTACCTTGAAGCACTTATATCTGATGAAAATGCTTTTGTGCAGTGTCATCAGTTGTACTTCGCACTCTTGCATTGTATTTTTTGATTTGCATACTCTTTCAAATAGTTTTTTGGTATAGCAATGTATTAGACTTTTGAGAGTGTCAAGAAATCGTAAATGTTGACAACAGACGATCAGCGTTTCACTCCTTAGGATTAGTTAATTGCTGCTGTAATGCCTTTTCAACGTCAAAAGTTTACGCTTTCTTTGACAATTGAAAAGACTTACCAGAACGAAGCTATTATATCGGCGGCTCTGTGTGTTGTATGTTGACTGCCGTCCACACGAATGTCGATACTTTATATGTTTGAGGCGAAAAGAAGAACATTTCCCAAAATGGGGATCAAGAATACACAAGCCTCACAAACAGACAACAGTATTACAAACACATTTCTACACTACATAAATATTCGGTCTTCTACGGTAATCTCTTTGATCGCGATCCGCGATAGCTATCCCATGGTGATTTTTTGTATGACAAAAGAAAAACTTTCAGGACTCTCAAATTAACTAACATCTACTGCGAAATGTGCATCAATAGAAATGTGAGCTACTCTTAAAGTTATCAGCCATCTACTGACTTTTTACAGCGGAAATTCCTTACTTTTGTTTCAGATCCTGTCATACACCTCGACATGAGCTCCTAGCTTCGACCCTTTTTACTGCTTGTTCCGTTTCTACCCCTGACCTATCACTATGTTATTCTGCTATACTACGTATATTTAGAAGTTTATAATAGTGAGGAAAATATCGCTGCTATAATGTATAATTTTGTGCTTGCTCTGTACTCTTGCAGAATGTAGGTATTCTATGTATGATTCCCTGCTGTACGTTTTTTGCTCGTGGATGTGATTTGGCTTTCGCATCTTTTTGTAATCAACAAAGTGAATCATTGATGCGGAGGACGACAGTGTATTGTTAATTAACAGTGTAACTCGACGAAATTTTCAGTCTAATATATAAAGAATCGTAAGCGCAATTCAAAAATGTGCACATAGCGGCGGGAAACTACGTGGCGGTTCCCGTAGCGCGCGCATGCTACTAGCACCTTCACTTGCTGGTTCACTAGTTTAGGTACACTTTAGCATTTTTGACGCCATAATCGTGTTTTTGCGTCAACAAACGTTTGCGCATGGACAATTCAATGTTAAGACGGCAGACGAGTTATCGGCATTCACAAAACATTTCTTTTCGGGTGAATGTTGTCATCAGTGAACCATATCGTGCGTTAAGTCTACTAGACTGTAACTGCTGCAGGAAGGGCATGGTCTGACAAACCTATATAACGCTCTTCGGTTATTTCCTTGATAGCCGCATGTGGATTGAAGCGATTTTCCTTTCCCGGCGATCTTGACGTGATCACGTCCGAAGCTGCTGAGACTTGTTCCGTAGTCGTGCGACATGTCATTGCAGCATCGATGACGGCAACCTCAGAAAGGGGTGACTGCTCAGTGCTGTCACCATGACGTTCATTTGAGTACTATAATTGTAACTCATACTGTGAAGGGAATCAAAGTAACTATTTTAAAGACTCTACCTCCACTGCTTGCTGATTCAAGACTCGAAGTTGCAAATAGGTTTCTGTAAATCTCACTGATGGAGTGAAAATAGAACTTCGATTGAATGTCAAAATTTTTACCTGGCTGGTGTTCCACCTCTGAATGCGCCCAAGTAAACTCATCACCTGCGTCAAAAATCGACGGAACCGCTTCGAAACCAAATCCCGTCGTTGACGGTTCGTCATACAAACCCGTAAGCGAAGATTCTCCAGCGAAGCGTTCCTGCATTCCGGAACGATCGTTACGTATTATCTATCACAATATAAAGAATCGTTAACTCAATTCAAAAATGTGCAAATAGCGGGAAATTGCGCGGCGGTCCCGAAGCGAACGCTCTTCCAAATAGCACCTTTAGATTACTAGTTCACTAATTAACAGTGTAACTCGACGAAATTTTCAATTCACATAAAAAATCGATTTTGTCATTTTGCTTCCGAACCATTCTCACACCACTACGTAGCATGCAGCCGTTTTAATGACACTGCAGCGCTCATTTTTGGGCTAATTTTTCTGCATACAGTTTAGTAGATTGCCGCCCAATACAGTGTGCTTGTGGTGTCGAGATTGTGCGGTAAAATTTGCGCGTTAGTAAATAGCTACGTCTATAGCGCCGACAACTTGCGCGCGCAAATCACCTGCTTTACTGTCGTGATTATCTGTTCACGCGCAATTTTTACCGTGCACCTTTTCAACGGCACCGTAAACACACTATAATAAGTAAAAACTAATTTGTAAAATGACCCATTACGTTGTCGTGCCAGCGTGAGTAAACTGTTTCTGATTCGATTACAGAAAAGCAAAACTGATGTCGATGTGCCTTCGGATGGTCCCGCAAACGCACGGTTGAAGTGAAAGTTTTCTTGGTTTGCAACTTTTCTAATATATTGTAAGGGACCCGTCATACTTCGCCGAAAAAAGCCCAAAAGCGCTCAAAAAAGCCCGAAAAGCCCAGAAAAGCTCGCAAAGCCCGAAAGAGCCGGAACGCAGGAACGAAATCATGGTAGAATTTTGATGATATTTTGATGTGCAGACGACAAAAAATGAAGCAAAAAGACTCGGTTGCGAAATCAACACTATGCTTAGCGTCAAAACGGAAGGGGGCGTTCCGGCTCTTTCTGGCGCTTTTGGGCTTTTTCGTGTTTTTTTTTTGGTTTTTTGGGCTTTTTCGGGCTTTTTTGAGCGCTTTGGGCTTGTTTTGGCGAAGTATGACGGGTCCCTCAATAATAAGACTTTCAAAAATTTAGAACGACTGTTAAATGTAATACATCATAGACATTTCTACATTGTATTATACATATGTGTCCTTGTCTGAACATTTAATAAAAAAAAACGAGGAACCCTAAGGATATTACTACATTAAGGCGCTATTTTGTAGTGGCATGAAAATTTCTTGGATGTGCGAGGGGAGATGAGACGGAATTATTTTTTTTTAATGATGAAGTGCTGAATCAGTCATGCCCTCCCTTTTTACTGTTATTTGCAAGCTCGCAACGCAAAAGTTGCTTTTACGAAGTTGGTTATGTTTCTGTAGAAGTTATAATATGCTCCCATTGACCCGGTACTGAGCGGTCGATCGTGTGCCCGCTCTGCCCCTGTCACCTACCTCAACCGCCTTTTCGACTTCTGAAGACTCCCCTTCTCCTGTTCGACTATTATTCGGTGCTGATGACTTCTGAGACCCCGATATACCCGCTCGCCCCCTCAGGGAGGCAGAAAAAGCGAAGGATCGAGTGCGAAGCGACGCCGCCGAAGTTCGACCAGGCAGCCGAGGAACTACTGAAGGATGAAACGGTACCAGTCTATGCACGAACAATTCTTGCCTTTTTATTGGAGAATCGGAAGTTGTGCGAGGTTGCAGCGGAGCAAAATCGTGAGTTGGTTTGTCAGATAAAAAATATGTCTGATGAAATCGAATCTCTTCGCAAAGAAAACGATCGATTGAGATCACTTATTGAGCGCACGTCTACGGAGCCCGAATTAGCCACCCAGTTCTCTTTTACTTCGACGTCTGCAAAACTCTGCACTTGTGATGAGCGCGAAAGACTGCATTCTCTAGTGATTAGTGGCGTACCAGAAAATTGTGAACCACATAGCTGGATGAGAATCAATTATGATTATCAATGTGTTGATCAAATTCTCGATTTTCTTTCAATTGAGTGTAGGCCGTTGACAGTTTGTAGAATGGGTAAACCCCAAAAGAATTTCAACAGACTAATGAAAGTGGTGTTGCCTACTAGATTCTTTGTTGACCTTGTGTTGAAAAGAGCTCCTAAATTAGAATACTTCCCTTACAAACCAAATATCTTCATCCGTCGATCTCTTCCAAAGGAAGAGAGAAACAGGATGCGTAAGGAGAGGAGCATGCGGTTCAACACAAGGAGTTCAGATCATCAATCGTTACTGACAAATTCTTTAAACGCCCATTGACTCCTCGGATTGAGGGTAGCCTCTCAAACTGTACATTAGCCAATGCACGTTCTCTTTGTAGTAACATAGATCACCTTAAGTTTGTCATGGAGAATTGCGACACATCCATTGCGGCAATTACTGAAACTTGGTTAAATGATACTGTGCTAAATAGCTCCCTTTTCGGCAACTTGATCAAGGACTATGAATTGTACAGATGCGATCGCATAGGTAAGAGAGGAGGAGGGGTACTCTTGGCTATAATTAAGAAGTTTGATTCATTTCTTGTGTTTAGAGAGTCTGTACTGGAAAGTTATGAATTACTATGTTGTGATGTTATCTCCCATGCTAGTTTAAGATTGGTTTTGGTCTACCTTGCACCCTCTTGTCCCCCTGCTGGCACCGAACAATTGATAAGAGCTCTCACAGACTTATTGGCTTGCTCCAAAAGCACCATTCTCATGGGAGACTTCAACTTCCCAAATGTGAATTGGGCAGACCCCTCCAACTCGAAAGATGTTTCACTCGCTGCTAAGGACTTCATTCAAATGTGTATGCTTCAGTGTTTAACTCAGAAAGTGGGGTCACATACGCTTGGCCAACACGTATTGGACCTCATTTTCACAAATGATGAGGATGTGTTGAGAGATATAAGTGTGGACCCCCCCCCCTGAGAAAAGTGATCATGCTTCAGTCTGTTTTCGGGTGAATCATTATAAATCACAAGATGTGTGGTATGTTATGTATAGGGATTTCAAAAATATGGATCTAGAGGGAGTGAGACAGCATCTTAGTGGAGTAGACTGGTACGGTTCATTCAGAACTGTTTCCACAGTCAATGAAATGTATGAAATGTTTTTCAATATACTTTATCATACTATTGAGAGCTATGTTCCCTTGGCAGAGAGTTCTTTCCGGAGTGTGAAAATACCTCATTACCTTCAAAGATTTTATCAGATGAGGGAACAAGCATGGAAGCTAGCAGCTACTAGTAAAAATACTAGAGACTATGACAAATTTGGTAGATTGAATAATAAATTATCAAACTGCTTAAAATATAATGTCTCTGTTGAGAGAAGAGTAATTGAAGTCTGAAATCTGGAGAGAGATCAGCGTTTTATAAACTGATCAATTCGAGACTCAAAGATAGAAGAGAGCTGGGGGTTTTGCAGAGAGATAGTGGGGAAGTTCTATGCAATGATGGAGATAAAGCGGAATATTTTGCAGACTTTTTCGCTAAACCATTTGTTGAAGAGAACGATGAAAGTGAAATTGAAAGTGCTCCAACTTACCAAAGTATGACTGATGGAGTATGGTTCAGGAGTGAAGACATCTATCAAATACTGATGAACTGGCCTAAGTCAACTTCAATCACACCTGATTTCGTACATTTACGTTTTATCAAATCGATAGCAGATATACTGAGTGGGCCGCTTCAATACATTTTCAATTTGAGCATGATGCGCGCAGAAATTCCGGATCGCTGGCGTGTGTCTTTTGTCAGACCTATCCCTAAGAAAAAGCCTCTTACTAGTCCAGAAAACTATCGATTAGTTAGCATAACGTCTATTTTCGCTAGACTATTTGAGAAAGTACTGAAAAGGCATATTGTAAAGCATTTAGAGACTTATAAGGTAATAGCAAGTGAGCATCACGGGTTTCAAAGCGGTAAATCTACTGTTACCGCTATGCTACAAGCTGTCAATGATTGGACAATACAATTAGATAAGGGTCAGAGTATTGACGTAATTTATTTAGATTTTACAAAGCATTTGACCAAGTCCCTCACAGTAAGTTGATTTCCAAACTTATAGCCGTAGGAATACATCCACGGATTGTAGCTTGGATTGAAGCTTTCTTGAGTGAGAGGACATTCATGGTCCATGTTAATCGCACCTTTTCTTCCCCTAGAAGTATGCGTGTGGGGTTTCACAGGGGGTGTTCTTTCGCCTATTCCCTTCAACATCTTCACTCATGAGCTTTTGCGCATACCATTATCTAAAGGAGTTTCTTGCAGCGCATTCGCGGATGATGTCAAGCTCTACAATGCTGTAAATGATGACGTTAGACGTAAAAAGATGCATTGGATGAGGTGCTTGATTGATCACTAGTATGGGGTCTGCCTATTTCAAAAGAAAAAACAAAAATACTGCACTTAGGTTCCAGTAATACAAGACACCCCTACAGTTTAGGAGGTTGACACCCACTTGCAGCTGTTGACATAATTAGAGACTTGGGGTTTCTGGTCACAAGTAGTCTTTCGTTTGATGAGCATTGTAATGTAATTGCAGACAAGGCTACGGTGGCAATTTACAGTTTGTACAGAGGATTGTCATGTACAGATCCTAATATTCTTTTGAAGGCTTACAAGACCTTTATTAGACCAGTGTTTGAATATGGTACCGTCATTTATAGTCCACATACCCAAAAGGCAATCAACTACTTGGAGAAAGTACAAAATAGTTTCACAAGAAAGTTACTTGTTAGGACGGTTGGTTTCAATTATGATCATATACCATGCAGTCAAGTCCGTAATGCAAATCTTGGGCTCTCAAGTCTTGCTTATAGAAGAAAGAAATTCGATCTTATCACGGTGCACAAAATAATATTTGGAACATACAAGCTTGATTTGAGTAACTTTTTTGTGACTAGATCCTCGAATACTAGAGGTGGACTTATAAAGCTTGTGTTACCAAAGGCTAGGCGAAATGTCAGAAGACACTTTTTCACGTACCGAGTGCCACATGATGTAGATATACTTATGAGGAAGAGAATGTTCGTGGCTAAACTCGCAATGTTCAAACAAGTTTTGAGAGGCTACCTGAAAACACACTAACACCTTTTTTTGTTCAGGTGCTGTGGTGTGGACTGTGTTGTTTGTTGTTGTTGTTGTTGTTTGTTTGTGTTCTTTTTCATAGGGGCATCCATATGCACAAATAAATAAATAAATAAATAAATATTACTTTGAACTTCACTGAATAAAACTTTAGACAAATATTGGATACTTTAAAAACTGACACATACTTTGAGCAATGTCAGATAGTTAAGTCTCCACTAGTTTAGGCTGTAAATAACCTTGAATAATTTTACGTACCTTACTGTTGTCTTTATCAGCCCTGGTAAAGAGGCAGGCATCAGTGCAACTCCTGTCAACACCCATTTCCTACAGGCAGCTGAAACGCAAGACCATCTGCGAGAAGAGCACTATTTATCAAACTTAGAAACATGAAGACTGTGGTGGCGGTTCGTAAATAGAGAAAGTGAGAAATTCTGTTTTTGATATGCAATTACTGTGATTGGGGATCATAACCGAAAAGGGTTAGACGCTGTAACCTCACTATACAGGGTCTCCCAAAAGTATGTAACCTTTGTTTCAATAGGCTTGGCGGCTGGAAGGCGGGGTTTTGTGAGCTGATTAAGGCCGCCACCCGCGACGCAGTCTGCTTCTCTTCTGCCCTCATGTTTTCTCATCATTATCTAGCCTTAATTAGGTCACGTAGCCCCTCCTTCCAGCCGCCAGGCTACTTGAATCAAAAGGTAAACACTGTTTGATTGTAAATATCTCTCCTCTTGCAAGTCTTTCGCTTCATAAGGTACCATTTTATAGAGCTGGCTTTAACTTAGATTTACTTTAAAAAGCAAAACCCTTATCTTTTCTTATTACTATAAAAATACGGCAGAAAATTACAGGTTCTTGGGCCAGAAAAAGCTGCAGTTCAAAAATAATCTCAGAAAAAAATCTGAAAATTGTGTACCAGGGTTTTTAAGCATGCTGACACCACTACTTAACTTTTCACAAGACCCTAGAGCTTCGGTATACATTGCCATAGGTTTGAGAGGCATAGAAAAACACTTGTCATGTTGTACTTGGCATAACTCAAAGACTAATTACTATGGTGATGTGCAAATCACAAAATTCAAATTCAGCGACTTTAATAGTTTAGTGTAAGCGTTTTCAGATTGTTTCGCTCTCTTTCTGGCGTGAAATATGGCTCCCAATAACCCGAAACCCATTTTCTAGTTCCTACCTACAGTACTAATACTGTAGCCCTACAGTACTCGCTGACCTGCTCTATACTGTAGATCTAAGTTGAAGCCAGTGCTAGAATATGGTACCTCAAGGCAAACGACTTCTTCGGAAAAGAGACATTAACGATTAAACAATGTATACATTTTGGGATATCTCTCTGTATGTGCACGCTAGTTGAGAAATACCAACTTTTACACTGAACCCGGAAAGAATGACATTTTTGCATTTTCGAGTAATTTTCTTCCCAATTTTGGGCCACAGGAAAATTCCAGCACTAATGCAACCGGCTGTGCCGAAGCTGGTAAAGAAAGGCTAAGCCTCATCACAATTGGTTGGGCATCAAGCGCCTGTATCGTATAAATTTCGTATATTTAACATTCTAACGTGCCATTCGTAAGTGCAAATGATCAACGTTTAAGTCATTTATTAATACAGGCAGTATATAGTTTTATACTTGGGAATCGAGAAAGAACCTAGGAATTCGAGTCGCCAACATTGAAATAAGGCCGCATCATATCACAGTAATGCCAGAATATCCATCAGTAGATCAGATCATAGGTTGATCTTCTGTTGATCTCCAATCATGAAGTCCAGGCCGGAGTCCAACCACCGAACGCTTTTGATAGCTGTTGTGCTGCCGCAATAAGTAGCCGATCCGAGTTGTGAGATCCGACTACCTTGAAATAACATTCCATCATTTCATTTCTGAATTTTTATAGACATAGACATTTTTTTTTTCACGAAGAAGGGGAGCCCAAGAGTCGTTTCCTGCTGTTTTATTGAGATTATTTGCATTTTTCGAGATTTTTACGTAATCAGGCTAATTCCATTATCCTTTTTTTCTTTTTCAATTATCGAGATTTTCACATTTTTTAAGTTGCTTGGGCTGCGTCCAAAGTTGCCCGTGTGCAAGCACTGTGCCGGCGCCGTACCAGCGCATACGCCGCGCTTATTGATCGTTTGACGGCGTAGCACGGCACTGGCACGAGCAACTCTGGGTGCGGTCTTCGATATAGAAATTACGTTTTTTCGCACATGTTAAATTTTTGTTTTTTATCTTTTATTCTTATACATTACAGATATACCTGAACTCCCAGTGGTAATCCATGGCTATCCAGTCCTAATGGACACGCTACCGCTGGAAGCGTCAAAGCATTGAAGAGACCCGTGTATCCGAGATCGAATGGAGCAAAGACAGGCTGATTGTGGTACGGAGCTGTTCTAGGCCACCTAAATCGAGAAAGTGATTTCATCATTTTCCAGGCAGTGGTCAAGTGGCTCACGTTGGAAAAAGAAGAATGCCATCATGACCAAGGAGTTCGGTAAGTTGTCTAGTCATGCGTTCACGTAATCGACGGTACTGAAAATGTACAAGTTACGGGAGATTGATTACTGGAGTGTATACAGTGTCTGCAGTAAGTTTTTTTTTGAATTATTGTGCTTTGCCGTCTTGTACGAAATACGTTTCGGATATAGTTGACTGCATGGAATCGCCCGCGAGCACCCCCGCGCGTGTCTCTTGCGGGCTAACATTGGCATTCGCGCGCATGTGTCATCATAGCGCCCACTCGGCAGCCGCGTTGCAGGCACGCTCGCGTGCGCTCAGCCTACAACCACACGGGCGATTTCGTGCAGGCGTCTTTATCTACCATATTTTTGAACTTCTCATATTTGTATTATTATTATTCTCTGATTTAACACATTCTTGTACTCTACAGTGGAAAAAGTTTCACTCAATCAACCTCAACTTGACTCCCAGTGTGAGGTTTTACGCAACATTTTTCTTTTCACCATCTTACCTCTGCTTTTTCCTCTTCTGTAGTTCTGTCTATACTTTCGAAAAATGACATGAAGCAAGCACCTGGAGTGTGAACAGACTTTCCGCATAGCAATTTTGGTACTTCTGTCCTCCAGTTCAGACTTCCTTTGTCTCCCTGGAAGTCCTTTTTTTCTTTCTTACCAAACGTACTCTGATAGCAGACTAACATCTAGACTTATAAGTTGCTCGGATAGTGTTGGACCCTCAGCCTGCAAGCTTGTGAACAACATTTCAATGACCATTGTGGCAATAGGTAGATCTATTCGGATTGCTTCCAAATCAAACGTTTGCTCCATGTAGGAGACAGCCTGCAAGGATTTTTTTATATAACTCTGACTACTGGATCAAAAATCGATAAACGTAAATAGAAGGAAATAGCGATAGTGAATGTAGATTGTACATATTCTCAAAAAATTGCTACAATCTGCTTATCTTGACTGGGGATCTTTTGTGTTCAACCATAGTTTGAAACAATTTCTACAAAAATTTCACCCCCCTTCCCCCAAGTATTGTGAATATCCAAAATGAAACCGCTAACTTTGAAAGTGTCATGGAAAATTGATGCAAACGAGTAACTCATATACAGATTTGTTGTGACAATAATTACCATATCTAGGCCCCTGCCATACTTGATCCACTTGACTGACTTCGCTATTGGTCAGAACAATGAACTGACCAATAGCGATGCGGATGTCCACTTAACATGTTGACGAGAGCCATTGTTTGGTGTCTTTCTCTGTGGCGAGCCGTTTTCCTGCATTTCTACACCCATGTATGTAAGCATACATCTATGCGCAAAGAAAAATACACGTTGGCGGGCAGCTTCGCCCACTTCTGGCAAGCCCCGCCCACCAAAAGCTGGATTTGGCTTGAATTCTAAACATTTGTGCAAGTTCCAGCATTTTTGAAAAGTGGGCGAAGCCTGCCACCACGGGAGCGGGGCTCAGGTTGACGTTGCTTGAGGTTCCACGGTCATTTATAACCTTTTTTCAAACGTTCTGAGGACGAAAAAAGCTTCTCATAGAAGCAGCGGAGTGGGCGGAGCTTGCCAAAATAGGGGCGGGGCAGACATGAGGTATACTTCAGCCTAAAGTGATTGTTAACAGAAATTAGAACGATTGGATAACTTAAAAACTGGATTTTGAGGTGTTACGCACCATTGCGCGGCGTTATCATCAACGTGTTCATTCACTTCATTCACCCAGCTATTGGTCAGTTCATTGACTTGGCCAATAGCAAAGCGGATGAAGTGGATCAAGCGGATGAACTGGATCACGTATGGCTGTGCCAAGTTCGATGTGTCTTTACAAATATGGAATAGAATCCATTACCTTCAATAGTGCTTTCCTCATCTCACTGTTCAATGTCTCCATTTTAGGGCTGTGTATGCCCTCCATATAAAAAATGCGAACGTTTTTGAAATCCACTTTATCTCGTATGTTCAGTTTCCTTGCATTTTCACCACCCATTACCTAAAAATAATCACAGTTTTAAAACGAACGGAATATGCGATAATTTTTTACTATCTAATCGTTGACTTCACCAATTTTAACAATTGTAATTGTGAAAATTTAGTGTACCCTACCTCCATCATTAGCGGTAAATCTTCAGCATAGCGACACATTGGTCCTATGCATAACATTTGCTCTTGGAAATCTTTTACCATGGGAACGTGCCCGTCGAGAGGAATGATACCTGAGTGTAGAAATTTTCACAAAGGATATGACTTGGGAAATTCCTCTCAAATATTCTGAGCAGATTTATACTGTTTTCGTTTGATTTCAGAGCTAAAAGTGCAGAGAATGTGATAATATCATATTGATTCGATTGGCTTGGCGGCTAGAAGGCGGGGCCTTGTGACCTAATTAAGGCCGTTGCGCCCGCAACACAGCCTGCGTCTTTCCCGCGCGCGTGCTCTCTGACCATCGCCTAGCCTTAATTAGGTCACGAAGCCCCGCCTTCCAGCCGCCAAGCCAGTTGAATCAAAGGATACCTGGTGTAGCTTTTATGCCAAATATACCATTCATAAATGACGGTATACGAATACTTCCACCAATGTCGCTTCCAATACCAATCTGAATATGGCTTTACAAAAAATTTTTTCTCTCGCAAAAAATTTGTTGACCTTTTCAAGCCATTTATATAAATTGAGTTAAATTTGAAGTTAAGTTTCTCAAGCTTACCACACTGCCTGCAGCAGAGATCAATGCTCCTTCACCACCACTGCTTCCTCCAGTGGCCCTTCTTGAATCGTATGGATTTTTCGACTGACCGTAAATTCCATTTGAAGACTCAACCCAAAAACAAGCCTCAGGTACATTCGTAATAGCAATTAGGATAGCGCCAGCTCCTTCCATTCTAGAACTTTCTGATCAAAAAGAAGAAGGGGTTAAAGATTTTATCTGGTGCGACAGCTAAGCATATTTGATTCCAGCCCTTTTTTTAAAATTCGTTTGATAACCACTTACCTTTTGATGACTTCCGCAGTTTTACTGGCTCTGTTCTCTTTGTGTAGATAAACTCCACAGGTGATTATTTGTCCTTCCACTTCTACTGCATCCTTGACTGTGAAGGGAATTCCCAATAGTGGTTTGGACTGTATGTGCTAGAATGAGAGGCTTATAAGTGAGACCAACATGAATTGATCCTTTGCTTTTCCTCCAATCTGTAACTTCTAAAAAGAGCTAGAAACTTGCTTGAAGATCTTAGAACCTTCAATATTTTGAAACTTTTCGAAATCTTTCAAATAAAATCTTAGATTGCGCTCCACCTCTGTGAGTTGTGCGTCGTCCATCTCTGCTATTTCTTTGTCAATTTTGGCAGCTTTCTTGATTGCTTCATCGAATAGTCGAACGACAACAGCATTGATAATCCCATTTACCTGAAATGATCATTTTGGTATTATATCATATTTTTATTTCCACACTCTTTTCAATTTTGTTTTTAGTGTGCTTCCCAACGCTGCATTCAGAGTGCCCATTGTTAGCCATTGTCGAGCTAAACCTGGGCCGAAACCTTCGCAACCGTGCCAGCGCCGTGCCGGACCCGTGTCGACATTTCTGTATTGACTAATCGACGTTTCCGCACGGGGCTAGTTCGGTACTCGAACGCTGCTAACAAGGGCATAAATAAAGTTTTAGTAGAGGAACGAACACCTCAATTAGGCACCGCCTCCGCAACTGTTGGTCCTTCCCTACTGTTGTGCATCGTGTTAGGACCAGTAGTCCGCGGAGGCGGTGCCTATTGAGGTATTCGTTCTTCCACCCATAAAATCTATGTCTTTTGTGGGATTGCTGTTTTGGAATTATCTTCTTGGGACTGGGAGGAAGAAATGAAATCAAAGCGGAGAGAGAAAAGATGCAGAGTATGCTGACATTAAGTCAAAAAATACAAAAGAATAAGTCGAGAGGAGATAAATATTTCAAAAGCCACCAGTCGGTTGGAAAGTTAAAAAAATGCATAGCAACTGTAAGACTTTCGGCAAAACGTTGATACGCCTTCTTAATTTGCTAAACAATGCGCAGATAGGTATTTGGTGAAAGAAAAGTTTTACCTGATCGATTCGGTGAAAATAAGCTTGTACCAAAGCAGTCGAGGTGATCTGAAATATTATCAAAATAGGTTTTTGTCCATATGATGCCACAAATTGTGATGACGATGTAAAGTAAATGAAGGTTCTATAATGAAGCATTTGCCATCTAGTTTAGTACTCCCCCATGAGGAAATGATAGCATTTTAATTGTTAATTACCTTTCCTAATGGAACATTAGAGGCTTCAAAGCGATGCTACTCTTGTAATGCATTAAGCACATAACTTCATTTTTCAGATACCAAGTCCTACAAGATTTGGAAACTCGTAATCCTTTTACGAGAAAATCGTTCGGTTATCTTGTTTCGGGGCGGAAAAATTATGGGCTCTTAATGGTGTTCAAATCAAAAATTATTGTCGCCATGCTGTCGGAATATAAGCTAATTAAAAAACATTACAGTGTGAAATTTTGTATGTCGCTAGCACTAGTTCGAATTTTATTTTTTTCTTCAATTTATAATTTTGTGTCAAATGAGATCTTTGGCATGTTTGGCCAAATATGACATAAAGAAAGTAAATATAATGAAACATTTCAAACAATCTCGGAATAAGTTTCAGTAATTTTTGTTGCAAGACTCATGAGAAAATCTGCTAAAATCGTTTTTCCTTAGTTTGCATAAGTGATTTTCCAAAGAGTGTTCTTCCAACTCATAGAAAGGAGTGGGACAGAGCCAACGGCGGTCCCAGGATTTTCGTCTGGAGGGAGCGGGGGGGGGGGAAGGAATGGCAAAAAACGTCGGCCACGCACTGCGAAAATTTTTTTGGGGTGATTTTTGCAGACCCATAATTCCTATAATACAGAAAAATTTTCGGGGCGTGGCAGCAGCCACTCCCCCGAAAATTTTGTTTACAAGGCTGGAACTTTCGAAGAATAAATCATTTTAGTTGGTTACAAGAATGAATAAGTCACTTGCACATTTTTATAACACATGTAAGTAAATTTCAAAAATTTGGCGACCCATAACTAACAATAATAATAATTCATTCAAGCTGATAAAATCAAAAATAACAAACGTCAAGTCACTACTATAAATCTTTCGCTAACCTCTCTCCGGCTGATTTTCCTAACCGCTTCCGTTGCACTCATCATTAGCAGATCATCGGATGGCGCTGGCACTGTTTGTTTAGTTTTAAAGAAATTAATCGTGTCGAATATCAGATTCATAATTAGGAAATAGATCCTTGATAGAAGGTAGATAATTGTTTCAGAGTAGTTCATTTCCTGAAGTATTTGTAGATGAGCAAACACAATAGTAAATATGTAATATTTATCTTGATTTTTTATGGCATTCATTGAAGCGCCTAACGAACTGGTTAGTACAAATAAAGATCGAAACAAAAAACTATCAAGAGCGATTTTGATAAAGTCCCGTATTTGGAAAACAGCAAGATTAGACCATTGAAACTACATAATTTATGGTTTGAAAGCCATAAGCATATGACTTTTAATCGAATCTAGTTGTAAGGAGGAAGTATCAGAGTAAATGGGTTAATCGAAGCGTAATCGGCGAGAGATGCCTTTCATTCTTCTCTTACATCGCTATCATGGAGACAAACATAGCTTGAATAATGTATGAAACAGCTAGAAAGAGGAATTATGCAAAATTTAATGCATCTTGTGAACAGAAATGGAATAGGAGAGAAAATGTAATATCAGGTTGTCCCACAAGCCTTTCCATATGATTCTTTGATGTCATAAGCCATTTTTCATGATCTCATGGTAAGCGGGGTACCTTTCGATAGAGCAAAGCGACCTTTACAAGATGGCGTTCAAAAATTCACACCAAGTGTTATCCACACAATGAATCCAAAATCGAAAAAGATCCAAATAGCCAAAAAATTGGAAAAAAATCAATTCTTCGTCATCCTACGAACTTCTAAATTGTTCATACATTTTCTATATCAGACGTTCATACATACAGTTGCGGTTTTTTTAGAAGAAACAGCAACCGGCATTTTTCCTTTCTGCTAGAAATTAACAAAATAAAAATTTACATGTTGTCCTAAAAATTATGCTGTGCTGTTCTTACATGGACAGATCCATAATATAAACCTTTTTGAGTACCACTACAGATTTTCAGCCTCCCATGTGCTTTACATCTCGAGAAATAACGAATTTAGCATGAGAAACCCAGAAAAGGTGACATATCATGAATACTATGATATATGTACTATGAATAGGTGATTTGTCAAAGGAATAAGACTCTGGAAACCTTCGGGTTCAGGTTTTTTCCCTATCAATGAACGCGAACCCTTTGATAACAAAGTTGTCTGCAAATAATCTTGATCTGAGCATTGATAAGGAAAGTTTGCACGTGGTTGTGGAGCGAGAATGTTTTGGTACATGTATTTTTTAGTTGGCGTAGACAGTGTAATTATTATTATACACGTGATAGATCACTATTGGTTAAATCAATGATTATTCGTAAGCGATCTAAATGAATAATTAGCCTTGACATAGGTGGAAATGAGTAAAACAGTAGACTAATTTTTGATTTCTTATAGGTATAGTTTTAGTGGTATAGGTGACAACCAGTGGCGGTCGCAGGATTTCCGTCTGGGAAGGAGGATGGCAAAATTTTTTTTCAAATGAAGGTGCATGGCGTAAGCCAAGCACTCCGAAATTTTTTTTGGAGTGCTTCTTAGAATTATTGCGGGCCCATGACCCGTAAAATCTAGAAAAAGGGGACATAGAGGTAGCCACGCCCCGAAAAAGTCTTTTACAAGGCTAATTTGAATTTTTAAAAAATTCTAAAAATTATTTTGATTATTTACAAGAATAAACAAGTCATTTGCACAATTTTATAACCCATGTAACTAAATATCAAAAATTTCGCGACCCAGTCTCGGGGTGGGGCGCACCCTTCCCCCGCACTCCCTCCCCTCGGTCCCTCCCCTCGGTCCCCCACTTGTGACAACTCACAAATGTGTTCAGAAATCCTATGCATTTCATAGTTGCGAAGCAAGCGAGCTTCCGAGATAGCTCCCCTTACAATCAAAATCTCGAAATTTTCTCTGCCTTGGTTTGATATTTCCATAGATTCGGTAGATTTTATCGCAAGGTTTGAAATGTATGAACAACCCGTCGTAATAGCTTATAAAAACTTATTCTTGGATACAGGCACGATAATACGCTAATAAATACGATAATCACACAGAAAAGTATGAAAAAAGAGATTTTCAAGCGAAATTCGTATTGATGTTATAGCATGATTTTGTGAAATTGTGATCAATAATTTTTTTTAGAAAACCTTCGGATTGAAGCTTTGCGTATTGCTCCTTTAAAAGAAACCATACATGCATCTTTTTTGTTATTACAAAGAAAAGTTACTCAATAAATAACTTTTTCTCATGCTAGAATGAGATGGACACCCGTTTAAAAAAAATTTTCGTGAAGAGAGAGTGAGCGTAAATCTCGAAGACTAATTTGTAAAAGCTTGTTTGCAGTTTCGAACATTTCTTCTTCAAAAGCTGATCCCAAGATTCTGACGAGGCAGAAGATAATGCAAGTGGAATAAATTTTTAGATACATTTGACTTTTTTGGGGTATTGCAAATTATTTAGATTAATTTAGTTGATGAAGCAAAAAGAAAAAGGAGTTCTGATTTGTACTGTTAGGCTCGGTTGGTTGTGCCATAAACAGAGATGGGTAGTTTGCAGGGTGAAGTGCCATAAAAGAGATTGATGAGGGGGGTCGAGCGGTGCAGGTGCTGGATAACATAAACGTTCTTTGATAGGCTACATTGTAGGCTAATTTGTAGCGCCGGGTAAATGGAAACTACGCGGAGCATGAGGTATGAGAGTCCGGACTGGTTTCAGCGCAACAATGGCTGCACTTTGCTCGGTAAGATCAAAGCTCAAACCGCGTCACTGTTGTGTATTGCTTTCTGCATTGGACATGCAAAATTGACGAGGGAGGGGAGGAGGGTAACCATCCCCCTTTCCCCTATCACAACCTCTCCTACAGCTGCTGAAAATTCATAATGGAGTGTTGAGGTGGTATATATACTCAAGACTCAAAATTATTTTACTCAACTAATTTCTCTTCATTTGGCCTCCAGATTTTCTCCGCGAATGTTGCCTCAAAAGCAGCGTCCAGGCAAGATTCATCCACCCAGATTGGCACATATTTGTAAAGCGGTCCCCATGAGTACCCGATCTGCGTTGGTCCGGTCCCATGACGTGGCCTCTAAAACGAGATACGAGCCTGTGATACGTATCACAAGCCGGCCCTTCGTATCACAAACCGCCCCTGAGGACGAGTGCTTACGCAGGTGTGCGGTTGCATTGCAGTTGCATTGCAGCTGCACTGCACACTGCAATGCAACTGCATCCGTGCAGTTGCAGCTCCTCCCGCTGGCATGACGATGGGGACGAGCAATTCGAAACTCGTCCGCTCCTTGGAGAGAGGGTCCCCAAGAACCGGGTTTTTTGGGAGTTTTGAACAATTTGGACTTTACAACTGTAATCAGGGCTACGGACAGGCTCCAGAATGGCAGAAACATGAGAGGCGAAATTTTGCCCGGACGCTGCCTCTAAAGGCAGCGTCCAGGCAGATCCGAGCTCGACAACCACGCCCACTTCCCTCGGACGGCCAACCCCTTATGAACGAAATCTCCTCAGCCTTGACGTGTTTTCACATAACCAACACAGTCGAACTTACAGCGTTTACCTGTTAATACTTGCTTTCGACAAGGATAACATCAGAAGCACTCGTCCGGGTTTTCCCAAAATAGCCCCAAAAGGTGGTTTTCTGAGAAATTCACGCTTTTTGAGTTCCATATTCGGAATCAGCGCCATGGAAAGACCTGGATAACATAAAAATATAGAAGTTGAGAATCTGCCTCGACGCTGCCTTTAAGGGCCGGGCATACATCAGCGATTTCATCACCTCGCGATTTTCCCGACAAGACAACTGTTATGAGTCCACTGCATGCCGGTCATCTTGCATTTTAGTTGTGATTTTTCCGACTCGACCAACTATCACAAACGAAGTACAAGATGATCGGTAAGCAATCGACTTGTACAGTTGTCTTGTGAGAGGTTCGCGAGGCGATAATCGCATGATGTATGCCCGGTTCTCGACATTCAAATTCTTCTAGAATACTCCCTTATAATCGCTTTCTGAGACACTGATGTTCTAGTGTTATATTTTTACGAGAAGGATGGCTTGAGATCAGATTTGAACGATAAAAGGCGCTGGACCACTTGCCGTGCTTGTTTCCTACAAATTCTGCATTCGAGCAACCTTCAACATAGATGCTTATGGCTTCGGCTTGTGAGCTACTGTTATGTTTGGGCTTCTATTTTCAACCGACTCCATTTAGCGAAGTTTGCATTGCCAGGGGCCTCAGATTCGCCCATTCTACCTTCTAATTAGGTCTATTTGCTTACCATCAAAACATATCTGCAGTTTTACCGGTAGGTGATTACAGTCCATATTAATGTCATAACCAAACTCATTGCAATATTTTTAGTCCATTGACTAGTCAACCAGTAACCTAACGGTGCATTCAGAACAGAGTTCGCTTCGGGACCCGTCGAGGTTTCCCGCTATCGGAAGATTCTTGAATTGAGCTCACAATTCTTTATATATTAGATTGTGTCGAAATGAATCTGTACCATATTTAGGCAGCTTTCGGAGATGCCCATGCACTAGCGCTATGTCAGCGCCGTGCTAGCGTCGTGGAACGTCGGTCTCAATAAGAGGCCCTTTCACTTGAATGCACGGCGCTGTCACGGCGCTGGCACTGGCGACTCTAGACGCAACGGCATATCTCAGGGATAGAGTTTGGAAAAATTTATTGATGCTTTTATTTCGCTCTCATGATCATATATGGAAGAATAGCAAAATAGAGAAAAACGGAGCGCTATTTTTACAATTTTTGAACAGTTAGAAAGCTGGGCTATACAAAGTATGGCACACTATAAAATCAACGTCTTATAATGATATTCTATGATGAGGACCAAGCCGGAATCCAACCGCCAAACTCTTGTGAAAGCTGTTGTGACGCTGCAATTAGGAGACGTTCCGAGTTTTGGGCTCCGATTATCTGGAAAGAGTTTTGATTTTTGCTATAACATTCTGCTGACCTAGAAAATCTAGGAAGTGAGACAAAAACTTACCTGAACCCCGAGCGGTAACCCATTGCTGTCAAGTCCCAATGGACATGAAGCTGCTGGGACTGTCAAAGCATTGAAGAGACCCGTGTACCCAACATCGAGCGTAAAGATGGGTTGATTATGGAACGGAGCTGTTCTAGGCCATCTAAGCAACGAATCTGTCATTATATCGCTAATAAATTTGAATCTGAAGCAAATCACTTACGAAGGGAAGAGAAGGATTCCATTGTCGCCGAGGAGATCGGTAAGTTCCTTGATCAAGCGGTCACGCATTTGGCGGTACTGCAAGGAAACGAAAATTAGGGTAATAGTCAAAATGACATTGAAAATACTTTTTGGAGCGAAACTGTTGATATCAAGATATATTTCGCTGTAAAGGAAGTTGTGAATTTTTTTGCAACATAAATTTGTGTATAAAAGGTTTTGAGCCAAAATCGTGCAAGACTCGTAGAAGTGTACAAATGCTACGGAAGAAATGGCATAAGAGGTGAAAAAAAATTTTTTTGATCGCTGCCTCAAGTTTTTTTCAATAACCGGGGCTTTTATCATGAGAAAGTATAAAAAATCGAAGTACATTTTTTACATTGAAATAATTCATGTTGAGTCAATTCTGTACTGTCAAATTTTTAATTTGAAAATGTAAAAAATCCTAAACTACTATGAGAGAAGTTTATCTTTTCTTGTTTTATATCAGAAACTAGCTGGCTTACCCGGCTCCGCCGTATCCGGACCAAACTTGGCACACATACACTTCGGGCCCCGGCGGGTGTCACAGTCCACTTTTCGTTATCGATCGATGTCGATTTTACCGATTTTTATCGTTTTCTTTGCAGAGTTCACCTACAGGGCTAGGAGTTGGCACAGGGGGGAAGTGAGCATGGGGATTCCGAATACAATATTAGTTTTTAGAATTATCGATTGCTTTTATTGATTTTATCGATTTTTTGGCAGAGTTCACCTACAGGGCTAGGAGTTGGCACAGGGGGGAAGTGAGCATGGGGATTCCGAATACAATATTAGTTTTCAGGATCGTCCATTACTTTTATCGATTTTATCGATTTTTTTGCAAAGTTTGACCTGCGGGGCTGGGAGTTTGCACAGAGGGTAATCGAGCATGCAGATTACGAATACAATATTGGTTTTCAGGATTATCGATTACTTTTATCGATTTTATCGATTTTTTTGCAAAGTTTGAGCTACGGGGCTGGGAGTTCGCACAGGGGGGTAATCGAGCATGCTGATCATCCCCAAGGGGGGTGATCAGCATGCTCGATTACACCCCTCTGCCAAATTCCAGCCTCCTAGCTCAAACTTTCAAAAATCGATAAAATCGATAAAAGTAATGGATGATCTTGAAAACTAATATTGTATTCGTAATCTGCATGCTCGATTACCCCCTGTGCAAACTCCCAGCCCCGCAGGTCAAACTTTACAAAAAAAATCGATAAAATCGATAAAAGTAATCGATAATCCTGAAAACCAATATTGTATTCGGAATCCCCATGCTCGATTACCCCCCTGTGCGAACTCCCAGCCCCGTAGCTCAAACTTTGCAAAAAAATCGATAAAATCGATAAAAGTAATCGATAATCCTGAAAACCAATATTGTATTCGGAATCCCCATGCTCGATTACCCCCCTGTGCCAACTCCCAGCCCCGTAGCTCAAACTTTGCAAAAAAATCGATAAAATCGATAAAAGTAATCGATAATCCTGAAAACCAATATTGTATTCGGAATCCCCATGCTCGATTACCCCCCTGTGCCAACTCCCAGCCCCGTAGGTGAACTCAGCAAAAAAATCGATAAAAATCGATAAAATCGATATCGATCGATGACGAAAAGTAGCCTATGACACCCGCCGGGGCCCGTAGTGTATGTGTGCCAAGTTTGGTCCGGATCGGTTCAGAAATGGAATTTTCTATTCGGAACATACGTACACACAGACAGACAGACAGACATACAGACAGACATACAGACAGACAGACAAACAGACATTCAGCTTTATATATAAGATTAGCGTCAAATTCAGGACAGGAAAGGCAAACAAGACATGATTAATAATTTGAATTTTGAAAAAAGGGTGATGGCAAAATATTAAGTATCAGCATCAAATGATATGTGGTGTTTTTTGATTCATTTGATTTTTAGGGTATTAACGCTAACAGTATTTGAATTTTGATATAACAACCAAGAACTCAAATTTCTCAAACAAGAAAATCTTATATCGCTAATAACAATAAGCGTTCTCTGAGCCAGTATAGCTTCTTCTAGCTTGTTGCTTCCCCATCCTTAAGAGAATCCCAGATCATTTCCCACTTCCTGCCGAACTTGGACCATCTCACCTTTTCTTTAGTCTCTTCAGTGCTATGGTCCATACTTTCGAAAAACGACATGAATACGCCAGCTGGTGTGTGAGTAGATCTTCCTAGGAGTAGCTTTGGAACCTCTTTCATCCAATTTACGCTTCCTTTGTCCCCCTAAAATTTTTTAGAAGACTTACCGTTGAGTTTTGTTCCATCATGACATTTTTTGACTCACATTAAGGCTAACGAGCTGTTCGGACAGTGTTGGGACATTCTTGACTTGCAAACTTCTGAATAATATCTCCACTGCAGCTTTGGCAATAGGTAGATCAACTTGGTTTGCTTGCAAATCGAATTTTTGTTCAAAGAAAGACACAGCCTAAAATAGAAACAATTGGTGGAATAGACTCGAATTCTATTGCACATCCTAGATAAAACAAAAAGATGAGATAATTAGGAAGAACCACCTTATGTAGTGCATCCTTCATCTCACTGCTCAAGGTCTCCATTTTGGGGCTGTGAATGCCCTCCATATAGAAAATGCGAATGTTTTTGAAATCCACTTCGTTTCTTAGATGTAGATCCTTTGCTTTTTCACCAGTCATTACCTAAATTTACTTTCTTCGATGTGGGTTCGGTTTAGCACAGTAGACAAATTTTCAGTTTGCGGCCATAAGGCAAAATTAGGAAAACGAAACATTTTATTTTGGGGCTTACCTCCATCATTACAGGTAGGTCTTCAGCATAGCGACACATTGGCCCTATGCATTGCATTTTCGCTTGGAAATCTCTTAACAGGGGAATATGCCCATCGTTTGGAATTATACCTAAAAACGGTTACTTCTAATATGCAATAATCTATATAGTTTTCCCCTCTTTTAAATTCGAGTGTCTTAATATTGTAGTATCAGGTTGGCGAGAAAGTTCTCGGGCATTGATTTTTGTAGTTTTGCTTTGGCGTAAATCAAATTTACGATTATAAATCCTATAAACCTTTCTTATGTATAGTGGAAGCATAGTAAACAATGACATACATGCACACACAAGCGAAGAATTTGGGCTAAGAAGCGAAAAACGCGCTCATAGAGTGGCAAGCTCCGCCCCTTTGACCCTAGACTCTCCACTGTGCAGATACATACAAATCCAAGAGAGTATATCATACAATCAATTTTGTAAATTCCCTAGAAAAGAGGTACGATCTTACGTCAAAAATATTCCAAAACTTTCCTATGACCCAATAATTAGACGTACCTGGTGTGGTCTTAATCCCGAAAATACCATTGAAAAATGATGGTACACGGATGCTACCAGCATGATCACTTCCGACTCCTATCTGAGACAATAAATCAAGAGAAATTTCAAAATAAATAATAATCATATTATTTTCTTACCACACTGCCTGCAGCAGAGATTAAAGCACCTTCGCCGCCGCTGCTTCCTCCGCTAGTCCTTCTCGAATCGTACGGATTTCTCGTTCGGCCATAAATCGCATTGTTAGATTCTATCCAATAACAAGCCTCAGGCACATTTGTAATAGCCATCAGAATAGCACCAGCAGCTTCCATTCTGAAAATCCTTGAGTAGAAGGAAAAAATATCTGGAAGGCCAAAATTAGCTACGTCGTGCATAAAAACATTTTGTCGTTGTTAAATCTCTTCTCTCAGCTTTGAAATCAAATCATATTTGTGAATGGTCAAGTACCTCTTGATGACTTCAGCAGTTCTAACGCATCTGTTCTCTCGATGTAGATAGATACCACTAGTTATAACCTGTCCTTCCACCATCATCGAGTCTTTCATCGTGAAAGGAATTCCTAGTAGCGGTTTGGACTTTATGTGCTGAAGTAGAAATTATTTTCATAATTGAGAGCAGTAGTAGATGGACAGATATTGAGAATGGAACATTGAATTTATGAAATTATGAAGGCAGCAATAATGTGGGATGAACGTGAAATTCGCTGAGGTCCTGTAACCTTCTTACTTCACTAATTACGAAATTTTCTAGAGCTGCAGCCAGTGCTGCCCATGCCAGCGTCGTTTCAGCTGGTATGGATCAATATGGGGCGCGTCCATGTGAAAACCGGCACGGCGCTGGCACCAGCAACTCTGGACGCGTCCTAAATCTAGCTCTACCTCTGCGAGCTGGCCATCGTCCATTCCTCCAATTTCTCTATCAACTTCGGCGGCTTTCTTGACTGCTTCATCGTCTAGTCGAACAACAACCGCGTTGATGATTCCATTCACCTGTAGCAGAAATATTCACAACATTAGAGAGGATTGGCTCTTAATTTCTAGTTTTTTGATTTGCTTCTTGTCTTCTATTCGCGAATGTCAAAGCAAGATGAAAGGTATTGGAGTTCTATCGCTCTATTTTTTGAAACGAAATTTACATAAAACTTTATGCTATCTCAAAAAATTGCTTGTCAATTTTTATCTTGAAAAAGAAAACATGATTGCAACAGCACGGTTTTCTAATATGTGAGTCTATGATGAAGCTGAATTGAAAATCACTTGGATTTCGATTTTGTGATAGGCTAACAAAATTTGAAATGTTGCGGTGAACCTCGGAACGGTACTTATTTGGGCTTCATAATTTTCTCTTTCTAGCTAGCAACGTTTATGGCCATCTACACAAGCCTTCTACATAAACTTACGAATTTTAGAATAACGCCAAAAATTGAAACATTTCCTAATAAAACGCTACGGAATTCGGAACAGTCAGTGACATATGATTCTCAGTCTACACCTGGGTAAATAGAAAGTCAAAATACCGTTCAGTTACCTATTAAATGTTTCCAAAAGTAAGAACTTTGGTGCCAAACTAATATTACGTTTTTTCTGCCACAAATTCAAATAGAAATGAACGTACCTGGTCAATTCGATGAAGATATGCTTTTACAAGCGCTGTCGACGTAATCTGAAAGTTCCATATATTCAGACATAAAAGTTGTTTCGTTTTTTTAAAGTTGAACATTCCCGCAGAAAAAGCAAATGTACGAAGCTGTACTGCCAGTTGATGAAGCATTGCTTCCTCTTTCTAGCATCCAAATTTGAAGACTGGATTCTATATGATTGCAGGAATTCTTGGATTGTTATTTTTACCATTATATTACCACTATATCCGACTTTTCCTGATTTTATTCGAGTTTATATGTATAGTCTTGCGAAAACAGCAAACATTCATCGGATACGGTAAATACGCGCAGATCTTTTCAGTGGATTTTCGAAATAGCAATTTCCTTGGCGTATAATCGGGTGAAAAATGGCTAATTATGGGTTCACTCACTTGAGTGATTTTCGCGAGGAATCTTATTTTAGACAACAACCTTAATAAATGGATAAATGTTTGATAAAATGGTATAAAATAAATGAGTAAATGGTTGTAATAAATGGTTTGAAAAAACAAATGCTATGACATCTTATGGACTGTCACTCCAACAATCCGATTTACAGTGCGTAGGTGCATTATGCCATAATTTCTACAAATTCGAAAAATACTGAGTATTTGATTGGTAAAAAATTTTATTGGTGCACGTAAGAAGATTTTCTAAATGAGATTAGCAACTTTTGAAGGTTTCGAACAGATTTGGAAACATGACTGATAACAAAGTTAACTGATACTGGGAAAAATTTTTTAAAGAGGATTCAATGGTCTCAGAGTGAGATTGGAAACTAAAACCCGCTAAATTACCTCTAAAATCGACTTATATGTATTTACACCCCTTTTTAATATGAAAATGAATGATTTTTTTGTAGTGGTTGTTACCCGTTAGTCGTAACAAACAGATTTGGGAAAAATTGTGCAGAATACTTTTGCAATTTTGAACGCAGAAAGTTTATGAACTTCATATTCAGGCTATATTTTCTCTGTTAAGAGAAATTACGGTACATACCTTTTATAGAGAAACGATTCAACCGAATGAACTATGAAGCTAAGGGACATAGCCTTCGAGAGATAGGACGACAAAGGTAGAAGAATGAACTCGCTCACCTCTCTTCTGCCAATTTTCTTGACTGCTTCTGTTGCGCTGATGAATAGCAGATCATCGGATGCAGCTGGTACTATCTGTCTTCTTTTGAGGGAATTGATTATGCCAAATATTAGGTTCATGTACAAAAAGTAGACTCTTGACAGAGTATAGACAAACGCCTCAAAGAGGGACATGTTCTGAAATTCTCGATCTTTAACACGTTGACGACCGTATGCATCCGCGCGTATGCACACCCTAACTCCCGTTTAGCATTTTCGTGCATCCGCGCATATGCACGCTAGTTTTTTAGGTGTAAACGAAAACTTTTAAGGTAACTTCTGTGCAGTAATACTACTGGTGGCCTGATAGTCTTACAGAACACAGGGCATCGCGGCAGCTGTTCAGAAGTTTGGGCCGCAAAATTGGGTAATCAGTCGGTTTTTGGTAAGGTAAACACATGCTAATTACGTTTTTCCGAGAAGGTTAAAACTCTGTAAAGCTGTTTTGAAAGCAAAAAAGGATGAATTAAGCAAAAATTAACTGGTATTACAGCGTTTTTTTGAAAAGAAATTCCTCAAATATAGCGATTGCGCGGTTATTGGGAGGGAAAATCCACGCAAAAACCTTGATCTGTGTAAGTTCTGGTAAGGCTCTGTGATATACATGTATCTCTAAACAAAGTTCACATGTTTTATGAATAAGCGTCAAAAGGACTCCCACATAATGTTTTCGTGCATCCGCGCGTATGCACGGGCCAAATGCGCGAAGGACGTTAGTGGGAGTTTCGCCTAAAATGGCGCGGTCGTCAACGTGTTAACATGAGTAACGGAAGGTGTGAATATGCGGTAGATGTATTTGTTAGATTTGTAAGCGACTGGCACTAAAGCTTCATTCAGATAAGGTTTCTTCGCTGATCAACAGAGCGGGCTTTGACAACTCTTTTGTCTACAAATAAACCTAGACAAATATGCGATACGGCGGACTTCAGTGGTACTAGAGTAGAATAGAATGGAGACATTGATTTTTGGTTTGTTTTGCAAATGGCACCGCCGCAGACGATGTTTACCACGACATGTGCTATTTGCATCATTCGTCTGCAGGCGCAGGGATGTAAACAACCAACGAGAATAGGCCAAAATAATCGAAGTAAGCCTAAACACCTAATTCTCATGTTTGTTGCCTATTTTTGTATGTGTTCTATCTCAAATAAGTAGATTTTCTTGAAAGGATTGGCAGAAAAAAAATTTTTTTAGTGTAGTCTCCCTTGGCAAAAATGCTTTTTTTGTTCAGTGAGTGCTATATATCGCAAAACCAAGATAGTCGGGTGAGGTCGCAGTAAAATACACTTTTTCTGATGCACCAATAATTCGACAGGTTTGTGAATGCATTCATCCGAAGAAAGTTGTGAAGACGAAGTAAAAAGAGTTATAATAATGTTGCATTGAGCGCTAATTCTGCTAATTGCTGGATTTTTGTTAGAATATTTCGGGAGCATAACTTTACACAATGGAAACGGCGCTTTGAAATGTTGATCCTCCGGTTTTCGGTTCATAATCTCTGGTGTCTATGATAGAGCCGGGAGAGGGGAGGGGGAGGGGGAGGAGGGGCTTTTGAAGAGAAGCTGGACGGAAGAAGGAACTTAGGCTAAGAGAGTTTTCTACATTTTCACTGAATTCTCAGCAGTGATAAAATGACATAAATGGATGAAAACATTCCGTTCATTTCTTCTTCAATCTTTCATGCGCAGCTGCACTACAATCGCTATAATCCGACACTTGTATTTTTCAAAGTAGCCTTCACAGTCCTTTTGTTTTTTATAACCGAGTTCAAGTTTCATATGATGGTTCAAAAGAATGATATTGCTCTTTACCAGTTTTGATTGTCTCACTGATGAAGTTCTACTACTAACTTTATGTCAGAAAAGTACGTATCAACGGACTTCGCAAGAAATGTGTAAAGTATTTTCAAAATTTGTTCTCGTTATCGTGTTTGAGAGGTAGGCAAAGTGGAACGAGACACATAGTTCCATTTTCATTCTCATAAGCATCAACCTTACATTACACAGTTAACATTAGCATAACAAAAAAAAATCAACAACTCATGATGGTGACTATTTCGCGGACCAGGCTGGAGTCCAACCACCGAACGCTTGTGAAAGCTGTTGTGCCGCAGCAACAAGGAGACGATCCGAATTGCGAGCTCCAATTATCTAAAATGAATTCTTGACTTTTCTTTATGGCTAATTCAGAAAATTTGGCAAATTAATCGATGGAAGTGACATCCAGAATATATCACTTTCTTGAGTTACATATTCCACGGCGACATGTATTAGGTTGCGTTCAAATTTGTTTGTGCTAACGCTGTGCCAGCGCTGTTGCTGCGCCGTGCCGAATTTTCAATCAATACGCGGCACGTATGGGTTCCGGCACAGCGCTGGCACAGCGTTGCCACAAGGGCAACTGGACGCTCTCACGACTTAGTCACTACATCTTGTTCGGTACCTTACCTGAACTCCAAGCGGTAATCCTTCGCTGTCCAATCCCAATGGACAAGTAATTGCCGGGAGTGCCAAAGCATTGTAAAGACCCGTATATGCCAAATCAAATGGAGCAAAGACGGGTTGATTATGGTACGGAGCTGTTCTAGGCCACCTTAAGCGCATCTATTTATTTCGTATGGCTAATCGCATAGGGCGAATGACTCACGAAGGGAAGAGAAGAATGCCATTGTCGCCCAGGAGTTCTGTTAGTTGACGAGTCATGCGATCACGGAGTTGGCGGAACTATAAACGGGAATAAAAGGAACGTTTATTGTTGTTCTACATAAAATTGGAAAAATTAGAGATTGCTTTATTTTCAGTAGCAATAGATCAAATTCAGTTGAAAGTATCAATTATATTTCTTTTTTTCTACTTTTCTATCGACGATTTTATGTAAACAGTAATCCAACAACTAGAGGGAGCTACTTCCACATTTCATAATTAAAACAAAACTTAACCTCTATTCTTTGTTGCTCAGTCCCATTGTCCATGCTTTCGAAAAACGTCATTAAAAGAGAACCTGGAGTATGAACGGATTTCCCAATGAGTAGCTTAGGCAACTCCGTCATCCAGTTTAGACTTCCCTGGTCTCCCTAAATTCTTGAAAATCAACCTGCGGCTTAGCTCTAATCACAAACTGACATTAAGGCTCAAGAGCGCTTGAGCCAGCGTTGGATGATCCTCAACTTTTATACTACTGGATATCATCTCAATTGCCATCGTAGCAATTGGTAGATCGATTCGAATCGCTTCCAAATCAAACTTCTTTTCAAAGTAGGAGACAACCTGGAACAAATCAAAGGATTTCTCGGATTCTTTCCTAATTTCGAATTGAAAATTGTTCACATAAATCTTGTTGATGCAAACTTTGTTAAAATATGCTCAGTAAAAAAAACGAAACTGCATGAATGCACTAAATAAAAGAAAGGAGGTTTACCTCAAGTAAAGCCTCCCTCATCTCCGAACTCAATGTTTCCATTTTGGCGCTGTTTATGCCCTCCATATAATAAACGCGAATTTTCTTGAAATCGACTTCATCTCGCAGACGCAGATTTTTAGCACTTTCGGCTCCCATTACCTGCGGCAATACTTTGAATTTTGACAGATTTTATAAGTATCTCTTATGAAAGAGAAAAGTCTAAAATCTGCTTAAGATGATGGCTTTTTTACGAAGTTCGAAATCGAATCTCAATCTTTTGAGCTCTACCTAATATAAATGGGATGGTAGATACATCCGAAGATGAATGAGAGGGATCTTAGTGGTAGTAAAAATCAATTAGGAGTTAGGGGCCGTGCCTCGAGAATTTGCGAGGTTTTTGGGGATCTGCATGATCACAGTAATAAATTGTTTTGAACTGTGAATAGCACTAATAATCACATGAATGTTGTAAAAGTCCATAGATCCGAACTTGTTGGAGTTGCAAATTAGCGAAATGCGGAAAGCTCCAGAAACATTGGTTTTTAAAACCCGCTGCATCATTCCATCAACCCCCCTTTTCCTCTGCTACAATCTAGATTTTGGGCAGAAAATCTGCTTCGGTTGAAGAGTACGCAGTTGTATTTTGAATGTTTACACAATATCTGCTACTTTTCCGTTATTCGGACCCATTTTTTCAGGAGACTCTCATATAATATGTTCTTTAGTCAGAAAGTAATTTTTCTTATTGTTAGATTCTATGAGGGCTGCCTTCTTGCCACATGTCACAAAAAAATTGACACTTTTTGGTCAATTTTAAATTCTTTTCAAAATCATTTCCGGTGAAGTGAAAGAGAATTTGTGATTACTTAGAAGCTATTCATTTGTTTTCTATAAAGGCAAAACACTTGAGTTCATTTTAGAACATTTTGATTGCTCTCAGCAGTTATTCAAAAATATCTTTCTCTTCTTTTTGCCTTTTTGCCTTGCGAATTTAGCCAGAAAAGTCTGTAAATGATGGTTTAAAGAACCTTGCTGCTTATTTCGCCTCTTAAATAGCGAAATTTTTGCGCACTTCTTCATTTTAAACAATTCAATCCGTTTTTCGATAATAGTATACTGTTATTATGATGATAATGTTCATTTCGAGAATGTTTCATCGAAATAAGGACAAAATCGGTTAAAAAATAGATTGAGCTTACGTCGCTAGGTAGGGCAAAACAAACTCTTGTTGAAACCTGTTAAACATATAGACGACATGTCAAATTTTTTTGACACGTGGCAAAAGGTTGACACTCATCCTGTGAAGCTGGGACCAAAAATTGTACAAGGATAGAAGCAATATCCTTCTTCGAAAAAATGGGTCCTGATAACGGAAAAGTACCCAATATTTTTGTCACTTTTCTCATTGCTTTGTTGCAAGGTTTCTAACTTCTGCATAACATGGCTTCGGGGACAGAGTAGTTTTTGAATCCCAGCAAATTACCACAAATTAAGTGAAATTGCTCGAGCAATTTGAGTTACCTTCATCATGAGTGGAAGATCCTCGGCATAGCGACATATTGGTCCTATACATAACATCTGCTCATGAAATGTGTGCTCTTTTACCGCAGGAACATGTCCATCGAGTGGGACAACACCTAAATCTATCAAAGTTTGATTATGGCATTTTATAGAAATTCCCAAGTAATTTCCAAGAGTGTTTGAAGTGCATTTCAAAAGTCTCAAATATTAGTAATCGCATAGATATCAATAGTTTTTCAGTGATCCATACCTGGCGTTGGCTTGATGCCAAATACACCACTCATGAACGATGGTATACGAATACTACCTGCAATGTCGCTACCAATACCAATCTGAAATTAATTTTTGGGGGCAGATTTCAAGAAACCTGCGTTTTTGGTAGATTTTCACTGATTGAAATCGAAGTCTACCGAATTAATCTTTCTACTTGCCACACTGCCTGCTGCTGAGATCAGAGCTCCTTTACCACCACTGCTGCCTCCGGCAATCCTTCTAGAATCGTATGGATTGTTCGTTCGACCGTAAATCCCATTTGAAGATTCCACCCAACTGGCTACTTCGGGCACATTTGTAATAGCAATGAGGATAGCACCAGCTGCTTCCATCCTGAAAAGTAAGTACAATAAGGGATGTGAACCGCATGAAGCTGTTAGTCTACCCTTATTGAAATGCATGGGCTTTCACAGGGGCATTGTTTGGGAAGGGAAGATTCAAACTAATCATAAGCCCAAGCTCAAGTAGCAGTTAATAAGATTCACTCGTGCCCGAAAAATTCAAATTTGAATTTTTGCCCAGATCGTAATCTTTCCTGCCTAGTGGGCGACCTTGAATGGCACTGGGCGAATTCGGCCACGAATGAATCATACGAATTGCCGCTTGGGCAGTGGCATAGTAAAAATCGCTCAATCATCCACCACGTACCATTTGATTGAACTGGCTTGGCTTCGGGAAGGCGGGGCTTCGTGACCTAATTAAGACTAGGTGATGACCAGAGAGCACTAGCGCGAGAGAGACGCAGGTGCGTCGCGGACGCGAGAGGCCTTAATTAGGTCACAGAGCTCCGCCTTTCCGTAGCCAAGCCAGTTGAATCAAAGATTAGTTTACCTACTACGAAGTAAAAAGTGTTCGATCCCGGGCATACTTCACGCAATCTGGCTACTTCAGTAGTTCAAAACTTATCTTAAGCGCATTCTAACTAATCAATCTTCAAAGGTTATGTGTACTGTGCATTGTAGTCTGCAAGGGGTAGGGGAACGAACTCCGCCAGTTTGAACCCCCTCCGCGGACGACTGGTCCTGCAACGATATGCAACAATATAGCAAAAGGACCAGTTGCCAGCGAAGGCGGGCTCAAATTGGCGAAGTTCGTTCCCCTACCCGTCTGCAAAAGTCGGATTTGGATAATTGGCAAAGTGCCAGATTGCGTGGCGATTGAAATCGCCTCCAGTATGCCCGGGGTCTTCGTTGGCTTTTTCCTTATTTCATTCCAAGTCGATGCCTACCCTTGCTAAACAGTACCTTTTGATGACTTCAGCAGATCTTGTGCACCTTTTGTCCCTTTGCGAATACACACCACAGGTGATTATCTGACCTTCCACTTTGACGGTATCTTTTACCGTGAACGGAACGCCCAGAAGTGGCTTGGATTTTATGTGCTAAAATGACTCTGAGACTTGTTCAGTGCCGAAGTTTTTGCAAATTTGACATATTTTTCGAACGGTTCACCTGCGCTAATCGCTCGTCATCCATGTCTGCTATCTCTTTGTCAACTTCGACGGCTTTCTTGAGTGCTTCATCGAATATCCGAACGACAACAGCATTGAGAATATGGTTTACCTAAAACAGTAAAGTCATATTTGACTGCATCCTATTTCTAAAATAGCGAGTACCTAATACCTCAAAAATGAAGTAGGAGATATGGGATTAGATTCGAGTAGAGCAAGAATTATTAGGTTGGTGCAAAAGTTCTGTCGTTTCATTTTTAAAAATCTGTAATCTCGCGAGATTTTAACGGATTTGCTTGCTTGTAATTTTATTACAAAGAATAAGTCTTTCGCTTTTAAATGCTGTTCCGGAGCTTCTGTTGTACACTGAGTGCAGAGGTAAAAATGGAAAACTAAGACCATGTGAACTTTGACCATTTTAAGTTATTTCACCAAAAATCTGGAATGCTGCGAAAAAATCTGAAATCGTCAGTACATATGTTTTTTGGCCTACTCTTTGCAATTGTGAAGAGTTTGTGCTGTTTGGACGTCTCTGTGAGAAGTTATGATTTTCGCGAAAATTGATAAATTAATTAATTTTGGCGTTTTCCATAGTTAACTCGATATTCATAACTTCTCACAGAAACGTCCAAACAGCACAGTTTTTTCACAGATGCAAAGGGTAGGTCAAAAAACATATGTACTGACGATTTCAGATTTTTTTTGCAGCATTCCAGAATTTTGGTGACCTAACTTAAAATGGTCAAAGTTTACAAGGTCTTAGTTTTCCATTTTTACCTCTGCACTCAATGTGAAACAGAAGCTCCACAAAACAGCGATTGAAAGCGGAAGACTTATGCTTTCTAATAAAATTATAAGCAAGCAAATCCGTTGAAATCTCGCGAGGTTACAGATTTTTGAGAATGAAACGACGGAACTTTTGCACCAACCTAATATTGGGTTGTTTCAAAAGTTCTACCCGTTTTCGATGCCTCTTTTTGAACTGCCGATTTTGGAGGAAGAAACTATTTTCCATAAATAATGCTTATATCATTTAAAAGCTCTTTTCTTCTAGTTTTCAGGCATATTTTCATTTACGTAGATCTTTGTTCGCTGCGTGGTTGCGTACTTTGAAAAGACAGTGAAACAAATGTGAAAATTTTCGTTTTTGCTCTATCGCAGTGAAATCTACAGCCAAAAAAAATTTCTTCTAAAACATACATAATGTTTGCTGGAGACTTGTGCTACGAAACCCTCATCGAGATATGATCTAAGAAAAATTTTGAACCTACAAATTTTTAGCTCAAACATAACATGTCTTTATTGTCCCTTCAAGTCCCATAAAAATCATGAACATATTGCAATCGCGGAACTTCTACTCTATATAATGAGATTAGAGCTAGAACAACTGCTATTAGAAGAACGAAAAGATTTCCTGGTTTGTCAACGTCGAACAAATTCAAAAATGTCAGAAAATTGCATTTTTTGCCGCCTCAGAAAGAGCAAAATATATGGGTCCTTTCGGATTTTTCAGCACAAAATTTTTATGAAGGACTTTGATGAAATCCAAAGTTAGCGGTACTCATCAGTCGACTGTGGGCTACACTGTGAGCAGTGCTTGAGCAACTCAGCTATATTCCAAATCAGGTTATGCTTTTGCAAAGTGAAAGTTTGTACAAGGAGATGCTCCTTTATTTTCGCCTGTAAATTCTTCCCCACTGTTATTGCAATAATTTCGAAGAGTGCGCAGAAGAGCCAAAGATTTGCAGATTGTAATACAGCTTGAAGCAATTGCAAAGATTATTTCTGAGAAGAATTATGGTGAATCAAAGTCAAAGTTCGAAAACGGGCAGAACTTTTGAAACAACCCAATACATTTAAAAGCATTTGGTTCAGAGTATTGCCTAAAACTCTTAAGTAAATAAAAATATTTTGAAAAGTAGGGAGAGCCTACCTCGATGTAGTGATTGTATTGAAACAGCGGTAGTGGGAATGAGAATGTTTCAATACCGATAAAGTGAGTATTGTAAATTATAAGTTATAAATAGCATCAAGTCAACTACTACGAGTTGAAGAAAGGATGAAATTTTTGCCAGGGTATGTATATTTTGATTTTGATTTCCAAGGGCCATGACATTTACTGAGAACAAATCGTACCTGCCCAATGCGATGGACATAGGCTTGTACAAGTTCCCTTGATGTAATCTGAAAATTGGCGAATAAATGGATTCAAATTTTTCTCGAAATTTCAGTTATTGATGACTTTCTTATAGCTGCAAAAATGATTTTGGTATCTTTTTGTTGTTTATTTATTTTTCACATGCACAATATACGCTTGAAAATTGAACAGAGCATTTTCAACTGCAAATGGCATCCAGTATGAATTGCATATTTTAAAAATCATCATTTGGAAAGACTGCAGAAGACTGGGTCTACATCGTCTTTTCTTGATTTTCAGAAATTCTTCATAATTCATTTTTTTGGAAATCAGGTTCAGAAATGGGTAACTGTATGCTCTTCTTCTTTCTAGATAACAATAAAAGCGAATGTGTTATAAATTTTCTCTTGAAAATTGTAAGAAGAGTCAATGCGGCAGAAAGCGTGCAAAAGCGATAAGCTTCATTATAAACGGATAAGAATCTTGTAAACTTATGCAATAAAATTGTTGACCTCCCTTTTGCTGATTTTTCTCACAGCTTCTGTTGCGCTAATCATAAGCAAGCCATCGTGAGTTGGTGGAACTACCCGTTTCGTATTGAAAAAATTGACTAGGTCGAATATCAGATTCATGATAAGGAAATAGATCCTTGACAGATGGTAGATCATCGTTTCGAGATAATCCATAATCTGCAATCAAAACGCGTTTAAAACCTTTGCATTATGGGTTTTAAAGCCAGGTATAAATAAGCAAAATCATGAGCAGTCTAGAACTGATAAGGCAGTGTTTTACGTTCCAATGTAGAAAAAAATCTTTGAGACACCGATACGTGTTTTGTTCTAATGTTGATCCATCTTAACTTCAGATGTACTTGTAATCGCACAAGTTACAACTGCTGTGCGGAACAGAAATCGAAGAAAAATTCTCTAAACTAAACGTCGCATCTTTTTTGCTTAGACTGTATTCCAATGTCCGGGAGATTTATGATTGAGAACGAATCTTGTGCAGTTTTAGATGCGATGCTATCCCAATAATAAGAGGGAAAGTTTTCAGTTTACATTGTGTAAAGAACCAAAAGGTTCCGTTTCGTTCCTGCCCTTAGAGGGAATATAGTTATAGACGTTCCCTGGAACTCCTCAGTAAGAAAGGAAGGTCTGTAAGACTTATTTTCATACTGCATGTGAGTCATACATGATTCTATATATTAGGTCGTCCCGAAAGTTCTTGCGCACGATTTTCAAAAATTCATAACTTCTGATTTTTCCGGCCGATTTGACTGCATCTATTTTTATGTGAAAGAGTAAGTCATGCTCTTTATAATGACGTCTTAGCTGCTTACTAATGGTCATCTTTTGCATAGATAGGAGCGATAGAAGAAACTTGGTCAAAATTTGAATTTTCTATGTAGGGTCATAAAAAATCAGAAATTTGCAACAAAAATCGGAGCACTCGGTATTGTAGGTTCTTTCACCAGCTCTTTGTAACAGTGCAAAGTTTGCGCCGATTGAGCGTCTCTATGAAAAGTTACGATTTTCCTGAAAAATGCCAAAATAAATCAAATTCGCCCTTTCGAATCGCTTGCTCGAAAATCGTAACTTTTCACAGAGACGCTCAATCGGCGCAAACTTTGCACTGTTAGAAAGAGCAGGTGAAAGAACCTACAATACCGGCTGCACTATTTTTGTTGCAAATTTCGGATTTTTTATGACCCTACACAGAAAATTCGAATTTTGACCAGTTTTCTTCTATCGCTCCTATCTATGCAAAAGATAACCATTAGTAAGCAGCTAAGATGTCATTATAAAGAGCATGGCTTACTCTTTCACATAAAAATAGATGCAGTCAAATCGGTCGGAATAATCACAAGTTATGAATTTTTGAAAATCGTGCGCAACTTTCGGGACCACCTAATATGTATTATATTAAATTTATAAAATTAATGGAATTACTTACCTTCAAATAATTATGCTTCTGATAAATAAACAACAATAATATATATGAGTGTCTTGTATTTAACCACATTATACACTAAATTCAAAAAGGAGTTTGCACAAAAGTTTGCACAAGCACAAGTTTGCACATTCCTTCGAAATTGCCTAGCCATTCAAAGTGGAAATTCACGTAGAACTGAAGCCTATTTTATCGAAGAGACCTGGGGGGGGGGGATGATAAAATGTGGAGTTCACTACTTGATGAAGCTGTAACTTACAGGGAAATGCAACAGTGATAGTGGCTGAATTAGCGGCGTATCCAGAATTTCCCTTCTGCGGGTGGGTGGGAGGGGGGGGGGGGCAAAAAAATATGTCTAATGAAATTGTGTGACGTTAGCTTTAGTATGCTTCCTAAAATCTTCGCAGCCTCACAACCACGAGATTTCGAAAAAAAGGTGGAGTGGCGTCAGCTACGCCTCCGAAAAAAAAAACTCTTCTTGAGGCTAAATCGGATTTTTGAACATTTCTAAATATTTTGATTATTTACAAAATAAACAAGTAACCTGCAAGTCTTTGAAAACGTGTAAGTAATTTCAAGAATGGTCCCCTTCGGTGCGCCACTGGTTCTGATGACATTTTTGCTCCTAAGCTGTGTCGTTAAGGAATACCCTAGTGTGCTTGGAGTTGAAATGAATAAGTTGTTTTACAAGTTTGGACATCGATAATAAAAAATATGACTCTTTAAAAATATCTTAGCATTCTATTAGGTCTCATGGTTTTTTTACTTTATACTAGTGAACCAGTATTTGAAGGTGCTAGATTGCATCCGCGCTTCGACCGCCACGCGGTTTCCCGCTATTTGCAGATTTTTGAATTGCGCTTATGTTTCTTATATTAGATCACGTCTTTTTGTTCTTTCCTTCATTTGATGTGGCTTAAATCAAACGGCAGGGCAAAGCAAGCTCCAAAAGATGGCTATGACTCCGCTCAATTCGTATTCCACATGAAGTTGTGAGCTGAAATCTGACAGTAGTCGAAACAATTTTCCCGTCAAAGTTCGGATCTCCACCCCAAAAAATCTCTGTATTCAACTTGTACACATTCCAAGTTTTTTCAATGGCTAGAAATAAAGAAAAATAAATGGAGTATAAGGGCAAACTCCGCCCCTAAATGTCCTGAGCTCCTCCCACGCACGTGATCATACAGCTCATCAGAAGTACGATTATGTACTTTTACCCTTTGTAGGTGCCCTAGTTCTCGAGAAATCTGATGTTTAGGGTGACGGAAGAAAATTTTGAGACACTCTAAAAAGTTCAATGCTTGTTGCTTACAAATTTCGTTTGGAGTGAAAATGCCCACTTATTTCAATCGACTTTCTTGTTTCAAAAGTCTGTAACTGTCATGTCGGTGATTATGATCAAGCCTAATCGTGTCCGAACCTCCTAGACAATCATGAAGAATTAGGATATTCTTTACATATTTTTACATAATCCAACATTGACGATATAGATCTCTCGATATCAATGTAAATAGACAATTTTATGAGTACATCGTTGACTATTTGTTCAACACTAACGGCATTAATCTCATTCACTATAGACTGGACTATAACATAATAATAGGACATGACTTCAGTCGATTGTAAGTAATGAAAAACCCGAGAAATGAACGTTACGATTTTCTAGAAGCTTTGAAATGCATTGAAGCGAGCTGCTGCTACGTGATTGTATATTTGTTCTTTAAAAGTGAAATCAAGAATTGCTCCTGAGTCGAAATTCTTGCTAGCACTTCATTCCTCTTCAAAAAATTACGTTTGGATTGTTTTATGAAGATGTTCTTAGCTTCTTTTGCACAATGATATATAAGGTCAGTGCAAAAGTTCTCTCACATCATTTTTGAAAAATCATAACCTACTGCTCTCCTAACGGATTTGCACAAAGTTTATTCTAATAAATAAAACTCGGATTTGCTGTTTTGTGTCGCTTACCCAAAATTCATAACTCTTCATAGTGGTGCTCTTTTAACACAAACTCTGCATAGATGGAAAGGGTGGATTAGAAGACTTACTATACTGCTTCTCGGAAATTTATCTTCAAATCTTTAGCGGCCTAACTCAAAATGCCCAAAGTTGAAGTAATTTACTTTTCCTGCTTCCATCTCAGCTATTCTTTATTAGAAAGCAGCAAAGATAATATCACAGAGAAAAGGGTTTTCTCTATCTTGCAGAATTAAGTTTATCAAGAGCAACAATGAATTTTCAAAAATGATGCTACAGAACTTTCGCACCAAACCAATATTTTCTGCTGTGCTTATGTTCTAGATAACTGAGAGACAAACAAAACTTGAATATCAATTATCACAGCAGAATAAATCAGATTGTTACAATATGTTCACTACTTTTCTATCATGAGGGCCAGGCAGGAGTCCAACCACCAAATGCTTGGGAAAGCTGTTGGGCCGCAGCAATCAGTAGACGATCTGAGTTGCGAGCTCCAATTATCTAAAAAATGTCCAATTGTTCACGAGAAATCAGTTGTAATGGCATTGTTGATGACATTTTGATGTGCTGTTCCGTAGCGAGATTCCTAACTAAGTAGCTGCTTAAGTCCCGATGCAGAAGGCGTAATCCGAAGAGAGAAAGCTTCAAAATTTGGACACTGCTGGGGTCGCCATACCCACCGTTATGGGTGGTGACCCAAAGCTGATGAGACCGAATTAACTCAATGGTGCCTAGCAATTTCGAAGAACAGCAGCAGTTAATTCGGGCTCATTAGCTTTGCGTCACGTACGTTGGTGTCAAAAATATGATTCTTACAATTACTAATTATAATATTAGATTTTTTGACATTTTTAGGTAATTTGTCCAGTTTCGGGCTTGATGGGCGTGACGTTTTTTGATTTTTTTTTCGTGACGAGACCACCTTTTTGAGCCACTCACTCTCTCCGGTATACATTTTTCAGCTATTTTGGGCACTGTTTATTTGGGAGCCTATGTATTGTATTGCATCAAAATCTCACCAATCGAAAAATAGGGTGGACCGTGTTTTTATGTACCAAAGTCAGGAAAGTGAGATTTGATGAAGAATAGAAAATTCATCTAGAGCAACAAAATCTTACCTGAACACCGAGCGGTAAGCCATGGCTGTCCAGTCCCATTGGACACACAACTGCAGGAAGTGTCAACACATTGAATAGACTCGTATATGCAAAATCTAATGGAGTGAAAACTGGTTGATTATGGTATGGAGCCGTTGTGGGCCACCTAAAATCAATAAATCGATTTTTTTCAAGCCATTTTACTCATTGAGACAGCTTCTGAGAAAGGGACTTACGATGGGAAAAAGAGGATACCATCCTTGCCAAGCAGTTCGGCTAGCTGCCGAGTCATACGTTTACGCAGTCGGTTGAGCTAAAATGTGTCAGTTACAGGCGCTTGAATTGAGACTAAACCTCTTGTAAACACTAATTAGGGGAAATTATTTTGGTGTGCAAAACTGCACCTCATATGATTCATTTGGGGCCGAGAAACTTAACTCGAAACTCTTGCCCAGTGCCGTACTCCACGGCGCTGATTGCGGAAAGGGTACGGTATCGGGCAAGAGTTTGAGATTTGATTTCTTGGCTATAAATCAATCCTAAGAGCTGCCGCTTGGTTATTTGCTTGATTAAAACTAAATACTCTTCCATACGGAAATTTGACAAATTTAAGCAGTTTCACCTCCGCCTTATCCTCTTCTGCATGGTCTCCAAGCATGTCTTCCATGAATGCCATCATGCAACCGCCTGGAGTGTGAACGGATTTTCCCATAAGCAGCTTGGGTACCTCTGTCATCCAATTCAGACTTCCTTTTGTTCCCTAAAATTTTTGAAATTAACCTCTTGCTCTTGACCAACACTAAGACTCACATCCAAACTTATGAGCTGCTCAGATGGTCTTGGATTTTCCCCTTGTATACTTAGGCTGAACATTTCAATAGTTTTCGTGGCAATCGGTAGATCTATTCGGATTGCTTCCACATCAAATTTGTTCTCGAAGTAGGAAACTGCCTGTCAAAAAAATTTATAGGGAAAAAATTTCACTTTGCGCTAACGAGTTCACGGACATTGCAGAATCATTTGTTCTATGCTTTGAAAAATGTAAATGATGAATCTTCAAAATACGTTATATTTACTATGATGTGTACCATATTAACAAAAAGACAGACAACTTCTTCGAAAATTCGAAAAAGAAGTACAGAATAAAAGATGTAAGAGCAAGTCACCTTTAGTAAGGCTTCCCTCATTTCGTTGGTTAGAGTTTGCATTTGAGCACTATGGATACCTTCCATATAGAATATACGTATTTTCTTGAAATCAACTTCATCCCGTACATGTAAACTCTTAGCCCTGTCGCCTCCCAAAATCTGAAGTAAAAAACCGTATTATTTTGGAGTGCCAGAGTATCCTATGGCTGTGTCCAGAGCTGCCCGTGCTAGCGCCGTGCCAGCCCGATCCCGGAAAGTTAATCGATTAATGCAGGGCGCGTCCAAGTGAGTGCCGGAACGGCGCTAGCACGGGCAATTTATTACACAGTGAGTAGCACAAAGTTGACTTCGGGCGAGGGAGGGGGGTGGGGGCAAAGATGGAACTTGATGCAATATTTCAGCTATAGTAATTCTGCTTGAGTACAAGCTTGATTTAATCGTGGTTCTGAAAATAGGAAAAAAAGTATACTATGGAGCCAGGGTATGCCTTTGTATTTTTTTCGCAATCTATCCTTTCCATAAATGTAGAAAAAAACGGTAATGAAAACAGCGCTGCTAAACTCTAAACTGAACCTAACTAGAATCCTAGTTGCAGAATTTCAACAAACTTTTGAATCGATTAGAAAAAAAATTATGAATAAAATCGAAAGTGACTTTGGGTGGACAAGTTTGGACTTTTGTCTTCTTCTTATGCTGTCAACGAATCTCTGAAGCCCAGTAAAAGATGCCTACCTCCATCATCAAAGGTAGATCCTCGGCGTAACGGCACATTGGGCCAAAACATAACATTTGCGCTTGAAACCCCGTCTCCATGGGTACATGTCCCTCAAGTGGAATAATATCTGAATTCATGGCCTTTTGTAGGCAAACAACTTCTGCAGTGTCCACAAACAGACAAAAGTTTTATGTCTTAATTTACCTCTAAGCTTTGGACTTTTGTGCTTTCAAAAGGGAAAATTTCAAAAAGTTTTCTCCGTCGATTTTACCTGGTGTTGGCTTTAGTCCAAATATACCATTCATAAATGATGGTATACGAATGCTGCCACCAATGTCGCTGCCAATTCCAATCTAAATAACAAAAAAAAAAATGAAAACATGGTAAAATAAGCTTTAACACATTCACGACAAGGCCGATTTTTCCTTTACTGCCTTTTCATACTAGAGCCTTTGTCAAACTTACGACCCACCGGCGGGTCGTATTGTCCGAACAGAACACGTACGACCCACCGGTGGGTCATATTGTCGTGAATGTGTTAATCTTTTAACTCAGAAGTTTCTGGAAATTTCTGGATTGTTTGAACTAAAGATGTTACTTCTCACCACGCTGCCTGCTGCAGAAATCAAAGCTCCTTCACCGCCACTACTTCCTCCAGCAATCCTTCTTGAATCGTACGGATTTTTTGTTCTTCCATAAATCCCGTTGTGTGATTCTAACCACAGGCATGCTTCGGGCACATTTGTGATGGCAATTAGGATGGCACCAGCTGCCTGCATTCTGGAAAAAAAATTAGAAAAAAACATACTTGCTCTTAAGTCGTTAACATGAATTTGCATAAAAGTGACTTTGCAATTTTTTTTAGCTCTAATGTTTTGCATGTGTGTGAGATCTTCTTAAAAATGGTTGCGAAAATCCTTACAGTCCTAGCAAAAAACTTATTTACTACAGTTCGTTTCAATCACATGACCTCTTCCTCGTGGGAGCAATGAGTTTCGCGCCACGTTCGCGCGCGTATGATGGCTCAGGCATTCAAAATGGCCTTATCGATTGGAGGTCCGCACGCGTGGCCCTTTCGTTGCGCATGTGGAGTTCCCATAGTACGTAATAGGAAGTACGTAATTGACATTGATTATACACAGAATTAGTCACCTCTTGACAATTTCGGCATTTTTGGTGCATCTGTTGTCCTTATGAAGATAAACACCGGCAGTAACTATTTGCCCTTCTACCTCCACGCAGTCTTTGACTGTAAATGGAACACCCAGCAGAGGCTTGGACTCTATGAACTAAAAAGGTTTTTATGAGAGAAACATTTTTGTTATGAAAATTAACCTCCTCTAGTTGAACATCGTCCATCTCTGCTATTTTCCTGTCAATTTCTTCAGCTTTCTTGGTTGCTTCATCGAATAGCCGAACAACAACAGCATTGATAATTCCGTTGACCTGAATTTACGGTTCTCATTTTTCTAGGTAAAATTTCTGTCTTAAAGGAAAAATAGCAATAAGTACACTCCACCTACCACCAAAGCTTCTCTTACGAGAAAACTGGGATATATGCATAAGTAGAGGTGGGGGCTTATTTTTTGGTGAGTTATTTTTTTACGCTGAGTCATAATATATATTATTGAAAAAAGAGGGACCAACCTGCTCGATTCGGTGGATGTAGGCTTGTACAAGTGCCTTTGAAGTGATCTGTAAAAGGACACTTACATAAATTGATTTACGCAAATCTAATGAAACAAATTTAGTTTTAATTTTATTTTTATTTTATTTTTATTTTATTTTTATTTTATTTTTTTTCTAGTGCACTCATTTAAAAATTCAAAACAGGTGGTCTTACTTTTAGAAATAAAAATTATTATAGCCTGTTTCCGTTTCTAAAGACTTTCTTCAACAAATCATTTCAACTAATTAGCAGATTTTATCGAAGAAGCATACGTAAAACTTTATATGAGCTTGAACTTTTTCACTAGTATTTGTGGGGTCATCCTCATCGATTTTGGCTACAAAAAGTAGAATTTGCTCAAAAATGCATGCCTGCATTGAACACTTCAGAATATTGATTGTTTTCACAAAAAAAACGAAAGGAGAACGGAATCGAGTAGACCATGGAAATGGATTGCTAACATTTTGTTGAAAAAATCAAACTTTTCAAAAAAATAGGCTAACCTCCCTTCTGCCAATTTTTCTAGCCGCCTCCTTTGCGCTAATCATTAGCAAATCATCCGACGGCCCTGGCACTGTTCGTTTGATTTTGAAGTAATAAATCAGGTTGAATATTAGGTTTATAAATAGAAAGTAGATCCTTGTTACAAAATAGATAATCGTTTCAATATAATCCATCATCTAAAAAAATCCTATAGAACAGCTTGCTAATTTTTGCACTAAAGACTGATAAAATAGGCAATTGTCAGCAAAGAGACGGAATATCTAGCAGTGATAAGAAAACGTTTGCGTTCCACAATACAAAAAAAGTATAGATGATTTAAAACCACTCGGGCAACGCTCTGTTGCGGTCACTCTTCATTTCTTCATCATTATCAGTGTCTGCACTCTCTTGCAAATCCGAAGTGTCTCATTAGGACGCAACAGCGTCTAGTCTCTGCGTGAGATGAATGCCTATACATACTTAGAATAATGATTGGTAGTGTACTGTGGGCTCTATTTGAGAATAACATTAGAGTTCATTTTGGAATTCAGATTTACACAAACAACTGACCGGAACTTCCGCAGAACATTGGGGCAAGCTCCGCCGAGACACATGGAAACTCCCGCAACCCTGAGGCCCCGAACAGACTTCACGCGATTTGATCGTCGCGACTCAATCGCCGACATTTCCATTCATTTTCATTTCACATTCAAAAATTTCGGGCTGGAAAAGTATCACAACCGAAATGCAAATTGATCGGCATCGAACGATGTTGTAACAGTTGTCTCGTCGCGATTCAGTCGCGACGATCAAATCGCGTGAAGTCTGTCCGGGGCCTGATGCGGAAGTTCCCGAATTAGGTACTGCGGAAGTTCCGAAGAATGCGAACCACAACGCAAAAGAGAGCACTCAAATGAGAATTGAACCTTACTCTATTAACTGCAAGACCCACTCACTATCCTCTGCACCAAGGTTGACTTGTTCGACAACGCAATCTAGTTGTTGGCGAGGCAACCTCGTAAAAGACAACACATCCTGTAGAAGTCCTGTAGAAGTAATGGCAAGTCAAAGGGCTGCGAAACCGTTGGAATATTTCGGAATTTTCGCAGCGCTTTGTGAAGAGTCCTGCGGAAGTTCCCCTTTTCAACCAGTCTGACGTGAAAATCCTGCGGAAGTTCCCATTTTCAAGGTTTCCACTTTCCCAATAGTGAACAAAGTCCTGCGGAACCGCTGCAAGGTTTGTCGTGCACTATTCAGGAATTGTCTGAGTATGTAAAAACATTACTCAGCTTTATAAGCTTTATCCTTTAGCTATTTTGAAAGGGAAGGGGCCAAAAGTTTTCCGTAGTACCTTTCCATCGCAATGAGCCCTTACTAATACAATACTAATGAGATTGCGCATGAGCGCGACCGCTTCGCGTCCGCGTATGCATGGCAACGCGCCCAGTCAGTTCGCCTTCAGAGTAAACAGGAGGCTTGATCTCGTTTTTTCATAGGTAGCAATATGAAAGAGATAAACCGAGAATAAGTAGTATAGTTTCAACAAGCTTATCTGCAATGAGAAATTTTTAGTCATGTGATTTTGATTCCTATGAAGAATACAGGAAACAAAATACAAAAGAATATCACAGAAAAATAAATCTTGATGCAACAAAAGCAGAAAAACTAGCGCGCCAACAAGTGATTTATTTCTCACATAGATGGGATGATAAAGTTTGAATAGGGTTATCGATTTCTCAAGCCATTTTGAATGTCGTATGAAAGATGGATGCAGGGTTTCTATTTATGGAAATCGATGTGATGTGAAACGTCGCGAAGTGCGGCGTTGAATAATGGCTGGAATTGTCAAAACAGAAACAATGTAACAGCACTGAAAATTCTGGAAAAATGTGCGAGGTGACTCGCAGCGCTGTTCAGTTGTTGGACTAAGCAAAACACGGGAGATGTGAGTTGCATGGATTGCTCGTTTGCCGGATGGCATGCGCTTTGCTCTGTTAGATCAAAGCTTGCAAGCTCGCCAATGCTTCAGCGAAGCTCAGTGTACTCTGGAAATGAGAATTTTATTATATAGGTTGGTTACTATTATAAATTTCGATCTAAGAAAATTGTTTTTATTTTTGAACTTCTATTTGGGTGGAAAGAAAAAAATATCACCTTTATACTTCTTCGTCATGGCATCGCAAAAAGGCAAATAAGAAATATATATAAGGCACCACTATAGTGCAAAGCAAGCTCTACAAAATAGCATTACTGCTTTTGCACCAGGTTCAATCCATGTGAAGCCGAAAACGGAATCTAAAAAGTTTGGATATAAGAGTTAGTTCTTAAGAAATATCGAATTTAATTAGAAACAAAATTAAATTCGATATTTTTTGAGAAATAACCCTTGTATAAGGCTGATAATCTACTGTTGTACTTCCCAAGCTAAGTAGCTAGCATCACTTGGCAAAAGCATGGAAATTTTCAATTTTTTGACGTCTAGACAAGGGAAATTTACAGCAACAGCGCATATGAATGTTTGGTGAGGGATTTACGTCTATAAGCAAGTTTGGGGTACGTAGAAATTTTTGGAGGGGGGTACGATTTTTTTTCACCTGACGAGCAAGTCACTAAGAAACTGATTCAGGTGATCTGAGTTGAGATGGGCGAATTAGCAGAAGTTTATTTATGTTAGCTACCAGCAAATTTTGTTGTAAAACAAAGAAAACTGGGCGTATTTACAAGATTGCTAGAAGATCGAAGAGTTTTCTTGATTTTTACATTTCCAACGGATATGTTATCGACAACATTGCATAGAGAAAATTAAAAATCAGAAAGAGGAAGGAAAGCTAGATTGAGGGATGCCTAAATCGCTCCTTGTTTAGTATTCTAAGAGTGATACTACTCAAGAAAATTGAAAAAAAATTTTAGGGCGAGATATTAATCAATATTCTATATTGTAGTTATAATTTCTTGGACCTAAAAAAAGAACTGGTCTATTGGAATAGATTTGCCAGTCTGCAGTGCAAGAGCAAATGCACTTTCGACAAAAAGTGCAAGCGCTCCCACACTCAGCGATCACTGAGACTAACCGGGGCTGTCATATACCTTATCACCAGGAAATAGTGATTTAGACTTGTACATCAAGATCTTATGAATGAAGCTATCATGAAATTACCTTCAACTAAGATTCCACAAAATGTACCATTCTGATAGACACTTGTGGTTTTTGAACCCGCATGTGGACTAAATGGAATGGCTGTGTTCACTTTGGCCTCCGAGGAAATTGCCGGTGCTGGTCGTATAAGCACCGGCACTAGTATAGAGGCAGAGTATCCACGAAAAGCTCAATGATTCAGCACAAATAACCGACTGAACACACGATTCGTATTTTTAACTGGTAAATTCACGTTTAAACTGCACTGAAATTTGCAAGACAGGGCCTGGCACCAGCTGGCACGGGGCAAGCTGGATATCGTTTTTGGGGCAAAAAGCAAAGGGGGTTTCGTTTTTGTGGGCGAAGACATACGCAAAATTGGCGGCGACGACCTTTTTTTTTTTTTAGGATTTTAGAGGGGATATCGTTGAGGATCAAAGGGGACTTCGTAAAATTTCTCAAAAGTCAAGGGGGACTTCGTAAAAATTGGCAAATTTCAAAGGGGACTTCGTTTTCAAAATTCCCTGGTGCCAGCTCGTGCCGAGCCCTGTTGCAAGAAGAAGCGCTTTTCGAAATGACTTTGATGAATGTCATTGTTTACGGTGGTGTCTCAAAAATTGCAAGGATTTCGGTCATTTTCTTAAGAAACCCCAAGATTAGTAGGTGTGATGACAAAAATGCGAAATTATTTTATTTGACCTAGTTTTATTGCAACTGAGAGAAGGCTGCCCGACTTCTGGAGCTGTGCCCACTACCGACCCTATAAGCACCTAGCTTAGTAAAAAATCTAATTTTACAATATTCAGGCTATCAGAAGTTATACAGTAGGTTTGAATAATTGCATGACTTGTAACCTAAAGATTAATGATTTACTCTTTTGGTTAGTGAACAGAGGCGGTATCTATACTATCAAGCAGACAGCTAGGCTTCAGTTTGAATGCCTAATTTGTCATGTGTCCTCGCTGCAAATCCCACTTCTCTAATTTTATAAAGTTTGTGAGGAACGAAACTAGTTGAAAACCATTATAGCCGCAAGCAGTTAACCTTTTGAAAGATAATAGCCATTCTTTAAGCTAGCAAACCTTGAAACGTATCATTCGTTCCAAGTTTTGATAATTCGAGCCTAGACTTTGGTTACTGATTCCTTCTGAAGACAGTGGCTAAGCAACGAAATACTGGTTTTGATGTAGGAAATTGCTTGCCTCCAGCAAGTACCAGACCAGGCCGAGCATAGACCATGGCTCCTACTCTGAGAAAATTCGACTCCCAAATGAGTCGAGCAAGACCTGACTTTCAATGTTAGAAGTGCGCTTGTCGCAGTATTATAACAGTAAGAGCCCCGCAACAATAATGTCTCTTCAACTTTGACGAATCGTGTCCATGCTTCGATATTTAACTAGGATTTGGAAAATGCTTGTATTCGCCGTGTCCACTTTGTTTGCAACAGATTGATTCAAGCCTCGTACGAACATTTTACGATGTACATTGTAAAACCCTGCAGTGACTGAAAGAGTTTTTTTTGTGAAACCCAAACGCCATCTTTTGCCGAGGATTGGTCGGAAAGTCAATTCTAGCTTCAGATTGTAGGATTGGCCCTCGGAGCAAAATGCCAACGTTATTTTTTCCACACAAACATAGTCGTACATGTGTGTTGCCGCAGGACTTCCAAGCAGTGGCGGTCCCAGGATTTCCGTCGGGAGTGGGGGGGGGGGGGGGGGGGAAGGGGGGGTGGGAGGGGGGGGGGGGGGGAAGCGGCAAAAATTCTTTTCTAAATGAAGGTGCGTGGCTTCAGCCACGCATTCCGAAAAAATTTTAGGAGTGCTTCTCAAAATTTTCGGGGGTCCCTAACCCCTAAATTTGGAAAAAGGGGACATGGCGTCAGCCATGCCTCCGAAAAAAATTTTTTTATAAGGCTTTGCATTTTTAAAAATTTTTAAAAATCATTTTAATTGTTTGCAAGAACAAACAAGTCACTTGCACTTTCAAGTGGCTTTATTTGTGCTTATTCGAATATTAGGTTAGCTAATGAATAAGTTCGGTCGCTTTTGCGGCCCTTACAAGTGCT